CTCTGGAAGACTCCGAATATTGGAATGGTTACAAACAAAAGCTATGTTAAATGACATTTTACCGAAATCTGTAATGCGTGGTGAAGTAAGACGGTTTTGGGGGAAAATGCAACACCGGGGGGATATAGGAGGGGTGGAATACCCCCCTCCCAGCAAATCCAAAAATGAATGACCATTGCATGAAAATGATGTTAAAAGCAGTTTATTACCGTATAGTGTGTGCTGGGGGTATGACCCCCGGTAACACTTTCATCTACAAAATGTTTTGCGTTCGGAACCGTCTTCGTAATTTCAGGGTACGAATGATTAGATCCTCTCTTCCTAAGAAGTGCTGCAGAGGACGTAGATCAGGTGAGTACCCCCCAGCAAAGGAAAAATAGATGACCATTCTTGACAATTATTTTAAAATATGTACGAGTATAGTGTGTCTTGGATGGGGGGGGGGGGGGTTTTTTAAAACCCCCAGATAGTTTTGGGAGACTGGTCTAATACCCCCGCACCCCAATAAATGAAAAATCAATTACCCTTTCCCCACAATCATCATGAAATTTGTGAATGCGCGTATTTTCGCCATATCTCGGCTTAGGAACAGATATCCAAATGCCGTTTTCACTAATATTTTCACTTTTTCGTCTTATTTGATAATATCATACAATACTTATATCGTTACATTTGATATTTATGTTAATGTCACATCGCGCCCTCTACCACTCATTACATATACTAAAATGACATTCATGTAAAATCTGATTACTGAAGAAACCTCTTCCCAATAAGACCTATTGTGTGAAAATCGGTCAACCTAAACCGAAGTTACATTCAATTCCTTAGAAGAGAGGTTCTCCTTCCCCCACTCCTCACATTTTATAAGCTAGAGACATTGAACTCGATACCTGCTCGTAACTGGAATGACATCGTCCGTAAACAAACGATGCAAGGGCGCCGTGACAAAAGAAATGGGTAGAGCACAATGTGCCAGACAAGGATGATTATACAAACAACGTGCGACAAGAATTTGGTTATCGATACCGTTCCAGTTACAGAATATACAGTTCAATGGCTACAGCAATATGTGCTAGATTAAAATGATGCAAGATTCATACAAGATTGAGATGCATGTATTTTTTATGCATGTTTGTTGGGTATATTCTAAGAAAAAAGTCATTTTTCTACTTAACCATGACTCGTACGCCCTCTAGCGGCAAACCTAGGAACTTGAATTTCTCTTGACCTCTTTTGTTAAGAAAAATCTTTATCCCGAAGCTGTGCAACGAAGTACCATCAAGCAAAGGAAAAATGGATGACCTTTTCTTCACAATGGTTTTAAAAGCAGTTTATGGTATGTACGAGTTTAATGTGTCTTAGAGGCGGGGGTGGGCGGGGGAGGGGGGGTGTATTCCATAATAGGTTTGGGAGATAATGCAACACGGGTTACCCTTTCCCCACAGGCCACAATCATCATGAGATCATCCGCTCATATAAACAAAATCTTCGTATACGGGGGGGTCTATACCGCTCATTACCCCCCCTCCCCTCCCTCGGGACTACGTTCGCTAGCACCATTTCTTGAAAATGATTTTAAAAGAAATTGATGGTGTTTTCTGCAAATCTCAATAAAAATGTAGTGTGTACCAGACTCCCTGGTAACACTTTCATCTACAGAATGTAGCATTCGAGATCCTCGTGGTAGCTTCAGGGTACGAAGTACCGGGGGGTCTGGAGGGTATCAAATACCCCCCAGCAAAAGAAACATGGATGACCATTTCTTGAAAATGAAAAGCAGTCTTCAGATGCGCTGGAAAACACCTACAAAACTGTAATCCGCTATAATCGATCTGAGAACGGAAAAATGGACATATTTCTCTCTCTCACGCTACTTAAAATTGTGACAACCGTGCTGCTTAACTTAACGGCTGCTCGTGGTGTACGCATCGAATGTAGGAGAGTGCGCATGCGCTCTCTCCATGTGATAGAAGCAGACAGAAATATTAATGACATTAATTTTAATTAAAGATAGTCTTGACTTAATTTCTTTAGACAACCCATTTGCAATGTGTTTGTTTACATTTCAAAATTTTAATAGTTTACATAATTCTGAATACCAAGTACCTTTCTTTATACTTGATCATTTATGAGCATGCTATATTGCGTCATATAAAGCAATTTTTAATTTTAAGTTTAATAGTGAGTTGCAAGTGCGGGTTAACTTGTCCCCGCTGCGGCCCTGATGGAATCTAAAGGACCTAAAGCAGTCACAATGTAGTTTTAGAAAAGGTTCGAAATATTTTCCGACAAATAATCTCCTTAGACAGGTCAATTCTTTTTTTAGTGTATCTCTCAACGCAAATACTTTTTTTTAATTTATTGTCCCTCTTGTTCTAGGCTCTACGCTCAATTAGAGAGTGACCCGCATAATGCTTTTTAGAGGTGCCTCTGCAGAAGACCTTAGGTTGTCCTATACTACTCCGGTATTTACCTCACAAAACTGCAGGAAAACCTAATTTAGAGTAGCCGGCAGAATGCTCGAAACTGATCTAACGAAATTCCCATCTCTGCCACAGATAAAAAATTTCTACCTCAGCCCAGGTTCGAACACCCGACCTCCGGGTTTGTAGCCCAACGCTCTACAATTGAGCTACAAAGCCAATTTTGCAAAGTAAACATTGCACTTTATTTACTTCACAATCCAATCACACTTCTTTATCAAATATTGCTTCGGGGTGAGAAGGAAGACTCAATTACAAGTAATTTAATTTTAGGCTTAAAGGTAATCGCTTCATTTAACCGGACATCCATTGTCTACAAGAATTAGTCATTTTCAGTTGCTCCATCTGGGACTATGTCACATTACGTTCAAGGAAAGCACCTCCTTAAACACTTTTGAAGACTCCGATCTACAAATTTGATAAAGAATTTACCTGCAAAATATCATCGTAATTGGTCCATTCGTTCTCTTTTAGATTGATGGACATGAAGCCATCGAGCGAGCGAACGATCGGGAGAAAGCATAAGCGTGTCGCTTAAGAAATCGACGTTAAAAAATGGATTACAAGGTAGTGCAGATCAGAAAATTAAATATGAGAAACTTTTAAAACGCGGTTAACTTTTGATCAAACGTTCACAGCTGCGTTTTGGCTTACATTTTACATCAATACATGGAAACGAACCGATACGTAATTAAATCGCAATTGCGTTTGCGGTAAGCCAATCACTAGCTTCAACTGTAGATAGATTTTGTATTTATGCATAAGCATAACCAGCTTAACATTCGTTAAGATTCAATGAGGCGAAAATCTCAAAGGATTTCCGAATGAAATAACGCCAATATTAGAAGTTACAGCATACAAAAAGCAGACTCTAATTACAATAAAACCAATGAGGAGACTTTTCCGCTTATGCAATGGCGAATTTTTTGCGCGCTAACCGAGGTCGATTCACAACCATTTTAAGATGGTTTTCGAAGACGCAATATCTTTCCAGATTGAGAATTTTTCGGAGTACAATTATTAACACTGATTCTACTCTTAAATCGCGTACGACGGACGATACTATCTGCCTTTTGAATGGCTTAAACAGAAAAAAGCTTTGTGTTATTTAAAGACAGACTGCTATAAATATCACAATGAAAACTCCCATTTATTTTTAATTAACTAATTATTCTCTGCATATATTACGCTGGGTGGGAGTTTATTTGATTTGTTTTATGCGTCTAACAAAAAAATCAACTAATCCGAAAACATTTAAGAATACTAAAATTGTTTTGCAATGAGAAATTATCGCTCCGTACGATTAATCATAAAAAGGTGAAGTTTAACAAAGCGAGCAGTGTAAAACTGATTATGTTTCGCAAGTTTCGGGGCTCATTTATAATTCGAACACATAATCGTTTAGCTGTCCTTTAAACAGAACCGGTGTACATTTCTATCGAACGGACGAAATGAATGGCAAGGAAAACGAAGCGAAATCCTTAAGGAAGTCTATTGTCAGAGAAATCCATTAGATGGAAGAAGGCAATTTTAGATTTTAATACAGTTAATTTGGGTTCGTCCCTGTGTATTTTATAAGAAAGTCGAGCCAAACGAGCGGAAAAAGTGCCACTGAATATCACGAGTAATGGAAATGTATTTATTTTGTTTGATTTCGGGGCTGGTGAGTAAAGGGACGTGTGATAATGAAACAATACACAGATTATCTTAATTAAAGTAGCCCGTCGGCATGTAGCGATTATAACTACGTCCCTTTATTCCCAAACTGGATTAAACGAAGCAAAATTTACATGTGTTAACGCGTTAATTTATGCAATATGTAAAAAAGGTGCCAAGATTAGATCGAGATGCGGAACTGACAGTGTTGTAGAAACGGAAGCGCGACTAAATTAGGACCACTGCCTGCTGCCATTAGCATTCATTCATTTGTAATGAAGGCATTTTCTGAAAATATCCCGTTCTAAGCAAGTGACGCCCAAAAGAGAAACAATGACAGCTTTAACATGTCATTAATTAAGAAATTGTTATACGGTTAACGACCAGTGGCATATTCCCGCCTGTTGCAACACTGTGCTTTACAGAGATTTAGCAGAAAATAGCGTTAAGGTGAATACGTGTTTTGAATTTTGATTTCATGCTCACTACAAATTCGTATGGGTCAGATATGATCTACATCTCATAGACAATCCATAACTGTTCATCAAATTTAACTATCAACGTGATCATACAATTAAGTATTCGACCGCAAAAGACACAGGAAAAAGGCAATTGCATAATGCATAAATCGATCTCATTTTCCTCTCTCCGACTAAAGTAACGGCGGCCGCTTTACTACTTTAGATAAATTTAGTTTTCAAAGTACTTCACATTAAATGGGGAATGCTTGTATTGGCGCAGTAGCGGTTAAACTTGACGAGTTCATTTGTCTACTTTATCTCAAAAATCAAGCAACAAAGTTTCGCAATTTATGTTAACCCAAAAACCGGCAAATTAAAATAAGGGTTTTATTTGCAGGTGGTCGCAGGGACTACTATTTCATCAGGCCGCCGTTGATTGTTTAAGGGCCGCGTTATTGCTGCCCTTAGGTGTATCAATTCTGAGATGCCAACCTGTTCAGAAGTGTTCGCTCGTCGAGACCGCCTTTTTGCTTTTAGTCACCGTCGCGACGGTCAATATGCTAACAACGGTCCTAAACGATTCACCAATCTTTCCGGATGACGACGAAGAAGAAACGGCCCAATCGGCGCCGTTATTGATGGATTCGCCTCAATGTGTTCTTTTCGGAACGTTTATGATTTGGTTCGCCTCGATAACCATAAATCTCGGGCCCACATTCTTATCGGGTAGGTAACCGATACACATCAATTTTCACGAACGAAAACGTTTTCTAATCGTAAATTATTTTTCAGGTGCGCTCGCGGCTCAAGCGGAATTGGGGCACAGTGCGCCATCGTGCCCGTTAATTCATGGTCCGCTGCGACATTACGTTCTGAACGTTTTATGGATCGCGGTTAACTTGATATGCGTCCTTTTGACTTTATTCCATCTACGAAAGTTACATCGCGACTTGACAAAGGCTAACGTGGAAGCCGTGAGAGTTGCGGGATTGGTCACATCCCTCGTTAGTGTCACGGGGGGTAGCGGGACGACACCTAACGCTACTGGTGAAAGGGTAAATACCACATTAAGTTTTATTTTATCGGCGCATAATCTTACTCGTCCAAATAAGTATTCAATTTCTAATTTTACCGTAACTCAAGTATCGACAGCTTTTGAAAGAACTTCAGAGAAAGTCTAATGTTGGCATACGAGACCGCCTGGAAGACTTAAAAGGGGCTTCGATCGCTCTATAAATTCTCAGGAGCTGTGGAGAATAAAATGTGCCCAACTGCCGTCCAGAGATTACAGGGTCCTTTCCAGAAGCTCTGAGATGCACCACAAGAACAGCACTCCTTTCTCGAAAATCAATTACCATACAGTTTTTTTTTAAATTTTAGCTGATAATTAAAAGTAACAAAATATACAATCCACACGAGGTGCGTCGCCTATCATTGTATTTCAGCACTTTCATGCTACGACAAAAAATGATAAAATCATTGTAGAATGTGGCCTGTAGAATCCATAATTGCAAACAGTTCCAAGATTGGGCTACTAGTTCAAAAGTTACAGCCCTTTGAATTTTTCTTTCGAAATTGGTTTCTAGTCTATAACTTTTGATTGAGAAGTCTGATCGAAAAAGTACGAATTGATTTGGATTCTACGCCCCAAAATTAATAAGAAAAAGTGTTTTCCCGAGAAATTTTGGTAAAAAGTTAAATATTTGGTAATTAAATACCTTTGGAAAGTATGTAAATATATTTGGGAAGTATTTAAATACGTTCGTGGTATTGTCTTAATAATCGTTGCCATAGATTTTAAATTCCACTTAACTTTAAGCAAGGCTTAATTTTGTTGGTGCCTTGTTGTTTTGTTGGGGTCTTGTTAAATTGCTCATTTATTTATGAATAAGTACCTATTCCAAAAACCAAAAGTAATATTTCTACAACTATATAATATGTAGACTATTAGTCACATGGTAATAGACACGTTTCATTGATTGCATTTTATGTTCATATACAAGAAATGTAGTACGCTCATTGGCCATTATAATTTTTTTAATTTTTTAGAAAGTATTTAGATACCTTTAAAAAGAGTTAAATACTTTTCAAAATATTTAAATATTTTACAAAGTATAAGTACTTAAATACTTCTTCAAAGTGTTTAAATACTTTTGCCAGTATTTGTATTTAACATTTGCTTATATTGATTCAAAAAGTATTTGATAATTAAATTCTATTGATTTTTGGAAAGTATTTAGTATTTAAGTACTTTTAGAAAGTATTTTGCCCAGGTCTGATAACAATCCGGTGCAAATACCTTAAGTATTAAAAAAAGTTTCATTAAATTGAGTTTAATTGAACCATATCACTATGCACGCTCAAACCACAATGAGAACCAAAGAACATCTGATTACGCGGGAAATCCCATTACAAATATTTCAATATCTTGAAAATTATTGGAGTACCCAATTATAGCAAAGTTAAAAATTGAATACTACGGTATCGATACTCGAACTCTATGGAGAATCCTAACCAAGTGCATGGAATGATGGGGGGGATTGTGTTATTAGCTGCCACTTCCATTGTTTTAGGCGGCGGGTGCTTTGGAGGAGCATCGGAAAATGCGAGACTACCTAAGAAGAATGGAAAAAGAAGGCGTACAACGAGTGAAAATGTTCCTAGTAATAACAGCGGCGTACGTACTATTTTGGGGACCACTATTCTTTGTAACGCTAGTACACCACCCGATAATCGGGAATCCGCTAGGATACGAGGTAACCACCGTTCTCCTCTTCCAATGTATTTAGACAAGACATTTTGCAGATTACCCTACACATATCATACGTACACGCAATAGTAAATCCCACCCTATTTATGGTGCTTCATAAGGGGTTGCGAAGAGCAGTTTTAGATATATGTTGCGGATGGGTACCTCTATGGTTAGGAACCGGTAGTGTTCCCCCACCACCCGATCCCCCGAGGGCTGCCGACATATCATATCTAAGTAAATCCCCCTTACCCACCCCCGCCCACCCAGATAGCTCTATGGTAATTAAATATTATATGTAAGTGGTGTGCACAGCATGTTTCTATATAATAACATTAAACACTCCCATTTTTTCCCTCGGCCTCTTCCCACTTCGCCTATTTTATTTCGCAAAACTTTTCTCGTTACCCCACTAATCCAGAAAACCGGCTTTAAATTTACTTGTACTACATACCTCACTAAGCTCATTATATCAAGTCGTTTTTTTTTTCTTTTTTTTAGGGAGACACCGATTTGAATCCTTGGACTTCTGAACCGCTAAACGGCGGAGTCGTAATGCCCCACTATGCGAGCCCAATTCCGGGCTCATCGCCCGATAGCGATTAGCCCGAATGGGACAAATCCACGCGGATATAAAGTACGACAATGTCGAGATCGAAGAAGACAAAATCTTATTAACGAATCGAACGAATTCGATTGGCTAACAAGTTTTAATTTGTTACTCTTTGTATTTATCTCACGAGACATATCGTAATAAAACGGGATAAATACACTTAAATGTTTAATTAATACGATAATAGAATAACAAATTAAAAAACGACTGATTATAGAGGGTTCCAATTGCGAAAGCCACATAGGAATTGATATCATTATACGGTAATAAGGCTTAATAGTTTGAGATAGTCCGCCCAAATTCTTATCAGTAATAAACGCGCGAATGGATCATAGAGTAGTATTGGCTACGCTGACAATCACCTTATCCAAAATGCTCCATGATCGTTAACTAAATAAGAGAATTAAAAAATGTGCCTAAAAGGTGGAATAAACTTAATCTACTTTTGTAAATAAGTCAAATTACTAGTAAGAGAAATGAGAGAGATTATGCACAAGCTTATTACTGTATTGTCAATGCGAAGGAAACCGACTCACATTTACCAAATTTGGTTTTCTTCACATTTGCTTTTTTCGGACGTAAGTGCACGGTTCTATTGTTTATGTGGATGTCAATTCATGTCACATGAATAAAATATAAAAAATAAAACTTGCGTTTACATTTTTCTTTAGGTACATACTGCAGACTCGCGGAGACCATATTGAGGTAAGTGGTTTTGCTCATAGAATGTTCAAATTGTTCCATATGAACAAAAAAAAGAAAAACAGAAGCAAAAATACCACAGATTACCAGTGACACAAACTAATTAGGTAAATACAGGGGTAAATACCGCATTACACGATTCAAAAATCAAACGTAAAAATTGTCTCACTAAATCACATGACACTCTTCGTTTAAAATACAGTTCCGTTGGTCTATTTTCAAATTAATAAAACAAAACAAAAATAAAATAGCATTGTCATTTGTTCTGAACGTCATTTTATATCGTGCTGCGCGTCCCATTTGAAATAAGAATGACAGATGTCATTAGAATGCACAATCATCTGTTTCAGTTGATCTACCTTTACGGTTAAAGAGCGCGTAGCCTACTCATTCAAACCTATTAAAATGTCAATTTAACATATGTTATAAAATAAACGGTCAACGCGCATAAAATGCACAACCTTTGTTTCAAAAGTTGGCTAATCCCAGTGTGTTGGGGATCTTAAAAAAAACCTAAAACTTTAACTATGACTGATGTTCACTTACCTTTCTTGCTATACCCTCTTCTTGCTTTTATGTAAAATTGCAAAAAAAAACAAATAAATTAATTGTTGCATACAAGGACTGTAATGTTAAAGGACGGTTGAGGACTGTCTTGGTGGATGGGAATTAAAAGAAACAGATAACCATGCATTTATTGAGTTATTTACAAAACTACGAAAATAAACTAAATTGATGTGCGATGATAAAAGGTGATGGTTCATTGGTTCGTTACTTCAACTTCTTTATAAATTCCCCTAAAGGATGGTAGATTAATGATCCCAAAGGCTTTAGCACATGACTAACTTCTTTCTTCGATGTTGATGTCTCTCCATTGGCAATGGAAATTACCCGCGTCGAGGCAATACATTTTTTAATGAACGCGCACCTTTCATACGTAAATAAAAGATAGGTTCAAGCTAAAAGGTAGGTTTTCTGCGACGGGAATTCTAAGGAAAAGGTAAATTAATGTATGGGAATGCAACAATTAATTTTTTATACGTTGGCGGTTATACTAGAGTGACAAACTATGAAAAAGTATAAAATGTAATTTGTCTAAAGTTTTCAATGGATCATGTATACTATCTTGCAAAACAAGAAGAACAATCGCTAAAAATTTTGTTTTGTAAATTTTAAACACGTGTTTGTAAACGTTTCCGCCAGATGGCGCATTAGGACATTTCCTTTCTCAAAATGTCATTTTCTGATAAATGGGCATTTCGTCCCCATCTGCCATCGTATTTTTTCTTAGTCACGTTACAAAAAATCTCTCTGCGCGACATTCAATAATACAAAAATCACTAACCTGTTCAAAGCCGCCCAAAATGTCCGTGGTGTCCATGGATGAGGTCACCGGTAAAGTCCAAAGAGTTTTTCCAACCAAATTCGCCAACGCCTGAACACTGCTGCTTTTGCCACTACCAGAAGAACCGACCTACAGTTTATACATGATTTAAAGACACTCAAATCTCGGCAATACCTTACCAAAATCGCCATCCAATTGAATTTAACGCAGTAGGCTAAACTTCTCAGAACGTTTATCTGCTTACGCAACACTAAGCAATTTTGAGGCGGTTTAATTAGGTTCATGTTCACTCCTGCGACTTCCTTCTTTAGACCAATGTCTCCAATTATTACGTCGATCTTGGTGACGTACACTATGGGAGCGTTGCCCGATATGGAGCAACCGAACTGGCGCTCAAATATTTCGCGCATGCGCAGTTTATCGGTGAGAGTTCTCATTCGATCACTATAAATGAGTTGGACGAAACTTTGCGGGGAGCGAGTCTCACTATGCACTACACTCTCACACCACCGCGCTATGTCTCTGAGATTAAACTCCCAAGGCGCACCTCGAAAGCCAAACTTGTGCTGTTCCAATTCGTTTACGACGCACGAGTTAAACTTGATCATTTTCGCAATTACTTCCGATTGCAGCTGAGGAAATTGGCGAGTTAGAATGTACTGTAGGTCTTCATCTTTCAGCGCGCTAATGTAGACTTGCGTGAACCTGTTAAGAAACGACTGGGGGAGCCCGCGTCTCGATCCACCCTGCCGCAATGGATTCTGACATCCAAACAGACGAGTCCCTGTAAAATGCTTGTGTAAAATGCACGAAGATATCGCGGTACAAGCGTTACCTGGTTTAACGTGGAAGGTTTTCGCGAGTTCGGGAATGAACACCTCCCCTCTGTGATCCAAGCAGGCGTTCAAACCCTCCAAAACAGATTGGGATGCCAAATTTAACTCGTCCAATAATACCCAGTCGCCTTGCTTTAGCGCTTGCAAAAACGGCCCGTCGCGCCATGCGAAATGACCTCCGGTCCCACCTTCTACGGGAAAGTCGGCGCCGAAAAGATCCGATACATCCTATAAGTTCAGACCATTTATACACAAAGTACTAACGAAATGCGACACTCCACAAATGACCAAATGACAAGTCTCTACAACGGCCGCACTAGTGGTTAATTTCACAATTAAAAAAAGAGCACATTTGTACAGTGGTACTCTTCCAATATATTTACTTACCGTCTGATCCGAAAGGTTAATACGAAGTAATCGATGTCCTGAAGCCTTTGCAATGGCGGTAATTAAACTGGTCTTGCCAACACCGGGACTGCCCTCCAGTAAAATGGCCTTGTTCAGCTGCAAGCCTCGTAGCACACGTAGCGCATTAAATGCAGTCGTAGGAGCTTCGAAAGCGAATTCTACGGGGGCAACAACTGGTCCTGTCGGTACATAAAATGGCGCTATTCCAAATAGTTCGTTACTAATCGTTATGGTTAAGTTTGAAGGTAGTTTGCTTGCTTCCAAATGCAGGCATCTAATCTGCTTGGTTAAGAAGTGCATGCACTCCTTCTCAAAGTGATCCAATACTCTTGAGCTACAAACGAGAAGCAGACCTTAGTGATGCATGCTATGGGAGATCAGAAATTTTACTACAATGCAAGGAGACCACCTCTCCTCCCCGCACAAAGCATAACCACCATATATTAATACAGGAAACTGACGTTGCGGTAGGGAGTGTGATTGATTTGAACTTCTACGTGCTTTGATTTGTCTTTTTGAAAAGAAAAATGCGGCCATTACAAATAATAAACCACAAAAAGCACCCTACATTTAATATTGATACACCTGTGCAATGGGACTGATGGATTGAATCTTTAGAAAAGTCATTTAGTGACACAGACGTCGATATATTAAAAAAGAAGATATTGCTGCACAACAATGGGGTCCTCATAGCGGATCTGTGTAAGAGCAAAGACAAAACGGTACAAGAAGCATCGTTCGAGATTCAAAGATGAAAAGCAAACACTTCTATCATACAAAGAGATTTTTTTGAGAGAATACACATACAGGGTGGCAATTTGAAAACTTACCACCCCCCATGTCTTAGTAAATAAACGAGATATTTAAAAAAATCAAAATCCGTTTCGGTAATTCGGAGGGGGAATCACAATGACATAGTTTGCGACGCACCCCCTCCAACCCCCTGCGCCCCGGCCACCCCAGCATTTAAATCTTAAATAGTGACCCCCTCATGTGTGATAGGTCGTTGGAAAGCTCTGAAAAAATGCTTTCCATACCAAATAGCATTACATTTAGGTAAGTAATTATCGTGAAAATCAAAAAATAAACTTTCTCCTACTAACCTGTTAAATGGAGCACATCCAAGCATTACAGCATTTAAACAAGTTAATTTGCATCTATTAACCAATATTTACTTGGTGCAATTTTTTATTAATGACTTATTATATCGGAAAATCGGGTTGTTTATGGCTTTGTACCTTTGATTATTATCATTAATTACATAGTGTTCAAGATAAGGATGTCTATCATAGGGATCTCCAGAACCATAGAAGATATAAGATGTATATTTGGGAAATGGGTTAAGTGGAAGAGCGAATGCAGTTTCTGCTGAGACTGCATTCGAACTTCGCCCAATTAGCTACTTAGCACGCAGAATGTTGTTTTTTTTTCTGTACTTTATATATGTTGTTGTAATGTAGCTAATAAAAGACATTATTATTATTATTATTATTATGCCACAAAAACCGCAATTTGGCCATTTCGTTTTTATTTTTTTCTGATGTAAATTGAGCAGATACAGAAAAATTAAAAACACTTTCTCATTGCCATTTTTGAGCTCTACAAGGCACTGTTGAGAGATATTCAATACAACCTTTCGTTTCGGAGCAACCATCATCAACTTTATTTTTTTATATGGCCCGTAAAAAAATACACATTGTATTGAATAGCATTTTTTATTATGAATACAACGATATACGCGAACATTTCCTGGAAAATAGAAAAATTTTAGGTATTCTCGCACGATTAGGGCGTCGTGTGCGGGTGCACCATCCTGTTGAAACCAACTTTTGTTCTTTTTTTGTGTGCCGTACATCGTTTCATTCGTAATCGCTACTCGATACAATATGCACTTATCATAATTTTCATTACCGATTTAAGAGTTTGTTTCTTATTTTGGAGTAGCGAAACATTTTGAATGAAATTTGGCCGATGCTATTTTGCATTGCCTTTAATTCTTTACAGCTGGGGTAGAATTGTGGAATCAAGTAAACGTAGCTAATTCTCCAAATCTTGGGGTAAAAAGTGTACTTTTGGGGCAAATATGAAATTTGGGAGAAAACAAAAGGAAAATTTTGGAGAGGAAGAAATTCTCAGTAAATATAACACATTTTTATGAAATTTCTATCCGTGAAAATTCTTGCGGAATAGGAAGGAAATTTAAAAAAATTAAAATGGTGGTTTCGTATAAAAAATAAGAAAATTTAATGTAAGGCTGGGGGTATTGGAGAAATTTGAGCGAAACAGGATAACAAAATTCGGAAGAAATAAGAAAGCTAAAATGAAAATTTAAAAAAATTATTGTTTCACTGTTCGCATAAAAATTGGGAAAATTTAAATCAATGAAAAATACCTTGAGAAAACATTCTAGAGGATTATAAAAAGCTTTTGTAAAATTAGTGAACTTCTGGAAAACGGCCAATGTTAATGTTTAAAAAAATGATGGTACTTATACAGGGTGTAGCACCTAAGACCCCTCGGATCACAATTCCTTTACCATAAAAGATACCGAAAAAGTCTTAGAACAAAATCGTACGCAATTACCGTCGCCAAAGATAAGACTACACTAGATCGACACCGTAAATGGGCAAGTTACTAAACTGCTTGTTTAGTTCCGTAAAAAAGATATAGGGGGCTTTTGCAATTAAGCCTATCATCGGAAGCCGTAATCGTACGTACTCGACACACGAGCTGCATTATATTGCTTGATGTATCACTCCATTGTTAATAGGTCATTAATGAAGGGTATTATTATTGAGAACTACCTATTTTATTAATAAATTTTCTTTTAGGCGATTGATTTCGACTTTATTGTCATCTTCAGGCCGTAGCCATAGCGTAATTACCACCATACATTCACTTTCTATTATATTTTAACTTTGACGCTACGGCCTGAAGATGACAATAAAGTCGAAATCGATCGCCTAAAAAAAATTTATTAATAATAGGTAGTTCTCAATAATAATACCCTAAATTATATTATCTCTTCCTTGATCTCCCCCCTTCCCTTTCCTTTACGTATTTGCATAGATTAAATTACAATTTACTGTGTAAGCGTCTCTGAGAATTTCCGCCACGTTGCGAATATTACGCACTTTTATCGGGCTGGAACAAATTCAATGCATGTTTTCCTTGTAAGCTGTAAGCAAAGATTTGTAAGTAAGCAGCTACCCTTTGTATAATATGTACTTTATACAGGGTGTAACATCCCCCTCGGATCGTAATGCCGTTACCATAAAAGATACCAGAAAAAAATGGAGGAGCGAAAATGTTTCTAAAATATTTCTGGTCACCAGTGGCGTGCTGTATTTCACTAGCGTATCTAACATCCGTTTTTTTTAAAAGGGAACACCCCATATTTTATTGAGAAATTCAAAAGTACTGTAGAGTACTTTTTTATTTTTTATGTAACATAGCATACGGTTAACTTTACCCATTTCGTTATTATATCCTTTTCTTCTCAAAATTTGACCGTTTTTCGAATTTATATTTTTCAGAGAAACTAAATCACGCCGGCGTTTAAATTTTGAATTCAGATGAATATTTCCAAACCGAAAACATGTTAAAAAATAAAAATGTTCTTTACAGAATTGTTGCTCCACTGCACCACATGTAGGTTAACTTTCCGACTTCCGAGGGTTTATTTTATAAAGACCCCATGCAATCGAAAGAAGATTTTTTTCTCATCTAATGATATGCGCAGGTGTATTTCTCATACTTTCATAAAAAATTCAACAAAATTAGCAATTAGCAAAATCATGTTAAGCCATGACTCAATTGGAAATTTTCTAAAGGATTGAATAACATTTGAATCGGCTTTTAGTCTTACTAATAGTCATGGCTTACATGATTTTGGTAATTGTATTTATTTCAATTTTTGATGAAATAACGGTTATTTTTTTTTCGTTTAAAGTTTGGATAGTCCACATTAGGCATAAAAGATGTAAGACTGTCAAAAACTTTTTTAGCTTCCTAGGACGAGCTAGGTAGCTATTGCGATAGCCGTTTTTTGGACATGTCAAAATTGTGTAATTATAAACAGGAACAGATATATTGTCAGGGTGAAACTGAAGGTACCTTCCATTCTTTATAAGAAATACGGCAGATTTATTAATTTAAATTAGAGCAGAAAAAGAATAGTGAAAGAATGCAATACACAATATAAAGAGCCATTGTTCTAATATTGTCTGCAAATACAGTGAATAATCACTACTATTGTGGTAAAAACATTCTCAGCGGACAGAGTGGACATATCCTGCTGACAAAAATGAGCGTTTAAAATTTATACAGACGGTGTCTATCTAGTGTAGCATTATCTTTACCGTCGGCATATTTCTAAAATATTTTTGATCACCGGAGGCGTGCTGTATTCCAGTGGTGTATCAAACTTGCGTTTTTTTTAATGGAACACCCCATATTTCATTACTGATTTGGAAGGTACTTGAAAAATACTTGGAGAGAAACTAAATCACGTAGGGGGCTAAGTTTTGGACTGAGGCATAGGTTAAGACCTCTTCCACAGTCACATAGTTTTTTTTAGGTACTTTATCGAAGAAATAAAATTTTTGATTGACCTTCGCCAACTGTCATATTTTTTAAAAATTTCAAATGCCACCTCCCTAAACAAATTATACTTCTGGGTAGCCAAAACTATAAATTTTCTACTGATATAACCAAAAGAAAATTTCAGAGAAAAACTAAGTCGAAATGACAATTTGTAAAAAAACGTTCTTTTTCGAACCCAAGTGTGCCATGATGAAACAGAAGATGTTCAATTCTCACAATTAACAATACAGGCTACCGGTTATGTGTCTCAGTGGTAGAGCGTTGGGCTACATAGTCGGAAGGTCGGGTGTTCGAACCTATACTCGTATAGGCTGAGGTAAGAATTAATACGAGTTAATGGTTATGTCCGCCTGGTGTCCATGTCCACGAACTAACATATACTGTTCACACACGTCCATAAGAACCGTAAATCTATATATTTTATAATCAAGGGCTCTAGCATAGACAACGACATGCAGGCACAGGCGAGCGCCATATTGAATTCACAATCCATCCAAAATCTACCATTGGATTTTCACCAAGGCCAGTCAACTTCTCCTATCACCACAAAAACTCACTTAACTGGCTAATAATGTACAATACTATTACTAAAATTTACTACACCTAAACTGTAGTGCACTATGACCATTGTAAAACAAAAGATCAGCCTACCTTTCGTGACTTGTAACGCCTGAGCCTAAACTGTCAAGAAATGTGAGGCATGCGCCCTGCAGGTACGCATCGGCAATTCCAATCTCCTTAGCGCATGCGTTAATGAAGTTAACCCACGTTAACAGATCCCGCACGCTTATAGTAAATTTCTTCCCGATCTCGGTGGCTTTAAACCAATCCACAAAGTCCATAATCAACTCGCCGGATGCGATGGGATGTTCGAGATTACGATCGATAATTGCGATAAGATCTTCGCGCTGCTTACACGATTCGCACCATATCTCGGTGAAACGATTGCGTAACGCGGGCGATAACTCTTTCTTTCCGTAATCGCCACCGGGATTCATCGTACTGACGAAGTAGAACTTATCGTGCGCGACGATCAGTTCGGAATTATCGCGATTGTTTACGTCTGCGCCCTTCTCCGCCAATAGAAGGCATCTCTCCGGTTCTGAAAGGGTAGTATTAATGTTGATTGAGGTGTGTACGGTCACGAACCTAATAGCGAATTTAATCTTTCCAAAACACTATCATCTGCTAGGGAGATTTCATCTGCCAAGAATATTCCGCCTTGCGTCATCGCTTGGATTAAAGGTCCGTTTACCCACTCAAACAATCGGTTGATGTCTTTGTCCTACGGTATGTCGGTAACATTACGAAGTATTACTAGTTGAACTTACTGAATGGTCGCGCACCGGACGTAGACCTCCGATGAAGTCACCACTTTCAGTATGCATGTGACAATTGACAGTGAACAAAGTTTGATTATTATTGTCGGCTAACAGTTGGCACGCGGTCGTTTTTCCCCCACCAGTTTCACCGACCAGCAGTACAGGCTCCTTAAATTCCAAAGCTTTCGCCATTAAAACCACTAACTGCCGCATATTGTAAGTCCACACTATATTATTGTGCCTGCCATCGTCCAACCTCTCTAAAATGTGTTTCGTAACTGTCGACGTATCTTTAGACACTAAAAGAAGAAATGAACTAAAAGTAAGTACATTAAAATACTTTCTCGTACGTGTGAATAAATGTTGAGCCACAACTTTTCGTTTCATATGTTTCTCCAAAACTCGTGCGATCGACTCTCTTTCTTCCACTCTTCGAACTCTTCCCGCCAACAAAAGGTAGCCTTCGTCGGCGATGTGTTGGTCCCAATCGTACAGACTTTTCGTGTCATTCGCCAAATGGTACCGTTCACCCCACCGAAACAAGTCTCTAAGTGTTATAAAACCTTGTTTACCGGCGAAGGCGGCCGAGCTTCGACGTTGCAACTGAAAGAGGAAGGTTACGAGACGAGACGAAAGATAATTGATCAACTCACCTGTAGATCCGTCATTACCGCAACCATTTTCTTAGAGTACGATAGCGGAATCTCGCACCGCTTGTGTAAAATATCTGTTAGTTCCGCAGAAGGTATTTCGTTAAAGTGCAACTCGACGAAGCGATTACGAAAAGCGCGCGAGAGCATCTTGCGCCCCCCGTATAAACCTGGTGGGTTTTGGGTTGCGAACAATTTAAAATTCGGGTGGGCCTTTACGGTTACTTGCGTTTCGGCTATGAAAAGCTCGCGGTTATCGTCCAACACGCGGTTTAAAGCTTCCAGTACGTCGGTCGGTGCGAGATTAAGTTCATCCAAAATGATCCAGTGCCCGTTCCGCATGGCATCAACCAGCAAACCCTCCCTAAACACTAATTTACCATCAATATCCGCCATATAAGATCCGATATACTCTTGTAGATCGGTGTGCTCGTGATTGTTAATGCGAACACATTTATTTCCGCTTGATTTGGCCAGGTAGGTAATGAGACTCGTTTTACCGACGGAGGTATCGCCTTGAAGCAAAACCGGTGAGTTTCCAATGGAGACGACGCGTACCAAATCTTTTAAATTGCGCCGAATGCACGGGGTGAGGATGTAATCCTTTGGTGCGCTCACCTCCAGCGAGCCGCAGGTCACCCAGTAACCTTCAAACTGGATTGAATCCGCCCTCGGTTGCGGAATGGGCTGATTTAAGATGCTGTTCGCATTCTTCGCACTTCCCAAAATGTACTTGGCAATTAGATGCTCAATGGTTTTGTAGGAGAGTTCATCCAATTGAGTTAGAAAGCTCAGACAGAAAGCTTCGTACAAACTTCTGAAGAAACTACCACACGGATTTTGCGCGGTTATCATCAGGGCTCTGCATAGTGTTCGTAGAGAATAATGCGGCTTGTGGCCCAAACCGTCACTCAAAGTTGTGAGGGCGGCTTTGCGAATATACGAATAGCACTTTACGATACTCTTCAGTGTTTCGGTCGAGACAGCCAAAGCGTTCAGATAACTTTTAACCAGCATCATTAAGTCGTACTGGTCTTCTAATTCGTCAACAAAAAACTCGGTGAAGCGATTTCTAAGTCCGATCGGTAGATCCCTTTTGCCAATATCGGTGGAAGGATTCATGCAAGCGAATAGTGTAAATTCGGGGTGGCGAACTACCGGTTTCTTATCGCCGCGTTCCAATAGGCTAATCGATCCTTTAGGACTTTCTAATAATCCCGATAGGCACTCGAGAGTTTCGGCATTGGCCAAATTTATTTCATCGAGTAAGACCCAGTAGCCGTTCTTAATTGCTTTTACCAAACTTCCCTCTATAAAGGAGAACGCGATGGCGTTCTTGTGTTTCAACTGCGTCTGTAGTTTTAACAGTTTTTTGTGGATATCTCTCCACAAGGTTAGAAAGTGTTGATTACGGTTTTTCTGCTTGTCTTGTGTTATTTTGTGGTCGACGCTGAAAAATTTTCGGATTACAGTCTTTATCTCGTGAATTGGTTAGGGGTCCCATTAGGGACTATGGTGTTTGACGTGAGGAGAGAGACAAATATTTTGAATCCTAACGGAATCATAATTTTCCTGGGTTATTCTGAGATCGCTGGTGTAGCCCCAGTAAAACAAAACTTTGCATCAAAATTGTACGCCAAGTTCCAACCATAGTGCCAGCACTACTAGCTATGATTGTTCCCCGACTTAAAAAATGTGAAGAAAGTTAGGCATGTTTCAAGAAAAATCGTAGTACGATACTTTTACATTACACACTCTCACTCCTCGGCCTGTCGAACGCGAAGCCTAAAGTTAATATCCCAAAAAGTGAGGAAATTATAGCGTTCAAGGGGTTGGGAGTCGTGCCCATTTTCTTCAAATTTTCTGAGCCCTAAGCACCCCCTTAGGAAAAGTCCGAAGACAAATCTGCAGTCATTTTTACCGCATTTTCCAATGAAGTTGGGTGCGCTATTGCAGCCGTCCGTCTGAGGCCTTAACTACTCCTACAGTTTTCAATATATTTAGTTCGTTCTTTTTGAATTCGGTAGCTTATAGCTCTTGCCCCTAGGTCAAGAAAAATCTTGACGATTAATGTGGGCATGCGCAATATCAACTTTCTTATTTATTAATATAGTTTGTTGTAATGCTGTAAAGGCAAACATATCGCATATTGCATACATTACCTATGCGCGCATATTCAGATTTCGCAATATCAACTGTGTTATTAATCGAAATTTTTTTTGAAAATTTAATCAACATATCCAATGAAAGATGCAGCGACAACAGGCCCCTTTGATTTATTTTATCATTCGTAAACTTAATTTGGAAGTGCATTTAATTAAAACTTGATTGACTTTATTGCTATGTTTTTTTTGTTTATTACTGAATTTGATTGATCCCGGAGGCCATCGAGATAAATCTCGTCCGAAGTATTCCAAATAAATACGATTACATGAAAAACGCCACCTTTGTTTCCAGGGGCCCTCGCCAGTAACTATTCCAAAAAAAAGATACCCTTCAACCACGACAGCCAAGCGGTTACTTCCTCGTTTCTTGAAAAGCGAATTTTGAAAAGCGAAAGTATTTTTTACTGCAGTCAATGAAATGAATAAGCACACGCGCGAAATGTTTATAATAAAACCGAAAGTGGTTAGAATCGTGTCAATGGGTTTGTAGTTCGCATACTAAATTCAAATAAAATGTTCTGAGAATCTATCCATCGTAGAGGCTTGCGGTAAAAAAAATTTATTACTAAAAGGGCCACGAGCAAAACCTGGAAAATATTTTTAAGTTTCTGAAATGACCGCTAGGGGGCGTACCTGCAATCTGGAATGTAAAAAGTGATTTTTCTGTGAATTCCGCTATATTAACCTAACAAAAAAATGTCCGGTCTTTGAAGTTATATAATCTGACCAATTTTTGTTTAACAATTTTTCCTGTATCTCTAAAAATGAAGTGGTGGGGGATATTCAAAGGTTTCCGTAAAGAACACCCTGTATCTTCGAAACGGCTGAGCCGATTTAAATAAACTCGGGTTAGTTCAAAAGAGCTATTCTTCAGCTACAAATATTAAGGAATATGAGGAACAATCGCATGTATGGTGCATGCCATTCATCATGCCTAAATTTTTTTTTTTTTCGTAAACCATCACCGATAGCAATATTCATCAAGAGACAAAAAATGCTTGCAAGTAAACTGTCTATCAATGTCTAAAAATTCAGAGCCGTCAAAATAGTAGTTAAAAAGTTTTAGACCTCTTCAGATGTGGATGGTCAGTATTTTACCACCTACATAGCAACTACAATCAAAACGATGATATCACAAACACCCTTTTTACATTAGACATTCACATCCCGACTTTCATTTTAATCGGCAAAACCATTTTCAGATAAAATAAAAAGAACGATTTGTTTTTTGAATCTTTGGCGGTAGATAGCGCCTTAACGAAGCACTTTTGGATAGAGGTAAGTAGGGTTAAATCGTCCTATTTTGATACCAAGAACCCCTGGTAGCGCGTTGTACAGACCTTTTAGGGACACCCTGTATATATGTTTATATCGTGATGGCCAGCATTTCGAGCATTTACGGCGGCATTAAAAGCTTCCTTTTTTAAATCGATCCACCTTAGGGCCACAAATTATATAAGAAAAATAATTCCGGAAAAATTATCTTAAAAAAATAAAATTTTGAGAGTATAAAATTTTCTTTGGCCTAAATTTTAGATTAGGAACAAGATATCGAGATGCGGTTTTCGCGAGCTTGTTTAGGCATCATTTAGCTACTTTTTCATTTAAAAAAATCGAACCAACGCATTTAATGTTTTTGAGAAAATTAACCATTTCTGTCGGAATTTCGAAAAAAGCCCTCAAGCGGCGATATGTGAAACTAACAAAACTTCAAATAGCATAATATTTGTAGCCGAAGAATAACTCTTTTCAATTAACCCGAGTTTGTTAAAATCGGCTCAGTCGTTTCGAAGATACAGGGTGATCTTTACGGAAACCTTTGAATACCCCCCACCACTTCATTAGAGATACAGGAAAAATTGTCAAACAAAAAAGGTTCAGATTATCGTCGTCTTCAAAGAACGGACATTTTTTTGTTAGGTTAATATAGCGGAATTCACAGAAAAATCACTTTTTTAGATTCCAGATTGCAGTTACGCCCCCTAGCGGCCATTTCAGAAACTTAAAAATATTTTCCAGGATTTTCTCGTGGCCGTTTTAGTAATAAATTTTTTTACCGCAAGCCTCTACGATGAATAGATTCTCAGATACAGTACCTCGCATTCTTAGTTGGCCACCCTGTGCATGATAACTCGCGAACGGTTTCGAATGTTCCAATCCCGTATATAAAGAAAGCTATCAAAAAAGATTCAAATAAAAGTTGCAAGATTCGATGGGATAAATTCAATGGTTGTAGAAATTTTTTTTCAAAATGGCGGTTTTTATTGGCGGCCATATTGGATTTTTACGTCACTCGATAGACAAAAAATTACAAAGCCAGCGATACTAAACACTTAAGTACTTCATTTGGGAATCAACCTTGCATTTTTGCCTCGAAGTTTACAATGTATTTCTTATGGCAATAATTCCATGGATGATTACGATTGATCTCAAATTCGTTCGTTTATTGTCTCAATTTTGTCACCATCGACACGGCCATGGAATTATTGCCATAAGAAATACATTGTAAACTTCGAGGCAAAAATTCAAATACTAAGTGTTTGTCCACTGTTTCTACACTCATTGAATTTATCCCATCGAATCTTGCCACTTTTATTTGAAACTTTTTTCGATAGCTCTCTTTGTTACTAAAACATTTGAACTTTTTAAAAATGGCGATTTTCACTTTTTTTGAATTATCTACGAAACGATTTATTTTTTTAAATATCACATCGAAATATCCATTAGCATTAAAAACTACACAACATTATCATTTTAACGGAGCCTGTAAAATAATAACAAAGATAGCTATGTTATCCTACTCAATTTAAGACACCCTGTAAATGTTGCAAGTTTATTTAAATCTGTGCACGCGATTTACTAAAAAAAAAATAATTTTTGTGCAATTCTGAGAAATCTTGTACAGGGTTGCGATTTAATAAAGGATAAATTCAATAAAAAAAAATGAAGGTGTGTTCGAAAATACGCTCGCACACGTTGATTAGTATTTTAAACTGCGCTCTTTTTGATCTAATAATATTTTATACAGGATGTCCCTCACAGAATTAGTTAGATTTTCTCCGTAACTATTTAGCCAATCAAAGTTTTAAAAGGTGTTCCAAAGAGCTTTATGCGTACTCTATTACCAGGTAATGTTAGTTCTATATGCTTATTTCGTATAGCCCCTGGTTTTCAAAAGGTCCTTCAGCCTTCCTGAGAGTATTCCGGCCCTTATAGAGAGCTTTTGGCCTTTCCTGAGGGTATCAAGTCATTTCTTGAACTTCACTGGCACTCACTCAAGAGTATAAAAGCCCAAAGGCTCTATGGAAAGTAGTTTTTTGTTGTTTTTTTTGTGATATTTAATGCAGGTAGTAAACTTTGCATTTCTGTATAATGTATTTGTGTTTTATTTTATATTTTTTGTGAGTTTCAATCTTTGATTTTGAAGTTGACTGGATTTAACCTTAATGCAGGTTCATGTGTTTGATACCGTTAACCTTTTGTTTGAAATCACGTTCATTTTTGGTGTATTGTTTGCTAGATTTTTGTTTGTTTCGATTACCCGGTTTTGGTCCTGCTTACCTGACCCATTGTTCACAAAACTTGTTTTTTTAACATATACGTCACCTCTCAAAGCGTACATACTACATATTTTGTTAATATTGTTGTTATAATTTTATGTTATGCATTCATATCATTACAAACAATTAATTTTAATTGTCCTCTTAAATTCTTATTTGATTACACTACAAGCCACAAATAATGAATAGTACAAAACCTACCTTGTGACGTCAGTACGGCGCTGGTGTGCTTGGCCCAATTTATCCAAAGCCGCCAGACAACTTTTCATCATCATCTTCAATAAGATCGTCCATTTCATATTCTTCGAGCAATATTCGATGTTCTCCAAAAATTCCTTGTTATCTTTAACACTGAAGTACGATCGAAACACTTCCTCAAACTCCTTCCGAATCGGCGACACAACAAATTTAAAATCGACAGGCTTATATCCGCCCAACAAATCTGACGAGTCGGACTGCTGATTCATATTGATGACGACTAATTTAACACCGATAATGTGCGCGAGATACTGAACTGCGGACGTTTTCCCGGTACCGGTCTCGCCGACGAGCAAAACCGGTTCCCTTAAGTTCACACAGCAGATAATTCGCTCCAATAAGCACGCCGAAGGTCTGGTGAAACAGAAATTCAAACGTGTGTCGGAGAGGGACTGCTGCTTTAATAGTTCGACACGATCACTCTTGATCTTCTCGACGGTTAAACTAAAGGTCGGCTTGTACAAGTTGCAAAAATAATCCGCTTTCTCGCTTATGATCCCTAAATGAGTGGAAATAATGCGAGCCAACATCAATCGATGCGAGAACTCCGAGCATGAACAACAAAATACGTCAATCCCATTCTGTAAGACATTCAATGCGGATACTTGACTTTTTACATCAAAATCGATAACCGCTCGTGTACACCATTTAAATAAGTCACGAGTTGACACAAGTCGATTGGATCGATTAGTGGAATGAACTGTGAACTTCTCAAAGGCGTCGACCATTCTGCTCGCTATCGTTCTCAACGAAGGGAACTTGGTTTGGATGATGACTTGAAGTTCGTCAGATTGCAATGGGTCGACGTGAACTTGTAACACATTTTTTTCAAGTAATGCTATCGCGTTAGTGTGCACCTTTTGGTAACCGCTCACAGTTGATAGTAATCTGAAACAGGACTCTTAATTGACGTTTTTGAAAGTATAACGTACCGTTGCGTCATAAAGAGTTTAAAACCGGGAGCGACAGGAACCGAATCTCTATACCCTGGGACGGTTAGTTCACCGTTTTCTAAGAGTGCCATCAGAACTGATGCGATATCCATGTTTGCCAAATCTATATCCTCGAGCAACAACCAACTGCCATCCATTACAGCCTTTAAAAAATTAATTCTTAAAATATAATTACAGTGGAATTATTCTCTCAATAGTGTTTCAATGTATACAGGGATGTTTATTAAAAAGTAGACATAGGAATTAACGTGAATGGTCTCATGTATGGTTTTTCTCTATGTCTACTTTTAAATGTCAAAATCTCTTCTGAAGGGCGCCTAATTTTATGCAACCAAAATTACTTCTTAAAACAAATACAGATCTGGCTGTCATATTAATTAATTTGAATATTTTTGCTTCCGCTTCACAGAAAATAAATCCCAGCACTATACCAATTGACAATATCAATGACTTATCTGATAGTCTTTAACAATAACAACTTTTTCCTCAGTTGAATACATCGCACCCGAACGAAAATAAAAATACGGAAGGCAAAGCAACAATATTCAAATTAATCAATTTGGCTGCCAGATCTTTATTTGTTTTAAGAAGTTATTTTGGTTGCATAAAATTAGGGGCCCTTCAGAAGAGATTTTTTTTCTTTTGAAAGTAGACATAGGGGAAAGCAATACACGTAAATCCCTATATCTACTTCTTAATAAATAGTACTGTAGATGTAGCTTTAAGTAATCAAGAAATTTTTGGGTGAAACAAAGTAGGTAGATAATAAGCCAGAAAATAAACGAAGCTATTATCACGCTTTAAAGAAAACAAAAAAATTCCGATTACTTCTATAGATTTCGTTTTTATTTTTTTCTCATTGCCACTTTTTGAGCTCCACGAGACACGATTGAGATATATTCAACACAGTGTTTCGTTGTGTAGAAATTATCATCAACTTCATTTTATTATACTGGGTGTCAACGAATCTATTAGACAAGCCATAATGACTAGAGTAATATGTGTTACCAAAATAATTATTGGTAGAGGGAAATGGTAAGTGAAGAGGAGAGTTTTCGCATATTTTTCTCTTTTTGCTCACTTTCTGTTTCATCGGAAATGGTCCAGATTTTGAATGTTTAAATGGAACACCCTGTATATTTTTACATTTTTGGATTTCTGAGACAATTCCCCATCAGAATGTGACCTTTTCAAAAGTTTTTACGTCTACTTTCAAAGCCACTTTTAATATTGCATCTAGGTGGCCACGATCGAAGCCAAACTAATCTAAGGACCTTAGGTGATCTCAAAAAATTACAATAACAAAGTTTTAGTGGCTAATATGAGACAAAAATTGGCAAAATTACATTTTCGTATCTAACTAGTATTTTCAAATGGCAACCCTGTTTTGCCAAGCACTTTCCGAAAATAGGATTTTTTCAAATCTAACGATACTAATTTATTATTTTTATTCAAAAATGAAAATATACAGGGTGTTCCATTTAAAAACTCAAAATCTGGACCATTTCCGGTGAGAAAAATATGCGAACTCTCCTCCATTTACGTGTACCAAATCTCATTTTGATCCGAGGTTGGAACCGGAACCGAAAAAAAACGGTACAGATTGCATTTATAAGACTAAAAATATGTCAATCAAACTTAAAAAAATATGTTTATGCAAAAGACCAATGTACTTTAATTGTGTGTAGTATTTATTTTCTATAATTATTATTAAAGTTATTTAATATATCCAAAAAACACAATTAGAACATGTATTTATTCTTTTGTGAAAAAGAAATACAATTCTACAAAATTGACTGACAGAATATTATTCATTCTAAAAACACGCCAACTTTAAAATATATAATTTTTGTTTAAAATGGCAATTAACATTTTTACTTTAACAATTATTCATAATTTATATTTCTTAATAATAATTTTATTTATGTTGGAACCCTTAAAAACCGAAAAAAAAATTAGAACCGGAACCGAAAATTACTGAAGCCACAGAACCAGAAGTGGTACAGGCGAGGGTACAGGATACCCTTAAAATATATAGCCCATATACATCATTTTAAGCAACTTTCAAACAATAACATTTTTATTAGTCTGTATTGTATGTGTTGGCAATTTTATGAAGTAATGGCTCGGCGGATTCGGTTCAAATTTTGGATATGTGTATTACGTATAGAGAAACGAAAAATAACAGGCCGGATTTTTATAAAAAAATTTGGAGCGCGGCAACGGTATCGGATTTTTTTTTCAAAAAGCAACCTAAAAATTGTTATTGAGGTATTAGAGAGGCCTTATTTTTCTGTGTACAACCTACAAAAATTATGCCAGGTTTTATTACAAAAATTCTGAGGCAAAAAATGTCAAAGTTAAAAAACCTAAAATATTCTTTTTCGGCAAAACTAAATTCATTCTAATTAGGAATTACAATTATTAAATATGTATTGCCTTGTGACTGTATAATCAAAAAATTAACAAAATCAATGGACGAAATTTAAAAAAAAATGAGATGTGTACCAAGCGGTCACCCATCCAAGTACTGACCAAGACCGCCAACGAGAACCAGTGTTTTCAACGTGGTATTGCCATTGGCGAGAAAATTACTGGTCTAATATATGGCACACAAAAAAAAAAACTGGAGACTGTTGGTTTCAACAGGATGGTGCACCCGCACACAAATCAAAAATCGTGCGATAATACCTATCGGACAAAATTTTTCCACCACATTTTTCTGATAGGTATTCTCGCACGATTAAGGCGTTGTGCGCTGGTCCACCATCCTGTTGAAACCAAGAGTTTCCAACTTTTGTTTTTTTTGTGCCGTACATCGTTGTATTCGTAATAAAAAATTCTACTGAACACAGTATGTACTTTTTTTATGAGCCATATAACAAAATAAAGGAGATGGATGATGCATGATGATTTCTCCAAAACAAAATGTTATATTGCAAAACTCTCAACGGTGTCTTGTAGAGCTCAAATAGTGGAAATGAGAAAGTGTTTTTTATTTTTCTGCTCAATTAATATCAGAAAAAAATAAAACAAAATCGGCAAATTTCGGTTTTTCTGGCATATCGTCAGAAGTAAACAGAATTTCCTGGTTTTCTTTAATTCTCTTTAATTGCGTAACTTTTCACTGATTGTACCTGCACAACATGTTTGGCACTTTTGGAGACAGAAAAACAATCATAATAAAAAGGATAAATTGTATGTGCTTATTATACCTCATTATTCTGCCTCAAAAGACAAATTGTTCACAATATGCATGCACTTATACAACCCTTCAAAATACACATGCATAGATCAGAATAGCATACCTGAGTCAGCACGCCCGGCTGCCACACGAACTCCCCGGGAATATCGGTACAGCCATAAGTCCCGAGTAACATTTTACTGTCGGTTTGATCACCGAGCTGCACCCTCACGAAATTTTCACCCGCCACTCTTCCAGTTTTTTCCGCTAAGTATTCGACGAGAAACGTCTTCCCCGAGCCGACGGGGCCTTGCAATAAAATACCCTTCGCGCCCACCACTCCTAACGCTAGCCTCCGTAAATTGCCAAGTGTCGATTTTACTTCTACCAGCCGGATCGAATCAGCCACACCGCTCGAATATACGGGCAGGTAAACTCCGCCAACGCGCAACACACTGTCATTAAGAATGAATTGGTCATCGTGTTCGTAGATTACGTCTTCATTTGAGTGAACAGACTGAGAGTGAACCGAGCATTTGTTTACTACTGCCTCTGAGAGATTGCCATCGATAACTGCATCGAACTTGGCTTCGTTCATTCCCAGCAACAGCCGCACAATTTGGTAACAGTGCCTAGGCAAACTCAATTTAGCGTTGGCTCACATGGAACCAATACTCACCAACGAATAATTTCGACTTCGTGTTTGAAGTATTTCTTAATAAAGCCAGACCAGGGCCACTTGGTTCGGAAGAAATCGGGCGCTCTTTTGAGTAAATTATGGCATAATGTAACGATGTCAAGATCGCTAACATCACGGCTTGGCTCGTGTTTAAGTCTTTTTTTAGGGGGGTGTTGATTTAAATCACACTCGAAGGGAGAAGGGTGCTTTTCGAAGTAGCGCAGTGTAAAGCTGGAAGGAATAGCATATTTTGTAAATTGTCTTTAAAAAATGAAGAATACATGCATACAATACAGGGCCGGATTATAAAGACAATAGATGTCCTAAAAATTGGTGCACTTATTTATAAATACACTTCAATTTAAGTAAGTGAGCATAAATATTTCAATTACAATTTGTGAATGTTTCTATTTTCGAAATATCTCTGCTTAGAAAACAGATATCAAAATGCGGTTTTCACGTTTTCATTTTATTTGATATCATATAATAATTACATATGTCGTTCCATTTGAAATTTTCAAAAAAACCTGCCAAGCATATGTTAATGTCACATCGCGCCCTCTACCACTCATCACATTTACTAAAAAGACTCTATTCATGTAAAATCTGATTCCACAAAGAGAGCTCTTTCCAACAAGACCTATGATGTGAAAATTGGTTAAACCATTCAATTCTACTTCCCCCATTCCTCATATTTTATGAGCTATAGCAATATGTGCTGCATCAAAATGATACAAAATTGCGATGCATGTATTTTTTATACATGTTTGTTGGGTATATTTTTCTACTTAACCATGAATCGTACGCCCTCTAACGGCAAACCTAAAAACTTGAAAATAACTTCCAGTGATTTCTCTTGGCCTCTTTTATTAACAAAATTTTTTTCCCGAGGTTGCGCAATTAACACTTCCGTAGATATGACCTGTGACCATTATCAATGGGACACCGGACACCCTGTACATCAGACACTACTCAGAACGTAAGGTTTTATCCATTTAAAAATAAGTAATGTCTAGCAGCTCTGGGATCTTACTCTATTACGATGATCTGCCGTTTTAAAAGTTTTTGTTTAAAATATATAGGGTTTTCAATTTAAAAATATGAGGTAAGTACGGAGGAAACTCAAAAAATTGTCAATCTCAGAATAAACCTATGTTTTCTTAGTTAAGGAGATATAAAAAGATGTTTCTTACAAGTGTCTTTATAATGGCTGTTGAATTATCTGTCATTTTCAAAATAATTATACGAGGTCAGATAAAAAAGTTATAGGACCTAGTCTCATTTTATTAGTGAAACGTACTGTATATTTTATTCTCTCGGGAAAACACTTTTTTTTATTAATTTTGGTGCGTAGAATCCAAAACAATTCGTACTTTTTCGATCAGACTTCTCAATCAAAAGTTATAGACTAGAAACCAATTTCGAAATAAAATTCAAAGGGCCGTAACTTTTGAACTAGTAGCCCAATCTTGGAACTGTTTGAAATTATGGATTCTACAGGCCACATTCTATAAGAAAATTTGATCTGATCTGAGACAATTTTTTTTCGGGGCTCAAAAAAAGGCAGTGTATAACCTTCCTTGTTTACCAAAAATCGACCGCACCAAAATTCCTCGGGAAAACATTTTTTCTTATTAATTTTGGTGCGTAGAATCCAACACAATTCGTACTTTTTCGATCAGACTTCTCAATCAAAAGTTATAGACTAGAAACCAATTTCGAAAGAAAAGAGCATATTAAATTCGCTTTCCAAAAATATAACACTAAAGAAATTAAAAAAATTCAATATTAGATTTTTCAAAAAATTACTTTGTTTTTTTGTTTTTTTATATCATTTGTATTTTTTTAATAACATCCCTATTTATTGTATTATATATTCAAAAAGAGAATTTTAATATGCTATCTTTTCAGATTAAAATATACAGGGTGTTCTATTTTTAAAATAAGAAACCGCCATTTTGAAAAATTGTTGTATACGCCCATTGAATTGATCCCATCGAATCTTGCAACTTTTATTTAAAACTTTTTTCGCAGCTCTTTTTGTTACTAAAATATTTGAACCTTTTAAAAATGGCGATTTTCACTTTTTTTTCCAATTATCTACGAAATGATTTATTTTTTTCAAAATATCGCATCGGAATATCCATCAGCATCAAAAACTACACAATTTTGTCAATTTAACCGAATCTGTAAGTATAATAATAACAAAGATGGCCATGTTATCCTACTCAATTTAAGACACCCTGTATAAGGTTTGTTAATGGTTATATCATAGTCGCTACAGTCTTGGGCCCTTTTTGTAGGACAGACAGTATATTTGATACATAATATATTCGAGCGGTCTTAAATACTCTTAATAATACCTACACCGAGTTCTTGTTCGAAGAATGGGAATGACAGTACATTTTTGGTAGGTGACCACTCTAAATTGAAAGTGGTGCGTTTCGGAAAACAATATGCTATGATCTATGCCAAAAATCGGTGTAAATTCAAAACCAACCAGCAATACAGACGAAAATGAGGGTCAGTCTTCCAAGCATATAAATGTGGTAGGTATCTTGTACTAGTCCATTATTTTGTAATCGCAAAATTTGGCAACAATATACAAAACAGTGAAGAAACAATGGGGATTTACAATAATTTTGCTATGGTTACAATTATTGCCACAATTGTTTCTATGGTTATTTCTACTAATCCGGTTAAAGCGGTTGAATTATCGTAAATCCCCAGTATAGTCAAGTCTTGGTGTTTCATGTACCTAAAACGGACGGACGTACCTGAAAACATCAGGGTGAATGTCGATCACCCTTGATAACGCAACACAGATTTGTATATGCCGCTGGTGCGCAAACGGAAGATCGACTACATTCAAAATGATAACGATAAGTTCCTTTTTAAAGTATTCCGTAATGCTCAAAGTATATTTCCGTTGCAGCCACAGAGAGCCGAGCTTCCTATAGATCGCTCTCGCATCACTTTCTGTAGACTTCTAGAAGAAAAGGAAGAAAGTTAATGGAACAAAAATTACTGAACTAACCTCTAAATCTACAGAATCAAGAAGATTGTTGTTTGTAGTTGTGGCAGAAAAAGTACGCAGTCGGTTTATGAAACACGAGGTGAAAATGGAGCTCGTCATTTTATATATTTTCAAAGGATTTTCCCTGGAGTTGTCTTTTAAATTGGAAAAACACGTGGGAAATATAATCGAAACTTGCACACTTCGACCACAACACGAAATGGACCAATCAGAAGCCCGCAGAACCGAAGTTGCACGTGTGCCGGTGGTATGGGTAACTTGGTGTAGCTCTCTTTGTCTCACTCGCTTGTAAAATGAGTTCGTCCTGCTCGCACGCCAGCATGTAAGAAAAAATGGTGACGTTTATCCAAAATTTGAAATTTTCGAGGTTATGTAGTGTCAACATAAACAAAACTGCTCATTTTTGCAATGGAAACTTGTCCTATTTGCTTCAAAGATTTTCAACTTACCGAACTGGAAAGCCATGTCAACAAATGTATATTCCTGAATTCATCGGACGCAAATGGTAACCCAAAAAAGAAGCGGTCCATATCGCCTCCTGCTTCCACGTTTCCTTCTCAAAGCTCATCTTCAGCATCACCCGTTAAGAAGCAAAGAAATCGCTCCCCAAACGTAGACAAAGCGATGTCCTTCGTAACACCTTTAGCGAAACAGGTGCAGCCGCGATCCTTGGACGATTTCTTCGGACAAAATCATGTCCTGGGAAAAGACACGGTACTGCGATCGCTTCTGGCAAAACGGGAAATCCCAAACATGATCCTGTGGGGACCGCCCGGTTGCGGGAAAACCTCACTGGCCAACGTCGTTCAGGAGATCTGTAAGGAGAATCCGTCGAAGTTTCGCTACGTCGGAATGTGCGCGGCCAACTGTGGAGTGAAAGAGGTGCAGGCCATAGTGACTGCGGCAAAAGGCGATTTAAAATTCGGCCGCCGAACCGTGCTGTTTATGGACGAAATACATCGGTTTAATAAACGGCAGCAAGATACGTTTTTGCTGCACGTGGAAAAGGGTGAAATTACTCTGTTGGGTGCTACAACTGAGAATCCTTCGTTTAGTATTAACAACGCTTTGCTTAGTCGTTGTCGGGTGATAGTTATGGAAAAGTTAGAAAGTGTGGATTTAGTTTCAATACTCGAGAATGCAGCTGGACGGTTGGGGATTCGAATTGTGCAAAATGGAGCTGAATGTGAAGGGTAAAATACGTGCTAAATCCGTTGGTTTGCTTATAATAATTGCAGGATTAACATTGAGAAATCCGCTCTTGAGTGGCTAGCCGACACAAGTGATGGGGATGCCAGGATAGCTTTGAGCAATTTACAACTCGTTTTACAACATAATACTGATGAGAATGTACTTGTAACTGTCGATATGATAAAAGATGGAATTAAGGTACTTAACACAAATTTCTTCATTACGTCGAAGAGTCCGAGTAAAATACATATATGCCTTGATATTTCAAATAATTTTAGAAGTCACACATGCTGTATGACCGTAAAGGCGAGGAGCACTACAACATAATCTCTGCAATGCATAAATCAATACGGGGATCCGACGATAACGCCGCCTTATATTGGACAACGAGAATGATAGTCAGCGGCGAAGATCCCCTCTTTATCGCCCGCCGGCTGGTGCGCGCCGCCAGCGAAGATATCGGCAATGCAGATCCTCGTGCGTTACAGCTAGCAGTGAGCACAATGCAAGGTTGCCAATTGCTAGGCATGCCCGAGGCGGACGTATTGCTGGCACAGTGCGCGATTTATTTGGCGCGCGCGCCCAAATCGAGAGAGGCGGATTCTGCACTGGCAGGAGCCAAGCAGCTTATCGCGAACTGTAAGGGGCCGCAACCGAGTGTACCGATGCATTTACGGAATGCTCCGACAAAGTTAATGCAAGATCTAGGTTGGTATTGGAAGGGTTTGTTAAAATTTTAATTCAATTTGTTGTAGGTTATGGGAAATTAGAGCTAGGCAAGAAAAGGACTTATATGCCCGCAGGATTGGAAAATGCCAATTTTTTTTAAAGAAATTTATAGTAGGCGAGATTTATAGTTTCGTCATTTTAAGTTAAGCTATTATTTTTATAGATTGGAATTGAAATTATAAAAATTGTGATAACTTTATGAAACTTTCAGAGGATGTTCTAGACACCCTAAGGTTCAATTTCAGCTATGCCGCCACCCCCGCAACCCCGGACGGCACTTGCTATAGCGGGTTTCTTAAGCGCAGGGTAGCATTTCAATACCAGCCCATAAAATGGGTCAAAAATGTATGTCCAGGGTTTTGTTTTGTATTTTCTTACATCTAGGAAGGTTGAAGGGAATTGTCAAATACCCAGGGAGAATTTATTTAGGGTATTTTACGTGGTTTGCCTATTTTTAAGGCGCTTTTAACAGTGCGGACTAGGGAATGCAATCCCGCAGCAAAATCTCAATCCCGGTATTTGCGGAATTGTTAGATGTTAATCCCGCGGGATCCCGGTATTTGCGGGATCCTGCAAAACTTTAAATAAATTTGCAAATAAGCAATTCTGTGCGGTTAACTTCTGTATTAAAATAAATCGCTAATTATCACAATATTTAACAAAAAAAGTACCTTCGGCCTAACTTAGAACTCAAAAAAACCTTACCTGTAAAGCACAAAAAGTCTTCTAAAGTGCCTCAAAAATCATAGTACATTTTTAACAAAAAAAGTTTACAATTATTCAAAAAATAATTCGCTGTTATCAATTTCATTAACAAAATAAACAGTCCCCTTGGTCAACAAATTCCTCAGTCCCGCAAATCCCTTGATTTATGTGCGGGATTAATCTCGCAAAAATGCTGCGGGATCCTGGTATTTCGGGATCCCGCAATCCCGGTATTGCATTCCCTAGTTTCTAGTCTATAACTTTTGATTGAGAAGTCTGATCGAAAAAGTACGAATTGTTTTGGATTCTACGCACCAAAATTAATAAGAAAAAGTGTTTTCCCGAGAAATTTTGGTGTAGTCGATTTTTGGTAAAAAAGGAAGGTTATACACTGCCTTTTTTTGAGCCCCAAAAAAAATTGTCTCAGATCGACCCGGAAAAAAATTTTCTTATAGAATGTGGCCTGTAGAATCCATAATTTCAAACAGTTCCAAGATTGGGCTACTAGTTCAAAAGTTACGGCCCTTTGAATTTTCTTTCGAAATTGGTTTTTAGTCTATAACTTTTGATTGAGAAGTCTGAATAAATGGCAGTTCAAAATGTACGGAGTCTTGCAAGATCTGTAGAGCAATTATAGTTTAAAGGCCCGGTTTTTGAATAGATAGATTAAATCATATATATAAGATGGATTAAATACAATAAGTACTAGTGCGCCATCTCCATGGCAATCGTTACACTTTCTATCAATAATAGTTTTAAAAGTCTAGTTGAGATGTCGCCACCTACGCAACTTCTTTTAAAATTTCATTTGAATTTATGCGATTAATAGCAACGTTGCACTTATTATTCCTTAAATGCAGTGCCGTTTTTAAGTTTTTCGGGGCCCTGGGCCATTCGTTCGTGGAGGCCCTCCTTACCCTCAATAAAAACGGCAGATTGGGGAGATACAAGCAAATCCCTAATTTGAATATGGGCACTCCACATTTGCGTAGCCTGGTTTGTAGGCAACACATCATGCTCAATGAACAGAAAACATTTATAATTGCAATTCGCAACTTCTTATGCATAGGAGTTTATTTAAAGCCCTTGGAAGAACAATTTCAATAACAGGTACATTAAAGTGAACCGTTTTACAACAACTTTCACACGAAGATCACACAAACAACACATTTTTTCGTGATTGCAAACTGCGTAACACTTTTGCCTTATTTCGCTCAAACATTTATCAATCAAGCAATTTGACTATTAATGGCTTGTTGCAGATAATGAAATTACAGTACAATAAAATTGTTTATTTATTACCTCTAACAGTAATAATTGCAATGTTGGAATTATTCTTGTATTTCATAAAATCTGTAATATACAGAGGGCTACAATGTTTTTAACATTAATTCATTAAATAATAAGTTCTTGGTCTTCCTGCGATAATTAAACATATCAGATATAATAAAACACTCGTACCAACTTTGAATCACCATTAAAATACAACTACACAATATAAAATGAAATGTTTCACTAAATTAAAAGGAATTCAATTGACATTCTTATTTAGTCACTTTTTCAAATATGAAAAATTGCGATAATCTGTATATACAAACAACTTTTCTTTAAACATCACATACGAAGTCGAACCTAAACACCTAGAAACAATGTTCCACACTACAATAAAGAAAACTGAATTGGCTAAAGTAAATACAATGAAGTACGTCGAAAATTAAAACCGATAATCGGGACCTGCCATGTCGATGGCCCAACGGAACTTGTCGCGTTGAGTTTTGTTGTAAATTTTCTCAATGGGGACGTCGTACTTTTTGCACCAGGCCACGCTAATACGAGGATCCAAGTAGTTCAACTTCGACGTCCCCAGGGCGATTGTCTTATTTTCATCCCTGTCAGTCTCTTGAATTTCTAACTTCGCGAGCTGCTCCTTCATCCTCTGCAGCATCTTCTTCTTCTTCTCGTAAACAGTCTTCTCCTTCACACTGCCGTGCTTTGCGTCTCGTTGAGCATCTTTAACTTGCCGTTCGGCGTCCTTAATCAAGTCCTTCTTGGTGTCAATTTTCTCTTTCAATTTTTCCATCGACTTCTGGTGACCTTTCGGCACGGCGCGCTGATGGTTACACAGTATAGCTACCGCTCGATTGGCACGGTTATAAGAGAGAATTTTCTCGGAGATGGAATCGTCTTCGTTTGTGAGTTTATCCAACTGTTGCTGTAAGGTGTATGAGGCGTTGTAAGTACGAAACACTTTAGCGGTCAATCCGTCCATTAACTCGTTGAGATGCTTATTTAAGATGCTCGTATTTAAACGATCGAATAAATCGTCGCCATCCTTTTTGTTTTCCATGAATAATTGCAAGTTTTTAAATACGCGTTTTTCGACCGAAACTTCATTATAATAGCGAATCGAATCTTTACCTAAGAAATCGAATACGACGACGTTCTCCTTGTCGTCTTTCTCTTTGTGTAATTCGATGTGTTCCACTCGTAGAGAACAACAACCGACTGTATCCGCTTGATCTTCATCCTTTTCGTTTCCAGCTCTCAACGCCAACTTATCGATGAAGTATAACGCGACCGCCCTTTGTCTTATACGCATTTCCTTTGATTTCCAACCGTCCTTGTACTGCTCTCGTATTTTATTGATCGATTTGTGTAACTTGCGGGCGGTTTCGTACTTTTGCCAATCTTTCTCGCCTTTTAACTTTGAACTCGGATTTAACATGACATATTTCACCTGGTAAGAAAAAAAAAACGTAAAATGAGTGTCACCAAGAGACCAAAAAAGCAAAAAGAAAAACAAGCAGAACCCGACACAGAAAAACTACGCAAAAAGGAATGTTACATCTATTTCACCTGATTTTGAACATTTTCCGTCCACGACGCTAACCACGTAACTGCAGGATCGTGTCGCACCTCCCTCCACTTGTGTCCTTTGGGCGGACTAGGAACCTTCGCATCTTTACTGCAATTTATAATGATATCCTCTGCGATAACGCGCTTCTTTAGTTTGCCCATCTTAGGATGTTCACCGCGACCTCGGAACAGACCTGGCGGTTCTATTTTAAAATTGCCAATTTTCTCTGTGTGACCGTCGATTTTACAGAAACCGTATTCCTTAATGATCTCTTCGTTCTTTGTTTTCAAAGCCAACTTTTCCTCCTTTGTACGATTGCGATTCTTCTCCGCCACTTCCATGAAATACGCGTGCATATCCTTAAAATTGCACTTCTCTAGGTTCGTTATCACACTTTGCTCCTTTTGCGTCATCACTTTCCGCCAATCTTTGAAAAAGTTGTCGTTAAAGATTTTCTTCGTGGTATAATCGTGATCTAACATTTTGGCGTAAAAACCGGCGACTTCCTCGGCCTCTTCAGAGAGTGTAATGTGTTTGCCGTTATAATAAAATTTCACGTTATCCGGTAGCCTCTCGTAAGGTGGCGCAAAAACGGGTCCCTTGTGCTCCAAAAACGTCCACTTTGTGCCGTCATTTTTCTTTTCCTCCTCCCACCTGAAAATAAGAATTACATTTTTAAAAATGTCTCAAATCGAATGGAATTTTACCTCCTTTATATCTTACTTTGTGCAACATTTGCCGAAAGCAACATAACCTTCAAAATATAAATAAGGGGGGCCACGTGCTTGGCAAATTATATTCGCGAATACCGTAATTAAATTACTTTTTTGTAATTTGGAAGAGATTTTTCGCATATTTCCAATGGAAAATGTGCCACATTACAATGTAAAAATAATAATTAAGGAATGGATGGCTGCCATGATGAAAAATGATTACATGGTTGCCAGATTGTGTAATGTGTATGAAAAAAATATGACAATAACCAGAGGCGGACCGTGAATTTTGGGGGCCCTGAGCCATCGCTAGAAGAATTTAAACAAATTAAGCTTTAAACAAAAAATAACAAATAAATAAGCACTCACAGTTAATGACTAATAGTTATGTTTAAAATGGCATAGCAACTTTGAAAAATAAAGTTTCTTTTCACAAATTAAAATCGAATCCTGATACACTCCCAACTATAATGAAAAAGTTGGAAATAAAAACAGGTTGTTTTGCACTAAAAGAAATTCAAAATTTCTCAAAGCTCAGAGGTATTTTGTGCGTTACTATAGCACTAATGTCATGCATCACTTTCGCAAATATTTCTTTGAATACCAAAATACTGCCATGAATAAAAAGTGATTCTAACTTAAGAAATATCTATGAATTCCACCCTTAATGCTGGCTTGAGATAATAATAAACCAATTACCAAAGTACGATTATTTTTGAAATCTCAAGAAAAATCATTCTTATTCTCAAGGAGCATTGATTTTTGAAGCACTAAACTACTACGATACAAGGAAATTGGGGATTTCATTCAAATTATCGAATTTGTCTTTTCCAAAAGTTTTTTATTTGTGGCTTACATATACAGGGTGGTGACTTGCGTCGTGCATCATAGGGATTTCAATGTAAAATTAATAACATGCGATTATTGGCTCCCCAAATTATTTTAGAGCAAAAGTGTATTAAGGTTTTTGGTAGAAACAATTTTTTTACCTAAAGCAACCGTATTAGTTTCCAATTTTTTGCATAATAAAGACGGGAAATTGGAAGAATAAAACCCGCATCTTTTTCAATAATCTGTGATGCCATGGAATTTTATAATATAAAAACTACGCCAATATCCGTCATGCCATGGACTGTCTGCTATAAAACAAATGAAATTCTATCAAAAACTATTATAATTAGAACAGCAAATTCAACATAAAGAAAGACCAAATTACTAAAAACGTTTTCCTAATATAACAATTTACAATAAATGTTCGAATAAGTCACCATTAACTGCAAGAGAGTAACTAAGACGATCATAAAATCCATTTCGAACTGCTGCTAGTTGTTAACTGGATATCTTTTTGTTTTAGAAAATTCCATGGCATCGCAGATTATTGAAAAAGATGCGGGTTTAATTTTTCCAATTTTCCGTGTTTATATGAAAAAAATTGAAAACTAATACGGTTGATATGCGTAAAAAATTTTTTTCTTCAAAAGACCTTAATACATTTTTACTGTAAAATAATTTGGGGAGCCAATAATCGCATGTTATGAATTTTACATTGAAATCCCTATGATGCGTTACGCAAGTCACCACCCTGTATATAACACTTTTGGGAAAGACAAACTCGATAATTTGACTCGTAACATCCCAAATATGGATCCACCAATACAACATTGGGAATTTCAGTTTGACGTTGGCAGATGTGGCAAAAATCTTGTACAAATCTATCCCCTTATTAAAGATTGCGCAAGAGACTTCCACTACAAAATATTCACACAAGATAAATAATGAAAATAATCATCAGAAAAAAAAATTACCATTTCCACACTTCCTGCTGCTCTTCCTCCTTTTTTTTCTTTCCTTTCTTTGGACTTTCAATCGTCACCTCCTCTTTAATCTTTTTCTTCTTCTCTTTTTTAATCACCTTCTTCTCCTCATATTCGTCATCATCATCACTCAATGGTCGCTTTTTCCCCTTCTTCTCCGACTTCACCTTCTTTTCTTTTTTAACTTTTTTCCGTGACGACAAAGGCACGTCATCATCTTCGTCCTCTTCTTCATCTTCGGATTTAATCTTCCTCTTCGAGCGATTGGCCTGCACGCGAATTTTTAGAAAAGAAAAATTCAAAATGAGCGACATACCAATGGAATGTCTTCGTCACTACTCTGAGATTCTTGCGGTTGATATTCCTCTTCCTCCTCCTCGAGCTCCTCTTTAGGTTCGTCTTTGAACTGTGACAAATTGTAATCACAGCTGCTTGCAGCCGAGGCGTTCAACTCGCTTTCGCTTTGTGATCGACTGTCCTCTTTGATTACCAATTTTGGTTCATCCTCATCTAAGGAATCTTCTCTAGCGGAGTCCGTATCCGGCTTCACTTCGACTTTCACCTTGTGATGTGCTGTAAACGAGCCGGTGAGTGAAATCGCTAGGATGCAAAGTTCTTACCATTACTCTCTTTTTCGCGTTTCCTCTCTTTGTCTTTGGAATGGCTTTTCTCCTTGTCCCGATGTTTATCCTTTGAACTGCTGTGCTTATCTCGAGAGGAATTATGTTTGTCTTTGTCATACTTGTCCCGCTTCTCCTCGCGCTCCTTATCCTTGGAACTGCTAGATTTGTGCTCCTTCTCTCGGGAACTTTTATGCTCCTTGTCCTTGGATGACTTCTTCTCTTCGCGATGTTTATCTTTGTCACGATGTTTATCCTTCTCCTTATCGCTCCGGGACGATTTATGCGAGGAAGAGTGTCTATCTTTGTCCTTAGAACTGTGTCTTTCTTTGTCTTTACTCGAACTTTTGTGATCCTTGCTCCGATGCTTGTCGCGATCTTTCTCTCGGTGTTTATCCTTGTGGTCGGATTTGTGACTTTTGTGTTTTTCTGGATAACCGTTAGTTAAACCATTTAATTGCTGGGAACCGCTTCCATTCTGGAAAATTAAAAAATTATTTTAAATATTTTTTTTTTCAATTTCATTTCGTAAAATTGGTCGAAAAATCGTATTTTAAAAAAATTGTAAAATATCCCGTCCTTTCAATAAGGAACGTGGGACTTAGTCTCTGACGCCATTTTGGGACTTAGAAAATTTTCGCTTGCATCGAATGCTACAAGTAAAGTGCACGTTTCTAATAAAGTTACATAAAGACATGCGACGTAATTAAAAAATACGATATTATTCGCACTTACTAAAGTAGAATTATCGTTCTTAGGCGAATCGTCTACTTCCATATCTTCCAGATTGCACGTATTAACAAACACCTCAACGCCACTTGTACGACAGCGAGGCACTCAAAGACCGTTTATTTCGACAAAGTACCGAAAGCGTTCTACTGCGCATGATCCACGGGATGGCAATAACCTTTTGCGCATTTTTTATTCGGAATATTTTTCACATCATAATACCGTATTTACCCTAGTTAAATTGTATCGCACTGATAGTGGATGCAATTTTCGAAATATACGAATAAATCAACCCCCATTTATGGCCTTTTTTGTCGTTGAAAATAAGAAAAAACCCTCAACACAACACGGCTTTTACTGTTTTAACTGGCGTCGCACGGTTGCTACGCAACGCCATCATACAGCGTTGCCACCCGTGGCGGGAATTTAAATATTATTTAGAATATGTAAATGAACTATTTCGTTCCCCTACGGATCTCAATTAAGCATTTTTAATTATAAGAAAAACTTGAGAAAAATGAGTTTTTATAGAGGATTCTGTGTCTGTTTTTAATTTTAAAAAGAATCTACACATCATTTCCAGTGGATTCTGGAAACTATAAGGACACAAGTTCGTGTATATAAGGGCCTTCCAGATGGAGAACCATTTCAAACTATTCTGGTTCCTATATTTTCCACGGCTCCTCTAGCGTTATTTCTTTCAAATAGTTCCTATGGGGGACCTCTAGAAGCCTTTTAGAGTCTTAGAAGGCTTTTTCAAAAACACTACTGCTCTTCTATGGTTTTTTACACGCCTTTTAGTGATTTTTAACACATTACAGAGCACTACACCGCTAAAGAAACTGTTTACCATGCCGCTTATAGAGTGGCCTCCACCGCCGCGAAGTCTCTGACGCGCTTTTTCTCAGCCTCACCCCCTTTATTCGAGAAGTGTGCGAATATCTAGACTGTGATATTACCCTTCCACTTCAACAGCTTCAAACAGGTGTTTTTATTCGGCACTTACATACGTCGACTCTTCTAAAATGTAAGAAGTACCTACGCGTCCCAAACCGATTACCTTCAAAGTCCAAAGGGTGTTTTACGCACCTCTTACGGTAACCCTCCCAATTAGCAAAGGGGCCTTTCTTTTCAAAATTGAGGCGCCTGTCGCAGTCATACATTCCCCAGCTAATAAGCGCCTTTAGATTATTCAGATCCTGAAAGTATTACCACCCAGCAGGTTATATGGGGTGTTTTTTGTCTACCAAACCTCTTACGGCCAGTCCTCCATCCAGCGAATGGCGTTAACAATCAGAAGATGCTACTTGAGCGCGAGGTGCTCTCGCCATGGACGTTTAAAAGTCTGAGAAGTACCGTAAAAGGCCATTGGCGTACTTTGCCCCGTCAACACATATATCCTTTCGATATCTGCCCCATGTGATGTCTCCGTAACATGCATATGGGGCTCGAAAAAGTACTTTCGTAAGATAGCAACCCTCCCCACTTCTGGAGGGCGCTAGCACCGCCTAACCGCCGCATTTCCATGTTTTTCATAATTTCAAAGGTATACACACACAAAAACGCAACGGAAAAGTACGTTAGGCGTCGAATTTGTAGCCAAATAACGCTCGCCTTACCTTAATTAATGAATTTTGGTTCGACTTTAGACTTACGGTAAGTATTAGTACACAACAGAAATGTACTTACGTCAGACAAACCAATCTCTTCAAGTAAACTATCATAGGAATCCTCCACGTTAAGTTCATTCGTAAACTGAGTATTACTGTCATCACTACTTACATCAAATAAGTGATATAAACTATCAAAAGACTCCCTCGGATATAATTCGCTTACAAACTTAGATACGTCGTACGTACAACTACCATCGCTTGATACTGATTTGCAACACTCCTCTCCATTGACCCCCATCACAGATTCTCCACTCGTAAACCATTGTGAATCCAACTGGGAGGTTTTGTGATTAGGTAAGTCACAATTACTTGATGAGCATTTTTTAAAATTGCGATTTTTGAAGAGACAGACACAGTCTAATGAACCGGAGGGAGAAGTATTAAGTATTTTTTCTTTTGTTTTCATGTTGAACTACAAATTTAAAACTAGAGGGAATGACAGCCAACTGCTTAGATTCTCTTAAAATGACTTTAGCCCCTCAAACTTTTAGTTTTCACTTGTCATTTTATTTATGGATGGGAAAATAGAGTTCTTTTCCCATAGCAACAATCTAAGGTGTGATACAATTCTCTTAAAAACGGATAGGTAACAAGGCCAAAGTGTATCAGACAACAAACTGCGCACATTTTGGAACCCCAGAACACAATATGCAAAAATTGGGGCACAAAAACAAGATACAAATCAATATATAATCTATTTTGTAAGCACCTAAATATACAAAATTTGTTTAGTCATCTAAATTAGCTATACCAATATTAAGATGTTCTCATTTCGTGTTTGCGTGTGTTTTAGAACGGAAATATTCTAATTGTCTTAGAAATAAATACAGAGTGGACAAAAGCCTGTTGATAAAATGTGATGGCATTGTAGAACAATAACCCAAAGTCAGAACTGTTCAGTTAAAATTGATAAATTGGAGTACCATCTGCAGCCCATGTGTTCTTCACTTTCTCAAAGGCGAATGTCACATACAGAGCTAAAAAAGTAATGAAAATTAGAGGCACAAATAAGTGAAAAATACATACAAGAAGCTTCCCACTCAGATTTCGACAACGTCCCGATTTTACTGTTGGGATTCCGATTATGAAATGTGTTTCTTAAAAAATCCTCGGCATGACTATAATCGTCCCCATCAGTTCCCACCAAGCTGGTATTCGGATAAGGCGGGAAAGTTTCCAAACCTTTCATGTTGCCCATCAGTTGTTGCCCGTCCACATGCATCCGTTCGTAAAAATCGTAAAACTTCTCGGAGCGCACCAGTTTCATGCCGTACTTCTTCGCCAATTTAATCAGAGTGGGAAAGTGTACCAGAAATTCCGGACAGTCGACGACACCATCCAAGTTAAAGTGGTATTTGCCCCCGAACAACGGGGGTTTATTAACATCGCATTCGAATTCGACCTTGAAAATTCCGTTACCGAAAACGTTTGAACCCGCTTTTCTAACACGGGAAATGAGATCATTCGAGTCGAGAATTGTCCCGATAAAAAATCCGCCCGGCTGCAGACATTCTGCGGCGTTGTGCATAGTGCATTCGGCCTGTGCCAGCGACTCGAACCCGTAATGAAATGCAAACTGGCAACTGACTAGGTCTAGCTTTATCGAGGGATCTTTGTATTTCTTTCTTAGACGAATTTTGGTGAAATCGGCAGCAATGTTTTCCACGGTATATATAGTGGAGTTGCGGTCACGTCCGTTCCGACTTTTCATGTCTTGATAGCGCGATTTGCACTGATCCAAGGAAACGTCGGCAATATCATTGCAAATTAAATGCGTTATACCACCCTTACGCCACTTGAGAAGATCACCTCCTTTACCACAACCCATATCCAAGACGTGGATGGGTGAATTGTGTCGCTTTCCATCTTTAATTTTAGTTAAATACTCATTAATTAACATACTTTTAATCCAATTGTGAAAGTTACGTAAGTAAAATATTCTAGATTTGGAACGTTCATGTAGGCCCTTCTCCTCGAGCGTATTGTAATGAGTGGCTATGATTTTGCCGTAACCTTCACTGGGACGTGGAACTGCTTCCCCATCAGTCGTCTTAAGAAATGTAACTCGACTAACATCTTCGGCACAAGGAGATACGCTCCGCTTCAACCTACTTCCACTACTATTACCATATTCGTGTTGGGGCGAATTCTCGACTGGGGGAGAAGTGCTCGGTGAAGTGTCTTCTGCTGGGTTAGAATTATGTTCGTGGTTTCTTGCGTCAGCATTCGCTGCGGCTAGTATCAATTCTTGTTCCAAGTCATCTGTGCTTTTTTCATTTTCGTAATATTCGTCAAGAGATGACAAGTCTTTATCAAAAGTTGACATATCTAAATCTCCGATACCAACACAAACATAAGGAACAGTGTTGCCAATTTACTTTAATGCTACAATCTGTCACTTTACGTACATACAGGATGCAACATTCACACTTGGATACCTACTCGTATTTGAACTGAAATATATGCATTTGTTGAAACCTTTGAGTAGCAATGAAAGGTTGAAACTACCACTCTGTAAAATGTCAAAGCATATTCTAACATTTCGAGTGCTTGTATTAAAGACACCTTGGCTCTACAGAGGAACCGGGAAAACCTAAAGCAACCTGCAAGAATGAATGTTCGCTATGGCCTGAAAACCTCTGCAATGGGGAAGCGCCAAAATTGTTCTTAAAACCTGATCACTCGGGAAAACCTCGAAGTCACTTAGACCTTTTCAAAACTTCAATCTTGATATGAAGCACTTATTTGTGCTCTATAGCTTACAAAGCGCTTACTGGGGTTTCAAAAAGATATATTTCATATGTTTCACCCTTATCGGGGCAAAGAAAAAGCTCGTGAATAGTGAATACCCATATTTCATATCGTTTTTGTTGAGGCTCCGAGGTCTAAATCGATCAATGTGCAAAATTTGGCAACATGTGGTTTTGTAAGAATCTTCAACATCTGATAGGAAGTCATTATTTGAGGTTATGACATTTATTACAAGAAGTTAGAAATAAAATTCAAAAAACCAAATAGTTTTAAATAATTGACCTTGTAATAAAAATAGTAGCTGAAAACGTCAGTAAAATAACCAATTTATCAATTAAAGAAACCTTTTTAAATTTACCACTTTTTAGGACTTATTCCGGGTGTTCGCCACTAGCCATGCGAAAGTATTCCAAATGTAGCTGATTTTAATTGTGATGGCAACAGCAGTGGACGAATTTGGTTTATGGTTAGGTAAGAAATTGAGGGATCTCGATATAGACGAATGCGTCTTCGGATCGTACATAAGTGGCATATTAGACGGTGATGAGAGCGAAGAAGAGAAAACGGATGCTCTTGAGGGAATACTCTCCGAAATTCTTGTAACTGTAAGTACGATCTGCCGGTGCTGGTCAAAGTGAGACTTTGAACTGTAGGATAATGACATTATTAAAATACGATCAGAGATAATGGAAATGTGGTCGCAATTACGTCAACCCCAAATGTCCGCAACGACGCAGGCCGTATCCAGCGAAGAAGTCGACATTCGTTTGGCACGTCTTCTCGAATCGCAATCGTTACAGATTCCCAAACAAAAGCAGTACACGGACGAAGAAAAGAAAATTAGGGAAGCCATTTTATCTCAGTACAGCCAAATGACCGACGACGAAGACGACGATGTGAATGAGCCGGGCGATGTAAAGGAAAATGGTTTAGAGAAAAACAGAAACGCTCACGCAGTCATGCAAGCCGAAAAAGAAAAACGAGAGCAAGCAAAATTGGAGAGTCAAAAGAAAAAGGAGAAGGATAAGGAAGATCGGTTTGTATTTCACTGTGTATCTAAATGATGTAAACTATCTTTTTTAGTGAGAAACAAAAACAATTGAGGGAAGAGAAAAAAGAGAAACGCAAAACACAAAAAGGCGAACGAAGAAGGTAGCAAGTGTAATGACATTGATCGAATTTTTTTTAATAGTCCTCCGGTTTCTAATTGCAGTATTAAATTCACTGTCTTTATGTTATTAATAATTGTGGAATCAAACTTTAGTGTATGAGTAAAGTATTCTTTGTTGGTCTGCATTTTGGTGACGATTTCTTCAGAGGTTCAAACCTGGTCAGTTACCTAAACTATTGTCCTTAAAAACTGAAACCAGAACTGAAAGTTATTGAAGTCAGAATGGGAACCCTTTAAAAATAATTCTAACGGGAACATATAGTTAAGATGGGTTCCAATGCTTGAAAAAGTACTGGACAAATATAATAGAATCGCATAGAAGGGTGTAACAAAGAGGTTCATTTACTGTGACCTATATAACGATTGTTATTTTTATTGTTTATAGAATTAAAACATAAATAGCTGTTGGAAAGTAAATTGTATCTGTTAGCTTTTTTCAAGAGCGACCTGGGATTAGGGAATGTATTCCAAATTTATCAATAAATAGTTGTTGGTTTGGCCCAGCCAGACGGACCGCAATGAAAGTGATCCCGCGGGCAGCTTTATTTTAACATAAACATTAGCTTTTTGTTCATCATCTCAATTACTATCGAAAAAATAGCAAATTTGCACCCTCGTGCAGAATTACAGACAAAAGTATTTTTGACTTATTCCATTGCGCTCTGTATATTGAAATGGAAACTAGAAGTCGAACGCACCTTTAGACACTGCCTTTGCGTAGCGTACACTACTGACCTCTAGTGAGCGTAGTACACTCTTCTCTTATATATATGAGTACACTGCATCCACAGCCAAAGGTCAAATACTATACTAGTGTCATTTTTTTAGGTTAAAAAACAATGGATCAAACATACATCGAAAAACTGCAAAATGTTCATTTAAACGAGCAAAATGAAGCAGAAGCGCGATATGGACGAATTACAGCAAAGGCACAGCCGATTCCAACCAACTACCACCAAAAGCAACGGTCAATAGGGACGACACAAAATTTTACTGTGGATCCCAATCAACAATCGGACTATAAAATGTATAACCGAAGCAACGTTATCGCAACTTCCAAGTTTGCAACTCCCAAGCAAGTGGAAACTTTGGGAAAAACTGACGAAAACGATATGTATGTACAGTGTGTTAAACCCGATGCCACTGCCTCGTACCAGTATCCTGTTTACGAAAATTTAAATTATTACAACCCTAAAATGGCAAACACATTGCAGCAAGCGAAGAGAAACGTTCTCCCCGTTTACCAAAACAAAGCACAGCCGCAAGTTCCTACACACAGTAAACATTTTATTACGTCAGATTCGGATGCACTCCCGGTGTATGAAAACATCCAAACAGTACCGCATAAAACGGGTAACGCGGTGCCCGGACCACAAGTAGCAACACACCGCCAAGTCCACCACGCCCCCAACTATCAACCAATATATTCAATTATGAACTCGCCAAAAACTCAACATTCCTCGAAATCGCTCACCCAACAACAAATCGACGAGATAAATGCGTCCGATTACGTCTGCATGACGGGCAGCATCTCCCAACAGTTCCAAACGTCTTCGGCGAAAAGCTACGAACGTGCACCGGCGACCGGTTTCGCGGCCACGCCTTCCAGTCCGAAAAAAGAAACTAAACCTCAAAAGGGCGAAATTCAGGCGCCGCCGCCGCCGAGCCCGACCCCGAGCAATGTCAGCACGAACAGTGCCGGCAAATTGAAATTTAGCGGCAAAAATCTGTTACCTTACAGCATAACGCCGCCGAGGCCGCGCGGTCCCACCGAGGCGGAACGAAAGATAGAGGAGATGACGAGGCAGATCGAGGAGGAGATGGAGAAACACGAGGAGGAGGGCGAATATTTCGGTACGATTGCCATTGATCAATTTAGATAAAAATAATTTTGAGACAGTAAAAAAATGGGCATCTTGGACCAATTCTAAAAATTGCTCTCACTTTTTTAACTCCAAATCTTTCAAGACTTTCCATCATCTCTCTTTTTTTTTAAGTGGGCGGGGTTTCAGCCAACTATACATTTACAAATTAATATCAATGCCCGAACCCGGATTCGAACCTTAGGGTTGCAGTCGGGTTTCCACGCCACACAGGCCGACAATTATTATTATTATTATATTATTAATAGTGAAGTACTCATTTGCACATTACTCTGTAGGTATCTGTCACACTTGCGGCGAAAAGGTTACTGGGGCCGGTCAGGCGTGTCAAGCGATGGGCAATTTGTACCACACAAATTGCTTTATATGCTGCTCGTGTGGGCGCGCACTGCGCGGCAAGGCCTTTTATAACGTTCACGGTAGAGTATACTGTGAGGAAGACTATTTGGTGAGTGAGGAAGTTTGGAGATTATTTTTCGTTTATTTTCTGTTACGTTAGTTATCTAATTTGCAAGAAGAAGACTCTTTAACGGCAACGGTTTCTTTTCAGTACTCAGGATTTCAACAAACTGCCGAAAAATGTGCAATTTGTGGCCATCTTATAATGGAAATGGTAAGCGAATTCGTTTGGTGGCTGGTTTTTTTTGCGATTCGAGTTTGTTTTAGATATTACAAGCAATGGGGAAGTCGTACCATCCCGGTTGCTTCCGATGTTGCATGTGTAATGAGTGTCTGGATGGTGTTCCGTTCACAGTCGATGTTGATAACAAAATATATTGCGTAAATGATTATCACAGAATGTTTGCGCCCAAATGCGCTTTGTGTGGGAAAGGTAAGTGATATCATCAGAGGCAGTCTTCATGGGTAAAAATTGTTATTGATGAGAATACCAGATGGCAGTGTAGTAGAATATTCGGAAAGTTCCAAGTCATAATAATAATAATAATAAGTCATAAAGTAGACCAATAGATTTGACAACATAACATCGTGCCTAGGCCCACTCTGATATTCTTATTAAATTTGACTAGATTTGACATAGTGGACCTTTTAGGAATAACTCCAGTTGAAGGTACAGAAGAGACCGTACGAGTTGTTTCAATGGATAAAGATTTTCACGTCGATTGTTACATGTGTGAAGAATGCGGCATGCAACTAACCGACGAGCCGGACAAACGGTGTTACCCCTTAAACGGGCACTTGATGTGTCGAAGCTGCCATATACAGCGCATCGAACATTCACCTCGCCAAATGCAGCCTGTCGCTGCAAGCTTTCAGTATTCAGGTTAATGCCATGTTTTGTATTTTATCAGTTAGGAGAGAAACATTCCAATCGCGCAGTTACATGTTGATATATTCCCAATTCCTTGTGAGGATTTGCCGTACACAATTTTGTGTCATTTGTATGCTAAGTAAATGTGTGCTTAACAAATTGTTCGAGATGCATTTTGTGTAATAAGATATAAAGGCTGTTATAATGTAGCTAGGGCCTATTTTAATGTGTCTGTTATGTGCTTTTATAAATAAAACTTTAAAAAGTACCTGCTGAATGATAATTACGTTGGTTTCTGAAAAATAAAAATTATATTATTATACATTATATAACAAAGTAGAGTATCAATTGAGGCATTTCCAGTAGTGTAAAAAAAGGTGAAACCAATTGTAAATTTTTGTTTTGTGATGCTACTAGAGAATACCTGGCCAAATAATTCTATCCATGGTCGTTGATTGGGAAGCAGGTACTGGAAAATTCACTCATTGCAACTATTTTGGTAAAGAAGCGGTTTTTAGAAGAACATGATGAACGTTTAAAAGGAATAATGAGTTTTGGAACTCTAAGCAGAATGTTATGAAGTCGTGGGCGAAATTGAGGAGGAAAGAAAGAACGAAAATTAAAAAAAAATTATTTTTTGCCGAAACTACTTTAGAAACAACTACTTTCGTCTAAAAATGGTGAGGAAAATGTGATTTTCCTCTCTAGCGAGGAAAGTATAACTTTTGAACTAGTAGCCCAATCTTGGAACTGTTTGAAATTATGGATTCTACAGGCCACATTCTATAAGAAAATTCTTTTTCCGGGTCGATCTGAGACAATTTTTTTTTCGGGGCTTAAAAAAAGGCAGTGTCTAACCTTCCTTTTTTACCAAAAATCGACTACACCAAAATTTCTCGGGAAAACACTTTTTGTTATTAATTTTGGGGCGTAGAATCCAAATCAATTCGTACTTTTTCGACCAGACTTCTCAATCCTGGTTATAGACTAGAAACCGCAATTTCGAAAGAAAATTCAAAGGGCTGTAACTTTTGAACTAGTAGCCCAATCTTGGAACTGTTTGAAATTATGGATTCTACAGGCCACATTTTATAAGAAAAATTTTTTTCCGGGTCGATCTGAGACAATTTTTTTCGGGGCTCAAAATGATTAACACGTTTCTCTAATTGGGGTTGATGTTAGGTTGTTAAAAAATTCTGTTTTAATTGAAGTGTTTTACAATGAATTAATCATTTTTTGTCGTAGCATGAAAGTGCTGAAATACAATGATAGGCGACGCACCTCGTGTGGATTGTATATTTTGTTACATCAGCTGAAATTTAAAAAAAAAACTGTATGGTAATTGATTTTCGAGAAAGGAGTACTGTTCTTGTGGTGCAGAGCCCCCCCCCGCCACCTTCATTACTACACTAATACTTTAATGGCCCGTAACCTATGCAATTCCACTGTAAGTACCCAGTCCGCCCCTGCGAACAATAGCACAATTTTTGAGTGACAGTAAATCACGAACGTCAATGATATTCAATTATGAGTTATTAAGGATCACTATACAAAAAAATGGGACCATAAAAAATGAGTTGCTGTCGAGTCGACTTTGGAAGTTCAAGATAAGTAGGATTTTCCATGTAAACAAAAATTCCAAAGGTGACTTGATAGCAACTCATTTTTGATCGCATTGTACAACACGTGTTGAAAGTGTCTTTTTTTCATGAATTTGCTTGATTAATGAGGGCTTTAAAAAAAAAGTATCACTTTCAAAACTATAGTCCATCTCTTTTATCTTTTGTAGTTCTGTCCGTGTTTCAGTTTATCGGTTTGTTGGTCGCTGTGGATCTGTCTGACTGGGTGGGAACATTCTAGTGTCGAGAAAGCGCCAGAGATTTTCCGCTCCTTTTCCCTAGTACTCGCGATAAAAAATTGATTGCTTTTTTCAAATATTGTAAAAAATATAGGCATTGCATTTGAAAAAGAGAAGTTGCATCCATTTCCGGTTAAACCGGAAGTGATACCAGAAGTTTGAATATGCTATACAATTTAACAAATTTTTCCTATCTCACCAAATAAGAGATATTGAGGTGACCCTCGTATCTCGAACGCACTGTATATGTAAATTAACTATCCTACATATTATTTGTAGTAAGTACCCTATCACTGGTTCTCTGCAGCATGGGCCAAATTTGACATAGATCTGTCGAGGGTTTTGTGATTTAAAACCTTGTCCTAGAGATTGCATTTTGTGCAGACTACATACCGTGTGTCCCAGGTTGAACGCACCATACGCAAACAGAATTAATGTATTTTTTTGCGAAGGATCGAGGCCTATATGTATTTGAAGTTAGCGTTCAACGTACGTTACTCCACTTGCCTAATGCTAGAAAGAGATTGGACTAGTGAATGCTAATATCAAAGGTCTTGTGAATCCTTTGCGAAAAAATACATTGCAATTTAACTATGGTGCATTCTACCTGGAACACACTGTATATCTCAATAGAACTTACTGTTAAACATTCGTTCAGACTGGACCATGTAGAGACTTGAGAAGTATAAAACTTTTAAAACAATATGGGCTCTTGGAAGAAACCCTCAATGGAATTGGATCAGTTTTTTTCAAAGAAAGACATTACTTTCTAAACAAGTTTATTTACGTTTTGTCTTTGGGAGGTAAAAACTGTAAAAGTACTGACAATCCTTAGCATAGTTAAAACGGCAATTGTCATGGCCATATTTCCCATATCAGAGTAGTTCAAATGATCAATTAATTCTTGGGCAGTTTCAGTGTTTCTAATAGTTCTGTTCCTGTACCCCCTTCCTAAATACTGACAACCAGCAGACGCAAATGCATTGCGTAAATATATCGGAACCTTACCACGAACATACGAGGTTCCTTTCTGTTTACAGTACAGTAAAATCATGGCATAATCGTAAAACTATTGGGCATTTAATTAAAAAACATACAAATCAATAGTCTATCTCTTAGGATGGCTAGAACACTCGGTAGATTTCTGACATTTTTTAATTTTCCCTAAACTATCCTCCAAGTCTTTTACGACTTTATCCTTTTGCGTTTTGAGTCGATCCCTTTTTATTTGCAATTCCACTTTCTTATCCTTGACACTATCATAAAAATCCTCCTTCTTTTCCTTATAATAGCCTTTGGTTTCTTTAAAAGATTCCATTAGATTCTCCTTTTGCTCCTTGTACATTTCCCGTAGTCGATCAGTCGACGGTACCGGTTTTATGTAGCCCCATTTTCGTAAATAATTGATGGAAATTGTCGTACCGCCAATGGTTACGGTGTACCGTATTGGTGTCGATATTTTATACAAGGCGTACGAAACCGCCAAATATCCCATGTGGGAGTCCCGAAGTTTAGTAGTTATACTTTCGCTTACATTCCAACTCTCTAAAAGGCCCGCAATGTCAACACCGCTGCAACAAATGTGTTAGAAACGGCGGTTGGTTACGCATTTACCTTTTCGCCATGTAATAAAATCCACCGAACCATGCTGCCGAGGTGACTAGGTGAACAGGAACGAGGACGTACCAGTAGTTGCGATACATCGATTTAAACTTCTGGAACAGTCCTTCCTTCTCATTGTCGACTTTTTTGCAGAGTTGCCGGCGATAGTAGGGGGATATCGGGCTATTCGTAATAAGCGGCGAGGCTGACCATAAAATCTCGCATCTATTTACACTCAGCAAACGACTTAAATTTAACGTTCGTAGGCATAGTGTCGCCATAATCTTCGGGGGACTGAGATTGTAAAATGTGGTAAAGTATAAGCTCAGTTAAAAACGCACATGAAGTCTTCTGGGATTATCTGCTCTTTTATGACGTTTTTGCTTATTTAAGGATCAATTTATGACTTTAGGGGTTGTCGTGCAATGATTATTTAAAATTAAAATCAAAATCGTCGCTTTAAAAAGGAACATAACCTCAATTTCCGCTCGAGTTGAATAAACACATAGGCGGAACACATAATGGGAAAAGTAGGATGAGACAATCGAAAGGCTTAGAAAAGTATTAAAAAAGTCATCTCGGAAGGTGTTCGAATAAGACATAGCATTTAGGCTTTCCACCTTCAAGGGTCTCGAACACAACGAATAACGACGCGCGTTTCACTTTCTGAATCTTAAATTACTTTCCCTGGCAATCTAGGCTTTCCAGAACCTTCTAAACGCTTTCTAATGCTTTATGGCATCTTTTCAGAGATAGAGAGAAGACTTTGCCAGAATCTTCAGGCACATACCAGAAATGTTTAATTATTTAAAATCTGTGCGTGTACCATTTTTTCTGCAATTACAATTTTATTACCTTGAACCTGTATGCATACAAATTGGCACGCCCATGCTTATCTACCTGTGACAGGTGGACATTTTACCTGCATTTTGTTCATACAGGTGTGTGTGTGTGTGTGTGAAACATCACTTACAATACAACAATTACTTACTAATTGCAAGAACCGAATCATGTGATCATAAGTCAATCTTTGCACTACGAAAAATATGGGCTCCAATAATATCGAGAATAAACCGGAAATCGGACAAGAAGATGCGGTACCTTCCTTGGCACAACAGTCACCTAAAAAAGGCTGGATCAAATTCGAGGAGGAATCGCACCAAGAGAATAACACCACACCTGCGGTCATTAAGACCGAAAGTATTCAAGTTAATTTGGAACGTAGCTTAAGTGCCTCGACCGAAAATGATCCTAATAAACCGTTGCGTACCGTCGAATTACCTCCAGCAGCGAACGAAACCATACGACATGGCTTCAGTATGTCTCACTTAATAAACAACGTTTAATTTAACACGAACATTTCAGCTAACGGGGACGTTATAGTAACCATTCTTCCCGTTAACACCCGATTCCCATGGATTACACCTGCAAAATTTCGACCGGAATTAGTTCCGGAAGAGTTAATGGCTCAGGGCTTGACCGTAAGAAGTACTCGCGTAATCGCTTCGTCGTAATGTAATTTTGTAGCTCACTGTCGAGGAATACGTACAAGCGATGGAATTACTGGTAAATGACGTGCGTTTTACCTTATATAATGTGTGTTACAAACGCATTCTAGTAGTATGGATCTTATTAGCTTTTATCGTTTTACTCGGATTGTTATTTTCCGGCTTGAATGGCCTCGTGCTGTTTGGTTTGGGAGTGGCATGGTTGATATTAAACGCGGCTGCTATTTTTATATCGATGTGGCTGAAGTTTAAGTTGGCCAGAAATTTGGAACGATGCTTGGCTTACGTTAATAAGCAATTTTTGAGGCATAAGATCGTATTGGCGTTGGACGATCGTGGCAAATTGTCTTGTCACAAAGTGAACCTGTGCTTTTTGTATATGGATGCCGGTCCGTGTATTGCTCATTTGCAGGGTAGTATCGAGACCCAGGAAAGGGAGGCAAACGGTTGGGAGCAGCGGATGGATATCGCTGCTAACGATATTGTTATACAGGGTAGCCGTACGACGCGACTATCACGCAAGCAGGTATGTTGGTAGTCTCTTGCAGTAATGGTCCTATCTAAAACTGGAACGTAGGCAACCAACATAACTCCATGACAAACTTGCCTTACCAAAGCAAATTTTAAACGACTGATCTGATACACTACGTTTTTTTAATTTGATGTTTCTGCAGTAGGCATTTTTCTATTTATAACAAATGACTGCTTTGGATCAGAGAAGGGCCACATGTAGATGTGTACCGAGAGGGAGGGGTTAAATACCTTGACAGCCTTGTGTGTGGCAATTGTTGTTTTTAACTGACTTAAGGCTTAAGATACAGACAATCAAGAAAATTATAATTTAAATTAGAACAAAATACATAAGAATAAATAATATTTTCGCAATAAAACTAGCACAAACGTAAATGACACAACAAAGAACATTGTGTTTTTGCAAAGCACTCTTCACAGAAAACGAAAATTGTATTTTTAGGAAAAATGTGACACTGAACCACCATGTGTGATATATCGTTGTAAAGAGAAAAAAAGATTATTCAGCATGAAAATTTGCAACTTTTCCCTCAGTTAACCAAATTTCGCTTAAGATAAGCGAGATAGTGGCACTCACTGACCTCTTTAGATCAGTGGTGGCACTTGAAAAATGGACACTGTATATAATCATCCAAACAAGATTTGAAAAAATCGACATATTTTGGATTTTGGAAATATCAAGAGTGCACCACCCCTTTTGACAGCTACCTCTTTCTGTGGGGGCAAAATTGTTTCGCCTCTTTTATTAAAGGAGCCCAAATATATCCTATACGAATTTTTTTCGAAATGTTCGGAGGGGGGGGGGATCCGAAATACAACTGAGCCAAAATACCTCTACTGCACAAAATAAAATATTATGTTGTAGTGTATGGATTTGAAGTCAGTTATGTAAGTTAGCTATGCTGCCTGTTTGAAATTTGAGGGCCATTCAATCTGCAAGAGATTACATTAGTGATTTATGGAGTGGCACGTGCTTGCATGTTGTTAAAAGTTGTTGCATGTTGGTGTCGTTTCTTTTGTAATTAGACAAACAAAAGTGTTTAACACGTGTCACTCCTCGCTTGATCCTCTAATTAATCGAAGCTCGTTTAGGGTCTTGCCGAGCAGGTGTTCACTCGTTACTTGCAAAGATGGGGGAAAGACTTTTTACGCAGACGGCTGGATTGGACGTTAGACGAAATAACGGGAAACCCGTCGGACCCCCGACACATTACGACTGCACTATGCCCGTGCCAATACATCGAGGAGTTATTGTTAAATAAAGCGCCTCATATCGACATACGGGATTGTTGCCCGATTTGGTCTAGGTTAATGGCACGATTAGGAATAGATTAAACACTTTTGTTTGTTTGTTAAACTTGATCACTTAATTGTAAACGTTTTTTTTTTTAATTATAGGAGCGATCGACATTGCTGTATTTACGCTATGTCGCTCGTTGGGGCCGTCAAGTTGTAAAAGGTAGTATTAATAATTCACCGTTGGCATGTGGCCGTCACTGTCCCAAACACCAATGTCCGTGCCAATTCATCGACGAGCATTTGCACTGTAAACCTAAAGGCAAGTTAACTCTGAAAAATTGCTGCCATATTCCAGACCAATCTACTAACTGTGTCATTTTATAAAAATTAGGTGGATGGTAAAGTTGACTAACATGGGAGGTGCTAATCTTTCTTTCCCGTGGCACTTTGACAGTCTTAGGGTTCACTTAGGGTACCAACATTATTGTGATTAACGTTAAGTTTAAAAACGTACTTAATTTTATCATTTTACTAATGCGTATACAAACATATTTATTACAGAGCAGCTAATTTAAATATTCGAATGTTAATTGTTAAAGCAATTATGCAAGTCCGTCCATACACTGTACTATTTTTTTATAAATAAAGCTTTAAAGTACACCTTCGCTATTGAATTTCTGGCACTTTCTGAAGGCTTTGGGTTTAACACTTGGCTCAACGCATCGAAGTTTGTGCTAACAGTTTTTTGTTTTAGGATACTGTCTGTTTTGTACGTACATTGTCGAGGGTAACGTGCAACATAATCCCTTAGTAGTTACAGCACCATAATTTGATGTTAATAAATACAAAATAAAGATTTATTGCTGAATCTTACGTTTAATTTCCTCCACATGTGATTGTATCACTTTAGACTGCTCTTCAAGTGTCGTAAGCTGTTGTGCTAAACTCGAAGGTGTTTGTCGTAAAGTTTCGGCACCACTGAAGATGTCTTCTTTGTGATGTCGATTGACTTCCGGTATTTTATTGTCGATGCAAATGAATAGTTTATTTTGTTGTTCAGAATCTTTACGTAGTGTTTCTATATCCTCTTGAATTTGGTCCACACTCAAAGGGAACGGTTTTCCCTGCGCTTTGTAAGATTTAAACATTTTCTCTACTCTAACCTCAAATTTCGTAAAAGGTTATGTCATGAATATAAAACTGGAATGGGAGACACTGCCAAATTGTATACTCCTGCTATACAGGGTAAGTGAAAAACTGGGAATTGTAACCAAATCCAATACACAAAATGGTAAATAGAACCTTCCCTTTTTTCCGGGTCGATCTGAGACAATTTTTTTTTCGGGGCTCAAAAAAAGGCAGTGTATAAACCTTCCTTTTTTACCAAAATTCGACTACACCAAAATTTCTCGGGAAAACACTTTTCATATTAATTTGGGTGCGTAGAATCCAAATCAATTCGTACTTTTTCGATCAGACTTCTCAATCAAAAGTTATAGACTAGAAACAAAATTCAAAGGGCTGTAACTTTTGAACTAGTAGCCCAATCTTGGAACTGTTTGAAAATATGGATTCTACAGGCCACATTCTATAAGAAAATTTTTTTTCCGGGTCGATCTGAGACAATTTCTTTTCGGGGCTCATAATTATTAACACGTTTCTCTAATTGGGGTTGATGTTAGGTTGTTAAAAAATTCTGTTTTAATTGAAGTGTTTTAAATGAATTTATCATTTTTTGTCGTAGCATGAAAGTGCTGAAATACAATGATAGGCGACGCACCTCGTGTGGATTGTATATTTTGTTACTTTTAATTATCAGCCCCCCCCCACACACACACACTAATACTTTAATGGCCCATGACCTATGCAATTCCACCTGGCCCGTAACTACCCAGTCCGCCCCTGGTAAATACATTCGATCAACGCCATAAATTGAGTAAATAAGTTTATATTATATTTATATAATAAAAAAAAACCTATTTACCCTAAGGTGTAGGGCTCAAATTATAAATTATTTCCCAAACTTAATTAATTATCTTTAAATATGTACACTCAATTTATGAAGACAAAAAAATCGTAACCGATTACAGCGCTTACCGCATTCCGCTCAAGTAGTTCCTGTAGACGGGAACATGTCATCAGTTTCGTCGCCACGGCACTGTAATATTTCATACCCCTAGGTACGCCACTGAATGTATTCAACAAATTATAGCAATCTGCCTTATCGGCGAACGAAAAAGCTGGTAAATGGCCGAACAGCTGAGCGCAAGAGAGATGGCGTTATCACTTTTGTTTATGGAGATTAAATGTTTACTGGAGCAACAGTAGCAAAAACAGGAGGAAAAGTGAAGGACTTTCTCCAGTTGTGTCGTGTTAATTCAGTTTCGGGCGCTCTTCCGTTATTTTCCTTAATCGTCGTCCGTTTGAATGTGCGCGAATCGGGCTCGTGAAATTGAAGTGAACCGATAAAATTCAATGTCCGTAAAACGATACGTACCAGCAGGTTGTACGACATCATCAATTTTGTATATGTCCGTCTTTTGACGGGGTCAAAATCTCATTCATTCCCATTTCGTTTTAGTCCGCTCTTTTTTTTTCCCCATGAAATACAAACGTTTGTAGCGCCAGGAGACGTTAACTCAGTATGTAAAATATTTACAATTTCAAGGACAAATTCGTTATGTGCAATGAAAAGTGATTTTATAGAATTAATAATAAAGCAAAGTTGGTGACCGATTACCGAATTTGGAAGGACGGCGTAGAGCATAAAATCCGTACAAAAATGATGAAGGGAGGAAGTTTAAACAAAAAGGAGGGCAAGATGCGAATCCGAGCCTTTCCGGTAAGTCGCAACCCGATGACAAAACTTCAGGATCTAAGACTGTCGATTTGTCACCGGGAAACAATTATGTTTACTTGTCACTTTCGGCCCATAACAAAATCATTAGTGCAAAACCAAAATTTGGTGTCGCCAGACACTTTGCTATACGTTGATCTAAATGTTTCTTCGAGTTATTTAAGCCTTAATGGCCGCATCGTCGACGAGCAGCTATAGCGCAAGTTTTATAGGATGGTTTGCTTCCTCTCGAGATCCTTTAGCGAAATATTTTGAGCCGGTACCTGTCACGTCGTGTTACACCGTTTCATGTTCTGTTTCAGATGACAATGGACGAGAAGTATGTCGAGAGCATTTGGGCGTTACTCAAGAATGCGATACAGGAAATTCAAAAGAAGAACAATTCGGGACTTAGTTTTGAAGAACTGTATCGCAACGCGTATACTATGGTCTTACACAAGCATGGCGAACGATTGTACACCGGTCTGAAGGAAGTCGTCACTCATCATCTCGAGACAAAGGTAGTAGAATCGCACGTTTGTGGTCGGTATCTGACTGTGGTTGTGGTAGGTGCGTGAAGATGTATTGGAGTCGCTTCGGAATAATTTCCTGTTAACTTTAAATCAAGCGTGGAACGATCATCAGACGTCCATGGTTATGATACGTGATATTCTAATGTACATGGATCGAGTTTACGTTCAGCAAAATGATGTGGATAACGTGTACAATCTGGGCCTGATTATTTTTAGAGATCAGGTAAGTACACAAAAAATGGTTTTTGGATAAAAGTCCTGTTGCGGTGTTGTGGGACCTTTTCTTGTTATCACAATAGAACTCTGGTGTACAAAAGCTTATACGTTTTATTACTAAATATACTGAGTCTTGTAGGTGAACCCTATTGATTTCGAGTTCATTCCTCCTTGAAAAGCTTGCACTTTTCGGGAAACCTGATCAAGTTTCTTTGTGGAGCTTTTTTTAATAATAATAATAATAATCTTTATTGTCCATACAGCAATAACACCAATATTGGACAACTTCAAAGTGTTTAAAGAAACAGAAAAAACGATATAAAACTAAAGAGCAGGTATATAAAGTGAACAAAAATGCAATGACTACTGTGTATAAATCGAGGTATAAACTAAAACAAAAATAAAAACAAAAGAAATTTCAACAGTGACTATAATATCTATTAAGTGAGGTGCATTGGACACGTGTGGTGAACTAACTTTCTTATTGGTGGTGCGATCTTTCTGAGATGCCTCTTTCTTTTAATCTAAGATAAGAATGTAGGGCATGGGGAAATCGGAAACTATAAGACATACACAGTCGGTTAAATGGGAAAAAAGTTGCGTATTTTAGGGGTTTAAGGCACAATATGACTCTTTATGAGGTATGTCATTTAAGGGAACCACATGTCAATGATAAAACTAAGAGGGCAATCTGTCTGGTACGGTTACACATCTGATTCGTTCTTCTTCTGTTGAAAGAACCAATCAGATGCATAACCGTAAGAGACAGCTTACCCTCTTAGGTTTCCCGTCTCTCTCACTTGCAGTATCCGTGCTTAGCATTGGTAGACGCAGTCCAATCATTATATGTCGATGCCACCAATGAACTTTTTTGACATTTTGTCAATGCCTACTATACCAAAATGTCAAAAATTTAATAAGAAGCTTTTTTTTCTGACTTAAATAATAAACCTTTTTGATGATAGGACTAGTAGAATAGAACAGTGGATTTGGCTGGCGCTGCTTTGGCTCAAACCCGCCGCATAAACGACCAGCTAGCTCAAGGTTGATTCGTTTTGGACATGTAATCTTCGGTACTTCTTTACTTACCTTTATTTGAGCGCCACCCAGTTTATTAAGCTTTATTTACGAATTAATGTTGTCGTCAGGCATTATTCTTCATAACAATGCACGACCGCACACTGCAATTGCAATAACGAACCTCTTGTAGAGCTTTGGATGGGAAGTTTTTGATCACCCAGCATACAATCCTGATTTGGCTCCCTCAGATTTTCATCTCTTCGCCCACTTGAAACGCTGACTAGAACAAACTGGCCACAGATATAGAATTGCTTGGAAACAGAGGCGGCGTTTTATGAGGAAAATTGGTACCACTCTACGACAAATGTATAAATCGGAACGGCGATTATGTCAAAAAGTAGTTTAATGTTGTACCTATTACATTGTTCACTTATTTCTATTTTACCGAGTAAATTTGGGTTGTTTAGGTAATGAAAATCTGTTGCCTAGACAATAAATCAATTAACATAAGAAACAAAAACGGCATATATTGACTTAACGGAGCTGAAATTCTAAAATATTAATTCACCTTTCGCTTCTAAATGACAAGTGCTTTCGGAAGCAAGAAAGATAATTGAAATATCGGTTGCAAACGGCGAATAGATATTATCCAAATAAAGCCAGAGCTTACTGGATCGTTTTTAAAATTATATTTTTATTTGATCTTTAATTTTGTTGCTCATTAACCGTCACAGATACAAAAAAAATAAAAGAGACCAAAATGTTTCTAAATAAATCACAAAATTAAATTTCTTGTTTTACAATTTACCAGTAGCCCACTAAGATAAAGTTCAGCGGTAGAAAATGGAATATGACTCCTGAGAAAAAATCACTCTGTAGATTCGCACTACAATTGACATGATCAGTGATGTAAGGCCTTCAGCGTAACTTATATTTCACAAAATATCTCTGCAGGAGATATAAAACTTAACAAACCGTGAAATTTTAACACCCTATAGATCCGTAACGAGAATATATTTGAGAAAAATGTACTTTTAAACGATCCACCACCACTTTCTCACTTCCCAGTACAGGGGATTTTTGATATGGGCATCAGCACACGTCCTTGAACAACTGTCAAATTTCAAAAGTGTGACATTTACAAAAACTTTTTTACTTAATTACCTGTACTAAAATCGCTGTGACGTATAAAGCTCAAATTTAGTATCTACACAGATAGTAGCGGGGCATATAAATGCCAGAAAATGGTTTAATCGTTCAGATGATGATACGAGGGGTTGACCGCTGGGCAAAATTGTGTACACCACATTTGCCATTTTCCACATTTGCTACATTTGCCAGACATTTGCTACATTTACACAACATTTGCTACATTCGCTATAAATTTACCAGAAATTTGCCACATTTACTACATTTACACAACATTTACTACATTCGCTATAAATTTACCAGAAATTTGTTACTTTTGCTCATCATTTAGGTACTACATACAGTTAAATATGTACAAGCATTTCCGCGGGTCATTTGGTAATTGAAATATTACCTGGGTATATATTTTCTTATTTTGTGAGCTTTGGAACAGGTTAAACACACAATATACAATATTGTCCCAACTACAAATCAAAGTTTACTTTTGACTTAAAACATACACAATTTAAAAATAGTTTGAATAAACAACATTACTTATACATTTTTTTAATTGATTTGTATTTCCTTTTTATGGCGTTACGATTTTCTTCTGAGATTGTCATGTTATTTGTTCCGATCATCTTTATTGGACCAAAAAAAATGTATTGTTGGTCCACAGTTTGTACGTCATCATCTTTAGGCCATATGAATGTATTGAGTTGAGACTGGAGAAACTTGATTTTGTAACATTTATCTTCAGACTGGGTTATTACGCGACCTATATACCATGATTCGGAATAGTATACCGCATAATATGATTCTAAAACCGGTTTAAGTGGGTGAGTTTCAGATGTACTTTCAGTTCTCGGACTGCGACTGTTATAATTCTGATCTGCTCTAACGCGCAGCAGACGATCAGAACTCAACCTAAAAGGTAATAGAATGTATTAGATTAGATGATACTAATTAACTGCCACATTAAATACCTTTTCACATTATCGTCCAAAAACCAACACAATGTTTTCTTTCTTATCGTTTTAATTTGACCATTTTGGCATTTGATTTTGACATAGGGGCTTCTTTCATGAATTGGTTCTTCAACAGGAACGTCAGCGAAATTCAAATCCTGGAAGTTGATTAAGGAATCACTATGGTCATCATCTTGTTCTTGATCCTCGCTTGTTTCGCTATCATCCTGTTGGTCAACAAATTGGCGTAACACATCATTCGTAGCCGGTTCATATGAAAATTCTTCTGACAAATTTAAGTCAACACAATGATAATCCAATGCATCTGGATCCTGTAATTTATACGGTTGTGAATCAATACTCCCGTCAAATATCATAATTTGTTCCCAAAGGTTTTGAGTATCATCGTTATCTCGATCGTTATATATACCCAATAACTTGCAATCATTTATCGCCTCTTGCAATGCTGTCATACATACTGACTCGATTTCTTCATCACAAGGGAACACAATACCAATCGAGTTATGTGCAGTTCCCATTCTAGATGACCCTTCCCGTGGAAATACAAATGTATCGCGCAAATCACTCATAATACTTACAATAGTCTCTATTTTATTAATTCTGTTCAACATTTCCATTAAACTAAAATTAACTATCGTAGAGTACGTTGACGTGAGTGATCTGGTAGCGCGAAAAATTTGCTCACATGGTTGAGAGCTGAAGAGCCAAGTGGCAAAATCCGTATCAAGTTTTTCTTCCCTAAATTTTCGGATGATCTTAATCAGGGCATGAGCATTCATTTCAATACACAAGTACGCATTGAGAGTTATAAAATTTTCAGTCACTGTGTATGACTCGGAATTTCTTACCCAACTCCTCCATATACGAAGAAAAAAGACCGCATACCAAATCAGTTGCAATCGCCTTACAGGACTAAGGTCTTTCCTGAGAAAAGCATCAAGTACAGATCTGAGTATTTTAAGATATGCAACAGTTCCTTCGCTGTTTGGAACACTTTTTTTAAGAAGTTCAGACACTTTAGGAGCAATAATTTTTTCAACAGATCGGAAATTCATTTTGTCTTGTGAATTTAGGTCTCCTAAGGTCAGAAGGTGTTTATCTTTAGACACAGTCTCAATTAGAGTTTTAAGATGATCCGATGATGCTATAAAATTTCCAAGAGCGAGCGTGACTTTTTGATTGATTAAACGCGTTTTTAATTTTGTTCCGATGTGAACTGTGTCCTGAGTGCAAATATTGCCAGTATCTAATGGCATGTGAAACCACTTCCACTTTTCTGTTACCTGGTTAGAAAGTTTTGTTGTGAGCCGCATCGCTTTCAGCAACCTCGTGTCCCCGTCTGACGAGAAACCCAAAAGTTCTATGTTATACCGACGTGCAGATACCTTCATTTGTTCCCATCGCTGTATTACATCATTATGCGTGAATTTGTTATTAGTACCGAAAATGTTAAGACAAAACGAAGGGGTTTTATCAATTGGACATTGGGCCATGATTGCGTACCCATATTGAGCTCGTTCTCCTTCCACAAAGATCTGTTGGATTCTTCGTGCCGAAGTTGCTTCGAAGTAGTTCTCACGTGGCAATCCATTATGCTGTGGAATAACAAATCCAACCACCAAGTTATTGTGTGAAGAGTATCCTATTTTCCCTGTAATCTTTGTCGCATCTTCGCTTATCCACACGACGCTTGGCAATCCACGACTATCAAGAAATCTTCTCAGATCTGCAAAGCGTAATTCCCCTTCTTGTATATTTGAATTAGTAATAGAACGGTGTAAAGTTGTTATTGAAGGAATAACGTTTTTCAAATTTGCATATAATGTCTCGTATAGCATTCTCCCTCCAATTAAGAATAGGTACAAGCAGAATTTTTTTACACTTTCGTCAAATCTGTTTTTTGATTTCGTTTTGGAAGCATTGGCAGCAGCTGTATCAAGCATAATATTTAAAAAAATTGACACAGGAGCTCCCGTTAACGATGCACCGCCAACCTTGTCACCCAATAATCGGAACTTTTTGGCTTGTTCTTGAATTATTTCTTTTAATTGACTATTTTCGATTAACACCTTCTCAATGTCTTTTAGTGGCTTATAAAAATTGGTTATAAGCAGCTGTTTTTCATCATCAAAAGAATTTTCGCGGCCACGTCGATTTCTTTCACAGCGCGAGTATTTCGGAGATAACCACTTGTTTTCAACAAGGACCGAAGTCGGTTGTTGTTGGGGCTGGTGTAACGATTGCTCAACAGAACTGTAAGCCCCTTCATGTACAATTCCGTCTGTTTGAAAATCCCGAGGAAAATCCTGTTCGGTACCGCTTTCAATGTCTGATAAAATTATTTGCTTGTTTGCTTTTTTTCTTGGTTGAATGATATCTTCATCCTCTTCTTCTGATGATAAGACAGCAGATACTACGACTTCAACATCTGATCTTGTTTCTTGTGCGTCTTCACCTATTTTCTCATCTACTCTAGAGATGGTGGGTATAAAGGAAGAACTAGTAGACGGTTCAGAACAGAATGTATGTAGTGTGGGTTGGCGAATCGTGCGCTTAGATTTTGGCTTAGAGTTATCCTGGAATTTATCTTTATTTGAGTCCTTATTTTTCAAATGTTTGTTAACATGTTGATAAAAATTCGAAAAAGACCAATGGGTGTTGTGATTCTTAGGCAGTTTTTTCACCTAAAATTGAAGTAGTACACGTTAACAGGCGCCGGGCACAAGTTGATAATGTATTCCAAGTAGTTATATATTTATAGTTCTGTACCTTAGTAATGTTCAGATACACATTACACTCCAAGGATACTTTAAAAAAATCCTCGCTGCGCTGGAATTGTGTCAAAGTATCCAAAAACTGTAATTGGTATCTGGACATTACAAAGTGAGCGTTTTATATGAGATCGAAAGAGTCTCGGAAAGAGTTAAAAATTGTTATTATTTTATGTATACGAAATTCTCGTCAATCAGAGTGCATTATTCTACCTAGTACATATGATATTACAGAGGGTAATACCGATAATACTTGATATATATGTAGTAACTACATGTTGAGATAGATTCTGACATATCTGACGTATTTAAGCAAAAGCAAAATTTTATACATAAAATAATTTTAACAAATCTAATGCAGGAATTGATTTCTAAGTGCTAAGATAAAATACCAATCATAAAATCGAGCGTACAAAAGCAATGCATACCTTTACTTTCGCATCGCAAATGAAACATGGGATATAACAGCAAATAAAATCGTCGTCATCTGGTGAACACTGGTATTCTATGCTTTTTATTTTAGTGGTATATTCTCGTTCTTCATCTTCTGTGATTTTGCTCTCTTTTTTTAGTAACAAAACCCAAGACACAATGTTTTGTTTTATTTTGGTACTATATTTTGATAAATTTTCAGCCATTTGAAGGTTTGTGTTGTTGCACGTCGAAGCAATGCTGGGTTCTCGGCTAGGTTTGACTTTGCGTTTATTTTGTTGCTGAGACGTAGTTGTAGTTAGTTCACGTTGTGATTCACTCATGGCTAGTAATAACTTTCTGTGTCCCATAAGAAATTTAAAATTTGTAGGCTTCTTCTTAAACAACGGCCCATAATAGTTTTCATACTCTTCTTTATCGATCAAGTCGACAAGTTCGCCTTTTACAAACTCCTCTAGCCTATTAATATCGTCCTCTGATAAATTTTTAATCCCGATTTTATTTGCTAAACCGGACACTTTTACTATATTTTTTAAGAATAGAGGAATTTGGACTTCTAGTTTTTGTTCAATGGAATTGATAAATGTATCCTCCGTATCTCCCCAATCAGAGATTGTCTCAATATTTGCTGTTACCGCCATTGTTTGTTACACTTACGAGCACACCCACCCGCGCATTCAACGATAAAAACGGGAATAAGGGTACTTTATGAATGAAGAACGAAGTTCATTGTCAGACTGATACTTCAAGAAAATGCTATCGCAGTAAAAATGCACAGCATAGAGCGAGGCATGGTGACTCACTGTTAAATGCTATTCATAAATAAACCACCTTTATTTCCGACCTCGTTACGACTGTTATTTGTTGCCATATATACATATATGTTTGTTGCTATGTACTTCATAAAAATGAAAATAATTCGTAGAACAATATTTCCTTTTCAATTCTTATTATTCTCGAAAATAGCTTGGACTACACATAGCCGTAGGCATTTTCTTTGAACTTTTGAATTTGAGCAGGTGTATCACAACATTTAAAATCAATTAAGTCACATTTTGTTATAGCCTTTGTCGTATTTCTTGACTGTACTTAATCTAAGTAAAAATTCCCATAAGAATTTTGTTCTATTAATCCGATTGAATTCATAAAAATTTGTGATTATGTATCAAACAATAATCTTTGCAATTGAACTCGAAATGAAGTCTCTCCGAGATTCTTAAATTTCAAAACAAAAAAAGCAATGTATGCAATCGAAATGTAACAATCATTCTATTACTTTTTCGGTGTATAGGGTAAGGACTCTAGCACATGATTTACGACTGCACTACATGAACGAATGTTAAAACACATTTTTTTGCATAATTTTCACGAATTGTAAGCGTCTGATATACATTTATCTTTACATTTACAAATCATTGATACTCGCATTGATATGTCATATTTCATAAACATTTACTACATTTCTTAAACATTTGCTAAACTATTTTCTACATTTCCTTAACATTTGCCACATTACCTAAACATTTGCTACATTTCCTCATCATTTACTACATTTCCTTAACATTTGCCACATTTCCTGAACATTCGCTACATTTACCCAACATTTGCTACATTTGCTCATCATTTCCTCGGGACTGTACACCACATTTGCCCAGCGGTCAACCCCTCGTGATGATACTACCATGAAATGTGGTATGAATGCTCCTATAGGGGTATTGATAACGAGGTCCACTTAAGAAATTCAAGATGGCCGCCGTTTTCCAAGATGGCGGCACATATTAAATATTATTAGTGGTAAGTATCTTTCAAATGATGAGATTTTCATAAGTAAAAAAGTTGACATTTTGCAGTCTGCGCATGCGTGAATTTTATTTTTACTATGTGCGATATGTTTACTTTTCCTAATGACATTTGTAGTTTAAGATTTTTACTACATGTGATATGTTTTTCTTTACTACAAGCATCTATGGTTAAAATTTCAAAGAAATATCTTGATAAATAAAGAAGTTGCGCATGCGCACATCTAATCTTTGCAATATCAGTTATGTTTGCCTTTAACAGAAGCATCTGTGATTAGAATTTCAAAAAGAAGTCTCGATAAATAACAGTTGCCATTGCGCCGTCTGCGCATGCGCACGTCTGATTTTTACTATGCTATATGATATGTTTGCCTTCACCACAAATATCTGTGGTTAACATTTCAACAAAATATATTAATAAATAAGTAAGTTGACATTGCGCATTTTAATTGTCAAGATTTTCCTTGGCTCAGGTGCTAGAGCTATACGCTATTGAATGCAAAAAAATCGAACTGAATATCTTGAAAACTGTGTGAGTAGTTAAGGTCTCCGACAGACGGACGGACAGAGAAAATGGCTGCAATAGCGCACCCAACTTTGTTGGAAAATGCGCTAAAAACACGGTATTTTAGGGGCTATTCTGTATATCGTCGTTAGCAAAAGATATCGTAATGGTAGCAATTTGATTTTGAACGACAGCTATATTTCGTATCCTTGTTATGTGTCGTACAGAATAGAGAAAGTCGTTGTCGAACAATAGCCGCTGTGTAACGACATCGTAAAATAACGTTTTTTTGACAGATAACCTACACGTTACATTTGACGTTTCTGATACATCACAGGAGTGATTATTTGCATGAGCTGTACCGCCATCTTGGAAAACGGCGGCCATTTTGAATTTGTTTAATGGCCAGCCTTTACATATAAAACAATACCCTTATAGAAGTGTTGATACCAAATTTCATTTGACAGGTACGTACTTACTTACTATTAATAATGTTTAATATGTGCCGCCATCTTGGAAAACGGGAACCATATTAAATTATTTAGGTGGCTATTATTATCCATTGGTGTCAATGGTTTATTTCCTATAGTTCTAGGACTGGGTTTTTTATTAATTGTACCCTAATTTGTCCAACGCAACCCTGGCGCCCTAATAATCCTTATGCTCTCCGGTTTTGAGCCGAGCGAAGGGGTATTGGTCCAACATTGTATGAACCATTGCCATACAGTTTTCTTACCAGGTAGTTTGTTTCTTGATTGATTTTTTGTTGTCCATTTAACGACTGACCGTATTTACGTTACCTCTTCATGAACCTATCGAATTGGTATTTTTGCCAATACGAAAAGGTTATAATAATTTGGCGCCCAACGTGGGGCTCCTGTATAGAAGCATTCATACCAAATTTCTTGCTTGTACCATCATCTGAAAGATAATTGCAATTAACTGCCTCACTGTACAGTGATATTTTCATGTAGAAGTAGACATAGGGATTTCCTACGTTTTAAATGACAAAAATGTCCTGAAAGACGCCTAATTTTATGCAACCAAAATAACTTCTTGAAACAAATAAAGATCTGGCTGTCATATTAATTATTAATTTGAATATTGTTGCACACCCTAACGTCATTTTTGGCCTTTATTTTTGAGTGGGCGGGGTTTCAGTCCAAGCGCCGTTTGTCTTCTATATCATAATCATTTTTTAAGGTGGTACGCTACGGCTGCATCAGAGATCACCTACGCGAAACCTTACTAGAAATGGTAATGCGCGAAAGGCGAGGCGAAAAGGTCGATCGCATATCAATCCGAAACGCCTGCCAGATGCTAATGGTACTAGGAATAAATTCGAGAATCGTCTACGAGGAAGACTTCGAGCGGCCATTTCTCCAACAGTCGGCCGAGTTCTACAAGGTAAAGCGACGGTACCGTGCGTCCGAAGTGTTAGGCTAGCCGTTTTTAGGTGGAGAGCCAGAAGTTTCTGGCGGAGAACAGCGCGTCGGTGTACATAAAGAAGGTGGAGGCTAGAATAAACGAGGAATCGGAGCGCGCCAAGCACTACCTCGACGAGTCAACGGAATCGCGTATCGTCGAAGTCGTCGAAGAGGAACTAATAAAGAAGCACATGAAGACCATCGTCGAAATGGAAAATTCCGGTGTGGTTCACATGTTGAAGAATCAAAAGACGGAGGACTTGGCGTGCATGTACAAATTGTTCGGTCGCGTGGCGGACGGTCTCAAGACGATGGCCGACTGCGTTAGTCACTACTTACGTGAGCAAGGCAAGGCGCTGGTGCAGGAGGAGGAGCATCAGCCGCCCACTAACGCAATCACGTTCGTTCAATCCCTATTAGACTTAAAAGATCGCTTCGATCATTTTCTCATTAACTCGTTTGCTAGCGATAAAATTTTTAAACAAATGATAGCGTCTGATTTTGAACACTTTTTAAATTTGAATCCGAAATCGCCCGAGTATTTGTCCTTGTTCATCGACGACAAGTTGAAGAAGGGAGTGAAAGGGGTATGTTGACGCGAAGTTTACTCGCTTGTACTATTCGTATTTGCAGATGTCTGAGCAAGATATCGAACAAGTGCTTGACAAATCGATGGTGTTGTTCCGGTTTCTACAGGAAAAGGACGTGTTTGAACGATACTATAAACAACACTTAGCGAAGAGGCTTCTTCTTAATAAGTCTGTGAGTGATGATTGGGAAAAGAACATGATTTCAAAGCTTAAGGTAAGGCTTCCTGCGTCGATACGATACTTTATTCTCCGTATTCTGTATTTCCCCAATTAATTAGATGCATGGAATAAAGTGTTCTTTGGAAGAAGCCCGTGAAAAGGAGTAGGCCTACGTCGCCTTGTTCTCGTTGTTACCGTTTCCGTATTAGTTCTCTGCAAAATTCTCATGTTACCTATACATGCCATGTAAGATTTTGTTAGCTATTTTCATATGTTAAGCCGCTTAAAGGCTTTTGAGAATTTTGCAGAACTTTAAGCGGTTTAATGTATTTTTGCATTCGTATAAAATGCCCGATTCTTTCCCTTTCTCATTGGCCAAGTAGTAATTGACAAACCTGTTGGCTCTAAAATTTTAAATGAAATAAATCAAAATATGTGCGTATATTTTTCTCTATTTTGTAAAATAAAGTGTGAAAGGAAGATCAGATTTTTTTCCAGTTTCATTGATTTGTTACAGAATTTTCTGCCTCTTTCAGAAGATAGAGAAAAATATATGATCCTATCAAGCATTCAAGCAAATCTTGGTACCATTTATATAAAAAGTCTGTACCTTTCTTACTTTTTCTCAGTCATTATTTCGTTACGTGAAGGTTATTAATAATCATTACGACTACCATGCAAAATAAATGTATACAAATTTAAAACAAGATTTCAGATCTCTAATCTTTTACTATCACTGACATAATATAAGATGAGGTATTTTATGTTCTTGTAGCTAGCACAGCAAAATTGAACAGCCATTGATATTGCAATTAATTAGATGCCAATAAAATGCTACTCTTATGCTTCAATTAAACATTTCCTGTTCTTTCTTTTTAAGTTAAATACCGTCAGTTCACTTATTTGAACACTAAGGACCGGTTGCACAAACACAGTTTAAACTTCGTTTAAATTAACGCAATGGATTAAGACATGATTAGTGGAAATTTGGCGAAACGTCAAATTTCAACCAATCCTAGACCGTAATCCACTGGTTAATTCCAAGATAGGTTTAAACTGTCTTTGTGCAACCGGCCCTAAAAGGTGTTGCAAGATAGTGATCTATTAGCTTACTATTAACAAAAAATCTGATACAACTGAATACCGAACGATCCTCGAAATCTTGACACATATATCATTTTTACAATATACCTTAAGCTTTAAGGGGTTGATTCTATCCCACCAGATCAGCATAGCTTATAAGACAAATTTTTTGAATCAGCATTACGTTTTACTTTTATCTTAACAAATAAAATTGAGCTTGCGCAAATACAAAAGTTGGAATGCGCATGCGCAATTTTTTTTTTGAATCTGCATTGCCCGAGGTTTAATGAATATTTATTAACACAGAAAACCGGACATTCAGATGTTCTTTGTTACAAGAATGATAAAAGAACCCTATTTTTTTGAGGTTAGGTCAGTTTGTGGGCTATAACTTTTTGGCCCGTTGGCCTACGTAGCCAAAAAACAATAGCGATCCTTCTTATATCCTGAAGAACGTGTATCAATTTTCAAAGAGATCGGACGTTTCTACACAAAGTGTAGACAGACAGACGAACAGACAGACTGAAGTCACTAAATATAGAAAGTACCGCAATCCATTGGGCTCGTGTGTTAGAGAGAGAACGCATGATTTTTGCCCAAAAATGGCGGAAGTTACCAGATTCTAGTAACTTTAATGTTAGGGTTTGTTCCACCTGTTTGGAGATATCTGTATATATTTTTATAAAACATGACAGTACTATGAAGTTAGGTTATAAAAAATGACAGCTACTCAGATTTTATTTGTCAATTTTTTTAAGTTGGCAGCAAATTTGCCCAAAAATGGCGGATGATTGCGGTACTTTCTATATCTAGTGACTTTAAGACAGACAACAATACAAAATTATAAACGATCTTGAGGATCGTTAATAGATAGTTATAAAACCAAAACCTTTGCTTTTCAGCTATTTTTTTTATATTTTGAGAAACTTTGTCCAACTTTGATCAGCTGTATTTCGGTTGATATTGGATCACCAGCAAATTTAATGCCCAACAGAGAAACCTCCAACTGTAGGACTGATTGGAGTGTTGGCTAACTACAGAAAATTGATTTTTATTTTTTTCTCAATAACTGTCACAGATACAAAAAAATTACAAGATACCAAAAAGTTTCTAAACAAAGCAGAAAAGGAAATCCTTATTTCACAATCTACTAGGGGCGCACGGAAAACAAGTAAAAAGGTTTTTTTGTCCTAAGGCGAGCAACTTCAGCGCATTTTCCATGAATGATCAGTACTCCCAAAACGCCATAGCTATGTGCGCTATGATTTTCTGTACTAGAGGTCTATATGATTATGATTACAATTTCAAAGAAATATCTCCAGAAACAAAAAAAGGTGGCGTTGCGCAGCTCGCGCATGAGCACATTTAATTAATGCGATGTTTGTTTTTACTAGAAGCGTTTATAGTTAAACTTTAGAGAGAGATTTTCATAAGTAAAAAAGTTGGCATTTGGCAGTCCGCGCATACGTGGATTTGACTTACTATGTGCGATATGTTTGCTTTTCCTAATGACATTTGTAGTTTTCGATTTTTACTACCTACATGTGATATGTTTTTCTGTACTAGAAGCATCTATGGTTAAAATTTAAAAGAAATATCTTGATAAATAAAGTTGGCAATATCAGTTATGTTTGCCTTAAACAGATGCATTTGGGATTAAAATTTTAAAAAGATATTTCGATCAATAACAGTTGATATTCCGCATTAATCTGATGTTTACAATATGCGATACGTTTGGTTACACTAAAAGCATCTTTGGGCAAAATTTCAAAGAAATATCTCCATAAATAACAAGAAGCCATTGCGCAGTCTGCGCATGCGCACATCTGATTTTTACTATATGCGATATGTTTGTCTTCACCAGAAATGTCTGTGGTTAAAATTTCAACAAAATACATTAATAGTGCACAGTTTAATTGTTAAGATTTTCCTTGGCTCAACTGTAGGAGTAGTTAAGACCTCGGACAGAGAAAGTATCTGCAATAGCGCACCCAACTTCGTTGGAGAATGCGCTAAAAAGTTCAGGGGTAGAAAATGGAACATGATCTCTGCAAACTGTAGATTGGTATGACCAATGATGTCAGCCCTTCAGCTTAATTTGCATTTCAAATTTGAGCGTAATATCCTTAGACCATATAGTACATGGACTGCTATTAGCCCTATGCTTTTCATACAAAATAGGTGGTCACGGATAGAGGGCACTGTAGTCGTGGGTATGTGAATCTCAGGGTAAACTAAAGTCGTGTAAACACCACTCGGGTCACGTAAAGAGTAGCTTTTATAGTAACCGCGTGGTACGGGAAGCTTGATTATCTTCTATACGTTCACAAAATAAGGATAGGTTTGCTTTTTTTGCATATCCAGAGGATTAATTAATTGACGTTTGTTAATTTATAGGTTGACAGTCTCAAATCGTGTCTAATCGGACAAGTTCGGACAGACTCGTTTACCCTGAAACTCACATACCCAGGCGATGTCCTTGACCATATTTTCGTTACAATTAGCAGTCCATGTACTATATGGTCTAAGGTAATATCTCAAAAACTGCAAGATATACAGGGTGGGCCATTAGTGTGTGGGTGGAAGATTGTGGGTTGCCCACATTTAAAATTTGTTGTTGGGGCATGTTGAAGGACTGCTAAGGTTACAACCTAAAAATATTTTATGTTCATGAACCTAGCAGAGCATTTTCTTAGGTTTTAAAGGTAGTGTTCTGCTGAGTTCATATGAACCGGGCAAAACAGGTAATAATTTAAAAAAAAAAGGAGCATTTAATTCGGGAATAGGACACTTAATTAGCACCTAATTATACTATAGTTAGTTCACTTTTCATTTGGATTTTCATTGGATTTTTTGAGGTAGTGCTCTGATGAGTTCATATGTTTGATTGTGTTCTGCTAACCTTGCTCTGCTAGGTTAATGGATATAAATATTTTCAACGAAATTGCAATTGTTATACAGGGTGATTTATATCAAAGTTATATTGGAAACGTACATTCAACACAGCCATATGGCTCTGAGGTATATGCCATGTTTCACTACAACATAATTAAATAGTATGCTATTGTGATTCATGGTAAATAATATATTCTATTCTATAAATACCGTTGAAAAAATCAAGTTAACTTTGGTTGAAATTTTAAAAATTGACGGTTTGATTTCTTTCAACACAATAGAGGTTTAACTTTAGCCGTTCTGCCTATTTTAGTACATTTCATGACCAGTAATGCTACCGAGTCACGGCCTTCTCAGTTTAATGATAACTGCGCTGTTCAATTTTTACTAGACATCTACTTTTTGAAAAAGCGACGAATTCACGAATTGCGGCTAAAGGACTCATCTTAAACATTATATGTAATACATAAAGTCACACTAAAATTAACCAAGGAATCGAAATATGTAATAATATACAGGGGGTTCCATTAAAAAAATGCAACTTTGATATAAATCACCCTGTATAACAATTGCAATTGCGGTGAAAATATTTTTAGGTTGTAGCCTTAAGGGTCGCCCAACATGCCCCGACAATGAATTTTAAATATGTGTGTTTAATAAACCAACCGACAATCTTCCACCCACACACTAATGGCCCACCCTGTATACAGAAAAAACTGAAATCTTGAAATTATAACACCCTGTAGATCGTCAACGAAGCTTTTGCAGCCTTATATTTATATGAAGTTTTAGTTGTAAAATAATTCAAAGAATTATTTACATCATATTTAGGAACAGCCTGTATATTCTGTGGAGTATTCTGCTTAGTACTGTGATCGTTAAAATTTAGTGAAATAAAAACATTATAAATTGCTGCCACTTATGAGTTATGACAGTACGAAATACGCTCCATCACAGTAAAAATTCTGTGGCTTCACATAAATGCACCTACGCGATGTCAGTTTCTTTTCTGCTATGCTGATGTTTTGCTTGCTACCGAAACAAGAAATGTCTCATCCATCAAAAGAATATTGTTAGATTACCTCATTTGAAATTCTACCAATCTGGAACATTGTGAAATGTTTTAAGTTTAGTTGTAAATAATTTTAATTTTTTACTTTTCCATGTCAGACTGAATGTGGATGTCAATTTACCTCCAAATTAGAAGGAATGTTTAAAGACATGACGGTATCAAACACAATAATGGACGAATTTAAAGAGCACGTTTTTAAATCTGAGGTAAAACTGGCCTAATTAATCAATTTCGCCGCTCATTTTGTGAATGTGTAGATAAATCTGGGAGGTGTGGATCTGTTCATGAGAGTTTTAACGACAGGATTTTGGCCTACTCAAAGTGCGACGCCAACGTGTCACATACCCTCAGCACCACTAGCAGCCTTCGAAACGTTCAGAAGGTAATTCGATTGTGCATCATTCGCATTGCTTGACCGATGGTTTCAGATTTTATTTAGCGAAACATAGCGGGCGCCAGTTGACTTTGCAACCGCAACTGGGAAACGCCGACCTTAACGCGGTCTTCTACGGCCCCAAAAGGGACGAGTACGAAAAGGAAGGCGCCTGCTCGTCATCGACTAGTGTAATTTCGCTGCGCAACGGACCTCGTAAGCACATCATCGCCGTTTCGACGTATCAAATGGTAGTTCTCATGCTCTTTAATAATCACGATAAGTTAACGTACGAAGAAATACAGAACGAAACCGATATACCCGAGCGCGATTTAATTAGGGCGTTACAGTCGCTAGCCATGGGCAAAACGGCGCAGAGGATCTTAATAAAAAACCCGAAAACGAAAGACATAGAAACGACGCACGAGTTCTTCGTGAACGACTCGTTCACGTCGAAATTGCATAGGGTTAAAATACAAACGGTAGCTGCCAAGGGCGAAAGCGAACCCGAACGGCGGGAAACTAGAAATAAAGTCGACGAGGATAGAAAACACGAAATCGAAGCCGCTATAGTACGTATAATGAAATCGCGAAAACGAATGGCGCATAATTTGTTAGTGACCGAAGTAACGGAACAGCTAAAAAGTAGATTTTTACCTTCGCCAGTGATCATCAAAAAGAGGATAGAGGGCCTGATCGAACGGGAATATTTAGCACGCACACCTGAAGATCGTAAAGTGTACAATTACGTCGCTTGAACGTTGATTAAGTGGACTTTTTTGCCTAAATGTGGGTCGGATGTTACTAAGACTGCTTTACTCGGATACTCAATCCCTGTAGATCTTGTCGATCTGCACTGGTTTAGTGTTATTTATTCTGACCCTTTTATAGCTAATTAACTCCTAGAAACGTATATACTGAATATTAAATTATTCCAATTAAAGTCCATATAAATTTTTGTAATTTTTCTTTAACTACGATTGAGATTTGTTGACGAACACGATTCTTTGTTTTCCAATTTTGTGTCAATTGTGGTGTCGTGATTGTGCTCTTTGTAAGAAACGATGCACCGATTGTCTCTAATGTAAATAATATGATGACGCATAAAGATGTGTTGCTACAGTTCAGGCCAAGAAATAAAGTTATGGTAGGTACACACGATGTTATTATGTCATATTTCGAGTAATAAATTATGTTTTTCATATACAATGGTCGTTCAAACGTTCATCTTTTTATTTTATGAATCGCAAACTGCAAAAACATTTACACAAAAAATTAAAAAGGCTAATAGGTGGAAGCACTGGAACTGCAGTTACAAAAACACCAATAAACAACAATCAAGAACGCGTTTCTGAAAAATAAAATACAAAAACGCTTCTTAATGAAACATAATGAAGGAGATCTATTAGGCCAATCAGAGCTCCTAAATTTTCACTTGTATTTAGATAAAAAAATAGGGTTGCATTTGTATTTTATCATTCATTTGTTTGCTGATGATGACAGCTGAAACGCGTTAATTACTGTAGTATATTATTGTTGTTTTTGTTTTATTTTATGTAGAAGCAATAACAATTGCATAATTTAAGTGGGCGAGTGAAAGTCGACCATTTTTTCAAAGGTGTAAATTTACCGTATCAAACGGTTCCATAATGAGTAAGGAAGTTTCCGGTTCTGATAGTATATTTTAGTAGCAAGCTCACTTGAAACTTTGTCTACTTAAAAACAAGGAAACCTACAAAATTACAAGTAAATCAATTTCTATAATATTAACCAATGATGTGTATGTGAGTTTGTTTTAGATAATGGTAAAGGTTGCAAGTCGATAACAATTGGTAAGTTCAAGGTGCTACACTATGGCCGCAGGAACATCGAGACACATGCTTTCGAAGTATTTGACACTAAACGGTTTTTCAGCATAATTTCTGGATGATAGTTGGTTTTTCATAACAAGGTAATCCATATAAAATGAGATCCAATGGCGGCATAAGGGGACGCAGAGAGCTTCACTGCAAAAATTCCACATTTAATTCGCATTGTCGTGAAAGCATAGAAAGGCCATAGAAGTTATTTTTGATTAATTTAATGTACAGGGTGAGTTTTTTTTCATTTCCACTATGGGTATCTCGTAAACCGTAAGAGATACAAAGTCAGTTAAATGGGGGAGGTTATGCAGAATTTTATGCTGATTACTTATCCTATTCTTAATTTCTTGTAGCTCTACAAATAGCGGGCAAAGAACGAAAAAAATATCATTTTCGAAAATGCGCTGGCGTTTCTTTATTTTCGAAGAAAAATACTTTTAACAAACTTTTTAACTCTGCTTTCTGAATATAATTTTTGTGACTTGTGGGTTTTGAGTAAACAGGGCCGGATTTATGGGGGGGTGTCCCCACCCCCCCTAACGCGTGACCATAGTCGGCAAAACTTCAGTTAGTCGGCACTCGGCAAATCGCTATTCAAATTAAATTAATTAAATTAATATTATTATATTATTATTATTATTACACAATTCGTAACATAATTATCAGTGTGCTCGCGCACTAAGAAGCCAAGAATCTGACCTCTCTTCGCCCATTTAAAAGATATTTAAAAAAGTTCCTCATTGACCACCCATTTTACAGTATCAAAGAATATCTCGCCAATTCATAAGACGCCTTATGTACTTCAGCATTCTGCTATTGCACGTATTTGTTTGTTATCTTATTTATTTATTTTGTGACGTTCCTATACTCCTATATGTAGTCTACATGGAAAATAAAATGATTGATTGATTAAATTAATATTGGAAAAAAATTGCGTAAAATACGTCGGTACGCCGGAAAACCGTTTTGTAGCCGCCGCTTCCACGCAAAATGAGGAAATATTGGTTATTACGCCCTCACTTGCTGTGAGTCTCATTGATATTACGAGTATGTAGATCTATTACCTTTCATTGTTAAAGGTCCGCAAATCTTTGTAGCCGTTATGTTTGCATCGGTCTTAAAAGTTGCAAGAGGGATAGATGGTAGATAAGTATACAGGGTGGTCATTTTTAGCGCCTGATGACGATGGGATCTTTTATGTTGAAAACTAATGGTCAAATTGGGATAAAGTTAAATTTAAAATGCGAATCAATAATTGAAACCACTTGTGGGATAACTCTTTTAGTTTCAATAATTAAAAAGAACTGAATTCTGTGTTTTAATAATTCTGTATTAAAAAAAAACATTATTTTCTAATAAGAGCAATTTGTTTTGAACGTAGGGATCACATTGAATTTTTAGATTCTTTAATAAAGAATTTACTATGGATTTCTATATTACATTTTAAATATAACACTTAATTATTCAATTGTCACGAGAGTGTCTTTTAGACAAAAATCGGTTTTGGATAGATTACTACTTTTAACTTCATAATAATATACAGTGTGTCCCAGATCGCGTGGGATTGCATTGGTAACTTTGTTATTATTAAAGATAGAGAATTGGTTAAATGGGCAATGTTTTGCAGTTTTGGATGCTTATTTAAAATTCCCTTATGGAAATTCAAAATGTCGTATAGGTTCGACGTAAATTCAAAAAAACTAAAATTGGTCATTTCCTTGAATGTCTTATATCATCGAAAGTATAAGAAATATAAAAAAAAGTTTTATATAAAAGTGACTGTCTTTGATACGCTTAATTTAGAATTGATGTCAAAAAAAAATTCAAGATGGCCACTTTTGAGGAACATTTACCAACTTCCTAAAGTTATATGGGCGCCATATTGGATTTTTGCATTACTTGATAGATTTTTTAATTCTCTTTTCAACGAGCCATCATAAAATAAGATTGAAAATAAGATACAAGTTATATTAACGGTTTTTGTATTTTAATCAAGTAGTCTGTGACGAATAAAAAAAAACAAAACAAAATCTATTCGAGGCAACAAAACAATGAAAATAATTACACCAGATGTTTAAAATACTGGCCATTATTAGTGAAACACACTTCAAGACAGTTTAGTTTAGGCAACGTGTTGCCATTGATGATTATTATTATGATTGTAGTGGTAGCTCCTTCCACTTTACTTTTATTTTTTAATTAAGTACTTACTTTTATAATTTAATGTACTGTACTGACTGTACATAATTCGTGAATTGTGACCTGAGCAGCCAGTTTGTTGGTAGGTAGCATAAACTAACCCACCTTCGAAACATATGTTGTCGAGAAAAATCCTTAAAGGAAGTTTATTGGAGAATTTGTAAATCATGGTGAGCAATTAAAGATCCAACGAAGATTACCGGTCCAATTACATGACTTCCCATTATGCCATAAAATACATTAATTTAAAAAAATATGACTTGATTTCGGTGTGAAACTACATCATGTAGGTTTTCCTGTGACGAGTATAGTGTTCATTATGTGGATTTGAACACTCCGCAGTTAGAAAAAGATTCATCTGTCCATATACTCAGACTGGTAAAACTGTTAGTTTCGATATTCTTGCGGATAAACCACCTACAAAATGTGACCTGGGACAATGCATCAAGGGTAATACATTGTGTAAAATAAAGCAAAGTGTCTTGAAATGTCTTTAACTGGATAATGGCATGACATTTTTTCGAGGGGATAGTTTGTAGTTATACCACCATTTGTAGGTATGTAAGTATGGATAATAAGATAGTCAATAAGTGACGTTATAAAAATCAAAATTTTTCTTGGTCTACTTACTTATATAAAATTTTGGAGGGAGTTCTAATCCCCAAACCCCCCTCTCATTAGTGCGCCCCTGATTTTTTAAACATCTGATGTAATTATTTTCATTGTTTTGTTGGCTTGAATAGATTTTGTTTTGTTTTTTTTTAATTCATCACAGCCTACTTGATTAAAATACAAAAACCGTTGATATAACTGGTATCTTATTTTCAATCTTATGTTATGATGGCTCGTTGAAACGAGAATTAAAAAATCTATCAAGTAATCTAAAAATATCATATAGCGCCTATTAAACTTTAGGAAGTTGGTAAATGTTCCTCAAAAGTAGCCATCTTGAATTTTTTTTGACATCAATTCTAAATTAAGCCTATCAAAGACAGTCATTTTTATATAAAACTTTTTTTTATATCTCTTTCGATGATATAAGACATTCAAGGAAATGACCAATTTTAGTTTTTTTGAATTTACGTCGAACCTATGCGACATTTTGAATTTCCATAAGGAAATTTTAAATAAGCATCCACAACTGCAAAACATTGCCCATTTAACCAATTCTCTATCTTTAATAATAACAAAGTTACCCATGCAATCCCACCCGATTTGGGACACACTTTATAATATAATCTTGCCAAAAGAACGCTTTACTACATTTAAAACAATATTTTTATTAATTACTTTGATTTTAAATGTAAACTACCAAAGCAAAACTGCCAATGAGTTTGACTGCAATTTCCTAAGCACTGTCGTAATAATTGTAAAAGTAGTAAACTAAAAGCTATGGCGCGTCAGAGATAAATAACTCTGATGAAAGATCATAAGATGAAATTTGGCGACCTTAAAACAAAAAAAAGTTCTACGCCATTCTGGCCATATTTATCAAATTCCTCTGTAAAAGTCTTCTAAACGTCCCACTTCAACTCGCTTTTCGTGCAAATAGAAATAAAATAGAATCCATATCCATGACAGCCGCGAAAAAAGAGCACTCTGTATAATGACAAATCATAAAATAATTATTATTATTACTTTGGTATTTATATGTATAGAAAGAATTATAGTTTAATTAAAAATCATTTGCGTTTGTCTATGGCGGGTATTTGGCTAACTGCCTTATTGGTTCTAAGTAATCAGAAAAAGATATAGCAGGCAGTATACATTTGGAAAAAATAGTGTCACAATGGGCAGAGTCAAAATGCCGTCATTTAATGTTATACGTGTTATACTTTGAATTTTTATTGAAGTCGGAATTTTTTATTGCATACACCCCCCTCACTCGGAGCCCCTGACTACGGCCCTGTGAGTAAACCACATCAACTTTCTTATTTCTTATGGACACCATATTGGATTTTAATGTCACTTCATAGAGAAAAAATTGCAAAATCAGCAATACCAAATATTTTATTTAGAAATTAATCTTGAATTTTTGCTTTGAAGTTTATGATGTATTTCTTATAGCAATAATTCCATGGCCCATTGTGATTGAAATCAAATTCATTCGTGTATTGTCTAGCATAGTCACCGTCAACACGGCCATGGAATTATTGCCATAAGAAATAAATCATCAACTTCAAAGCAAAAATTCAAGATTAATTTCTAAATAAAATACCAAGTACTTATTTAGTATCGACAATTTTGTAATTTTTCCTTTTTCTTTCAAATCTTACATAGTCTGGATCACTTTTTACGCGCATTACAGTACCAATGCAAATAAAAACACAAATTTTATACAAAATACTCACTTTAATAATTTTGAAATTGTCAAACTGACTGATTATACCATAATAGCAAATTTCGTAATGTCTTCCCAACTTCCACTCTTTGAGGAGGACATATTTAAGGGACATTTAGTAAATATCCCTTCGAAAATTGTCAGCGATACACTTTTAGGAATGAGTGTGTCGAATCCAAATGTGGGCATCTTAGATTGTGGGAATGTGGTTGTTCGTCGTGACTACGCGGAACACAACATTGTTCAGGTTGTATCGGGCGGTCCGTCCGGGCACGAGCCATTTCAGGCCGGCTTCGTGGGGAAAGGTATGCTGTGCGCTGCCGTTCAAGGTAGGTTTTTCACTTGTGAGAACATTTTTGAATTATCGTTTGCAGGTGACATGTTTCGCTCCCCTCCGGTACACGTGATTCTTAAGACCATTAAACAAATAAGTTACAACTTGACGGGGGGAGTGCTCGTTATTGTACGAAATAATACATCGGATTGCCTCAACTTTGGACTTGCCGTAGAGAGAGCGCGCAATCGAGGGATCGGTGTTGAAATGATAGTAGTCAATGACGAATTTTGCGTCGTAAACAAGCAGCAAGGCAAAAGAGGATCGAGTGGAATAGTTTTAATAAACAAAATAGCTGGTGCAATGGCCGACAAACTTTTACCTTTAAATACCATCTCTGACTTTTGTAAGAGGCTCCTCGAAAACATGGGCAGTATTTTATTTACAATCAAAACCTCGCATCTTGCCGATGAGTGTGTCTGTTCGACTCAGTCTCACGAATACGAAATTGAGATAGGCACAGGTCTGCACGGCGAAAAAGGCCTGTTAGTAATCGATAAGACTGATGTCCATGAAGTCACCTCCTTTATTCTGACGCAACTGTCGAGATTCTTTCCAATATCTCCCAATGTAGTGATTCTAGTGAATAATTTAGGAAACTCGCTGCTTTTAGAAGAAATGAGTTTTGTGAATGAAATTGTTAATTACCTTTTTCAACGCGAAATTCACGTGCTCCGAATGTACCACGGCAAATATTTAACATCTCCAAAAGTTCGAGGGTTCTCGTTGACTATTCTAAATGTATTCGACAATGACATCTTGTCATACATGGACCATCCTTGTGAAGCACCGGGATGGGGCTACGTCAGTACGAAACCGCTGGAAGATTTATCTGTAATACTTTGTAGACCCATCAAACGTCCCCCAGTTAAAAGCTTAGGTCCTCAACTGACTCAACAGCAGCGCAACACAGTCTATTACGCAGTACAATTTGCTTGCGACGCGCTAATTTCGTGCGAGAGACAAATTAATATCATCGATTGTGATGAAGGCAGAGGAAACGTCGGTACAAAAATGAAGAGAGGAGCCGCGATCGTTCTGGACCTAATGAAAAATAGGCGCCTCGACTTCGCGCGGCCGAAATGCTGGTTCGAAATACTCGGCCAAATTTCTGAGAGGCACGTCGGCGGCGCCATCGGATCATCTTACAGTATCCTATTCGAGGTCGCCTCAATTTACTTCGGCGATCAACCGGAGGATCTCTACGTCGAGTTTCACGTCTGGCTAAAATGTTTGAAGGAGGCAATTTTAGTTATAAAGCAATACGGAAATACCCAGTTCGGTTTTGGGACAATGTACGATCCGCTCTTTGTATTTGTCGAGACGATCAATATGTTACCGGAGCAGACCAAAAGTATGGAGTTGTTTCGTCTGTCACTTAAGTATGTCGAAGATGCAGTGTTACAAACGAAGCAGGGTTCTAGAAAGTATGTCGATCCGGGGGCCGAAGTGGTGCGTGTTTGGATAAAAGCGATTTATGAAGGGCTATCATTGCCATATAACTAGTCAGTGTCTAAGAAGTTATTAATAAATTTTTGCGTAATTATAATTCAATTGTTATTTCGGATAGCAAGATGATAGGGTTATGTTGGAATAATGTAAGTTATAAAAATAATATAATAACTTATGAATCAAAGATTGGTCGAGTCACTGAGAGCTTACCTAGCGTTAGTTTAAAAAGTAGACGCCAGGGTAAACGCGCTAGTTTTACGTTAATGTTGTATCGACAGATCGCTAACTTTATGAGAGTATTATAGCAACAGGAGTTCTGGCCCACTTTTGGTCAAAATCCCATTTTCTATAAGGTTCATTATGGTCATTTTTTGATTACTTCTATAATGTGCACATGCGCGCCACAGGCTCGCCGTCCGATATGAGCTCACTTTGACCTTGAGTTCTACAACAGATAAACACAAATGCGAAGGTCGGGCGTTGGGAGGATGGGGCATCTCCATCACTCATTGTATAGTCGACATTCGCCCCTCTTCGTTCGGTGCCGGAGGCGCACCTCTATTTCATAAATTCAACAACATTAAAAATTAAAAACTGCCGCGTTTATAAAGTCGGTAATGCCTTGGAATTATGAAATCAAACAAAAGCGCCATTAGTTAGCTTTGTTTGATCTCAAACTGCCATGGCAGCACTGATTTTCATAAAAGCGCCAGATTTAATTATCCCATTTCTTGATTTCAAGTTCAAAAATTAAAAGCTATATAATATCCATGGATTCGTAATTTTTCTTCTACAAAAAACCTAAGTAGACTATCTCTAAAATAATTAGGGAAACCAATAATCAGAAATGAAAAAATTACTATTGAAATTCCTATGGTGCGTCACGTTCAAGTCACCACCCGGTAGGAAGTCAATATGGACCTTTGTAATAACAGCAATAACTTGCGCCAATACTGACTAACCGTAAGACATAGAGATCTGGTTAAGTGAGGAAAGAGTTGTAGTTTTAAAAGCTTATTCAAGTTATGCTTTTGTTTTTTGAAAAAAAATCCGCAGTTTACTAGATATGAGCGAAAAACAGATTCAGTGATTTTTCTTTTGTTTTAGAATCGTTATTATTAGAAATACAGAAATATGCAAAGAACAAAAATTGTTGATCTTTTTTCGCTTAATAAGATACATTTAATTTCCATTCTTCCTTTATAATTTTCAAGTTATAACGCAAACTTACATTTAGTTGGCTTTGACATTTTTAAAATGTGCATTTTGTTCTGTTTACAGTGACATAAGGTTTGTTATACTTAATTTGACCATTGAATAATCAGATTCTTTATTCAATGCTTTGACAAATAATCTGTCTTTATTTAGAGTTTAACGCTGAATTCAAAGTTCAATCTTTTAATTTATGCTGCCAAGTTTTAGAGCTGCCTAGAGGCTAGAATTTATCATCAGCAGGGGCGGACTGACCCGGGGGGGGGGGGTGGCGGTTGCCACCTGGCCTGTAGATCATAATGGCCCGTTGGAAATTTGTAAGTATGTGCTGTATTTAGTGTCTTGCACTATTAATAAATTATTAGCACGTTTCTCTAATTGGGGTTGATATTAGGTTGTTAAAAAATCTGTTTTAATTGAAGTGTTTTACAATGAATTTATCATTTTTTGTCGTAGCATGAAAGTGCTGAAATACAATGCTGGCGACGCACCTCGTGTGGATTGTATATTTTGTTACTTTTAATTATCAGCTGCAATTTAAAAAAAAACTGTATGGTAATTGATTTTCGAGAAAGGAGCACTGTTTTTGTGGTGCTCCACACCTGATCATCAGCATTAAATCTATTACTGTGTCTTCTGGAAACTTTCTGATTTCTGGACTCGTCTCTCTATGGAATTTGGAAAGGGAACAGAGGTGGGTCTAAGGTATTCAAGAGGCTGTGGAATAAGCTTTCACAGCATTCTGTTGCCTGCCCAGAACACGCTAGGCCCCTTTTAGAGCCTAGAACCTTTAGAGATTGGTAGGAAGCCAAAATCAAATTTAAAAAATATTATTTTCTGTATCGAAATAGTACCTATGCATTATTTAGGGCATCCTTCTAAAGTAAGTTTCAAATTAATACCATAAACTATAGTTTTGAGCGGATGAACGGACAGACAGTTCTTAATTGGAAAAATTCACACAACTCTAGCATCCACTTAAAATGCGATGCCAATCTAAAAAAAAAAGATAATGATGTCCACTATTTTAATTCTAAACTTCTCAGTTTTATGCGGTAATTATTATTAATCACCCATTTTTAAATTTCTATTATCGTCCTAAACATATAACCGCGACCTTCGCGTCCATACAGTAATTAGCAAATGATTATATGCACATTCATTATTTCCCGACAATTGCGTGTTTAATCTATCGTTAAAGTTGATTGGTTTTTAAATTTGTCATAAGCGCTAACATATATAACTGCATTACTATCATTAGGTAGGTTATTTGTTGTTTTTTTTTTCTCTTTTGCATACACATTCAGTTGACGCAGATTTGTGCTATGGGAAGAAAAACCTTGAATTTTTCTTGTTTTGGGAAGTCGGGAAAAACAAATGCTTATGTTATGTAACGAATGTTATTTGTTTAGTTATATATATCTGCTTAGCTTCTTTTAATTAGGTAGGTACCTACATTGTGTGTTAAATTGTACAGTGGATTGGATGTAAGTAATTTTTGGACATGTTTTATTTCCCCTATTTTTCTAATCAGTGGTTTTACAAATCTCTATCTTAACTGAGTAGGTAATAAGGTCAATGATACATTTTTTCATAAAAAATTTGACTGTTATAGGAGCTAAAAATAGTAGGTAGTGCTTGGTTAATCCAGTAAACTTTGGCAATTGATAGTTTTGATGATTGAATTGGAAGACGCTCTTTTTCTATTGTGATCTCATCTTATACGGGTGAATCGATTTCGATTAGAAAAAAATCCTTAAGGTTCCTATAGACGCTCGCATCTTACTGTTTCCATTTGCAATTAAGTCTGAGCAAATATGCAGAGTTTTCATAGTTCTTAAAACTTGTTAAAAAGGTTGGCCTTAGCGTTCTGTTACACTTTTGTTATTGAGATATAATAAGTAGGCATGGCAACATTTGAACAAACTTCCAAAAAGATGATGATTGGATACAATAATTGGTGTTTTTAAATTCACCAAATTATCAGAACCGACAATAGTCAAATAGTGTAACGTACAGCCTAAACGCGTTTTTGGATCGGTTTCTTTCAGCGCATTCGGAGCTACCTTTCTGCGTTATTAAAATGTACTAATCGTAAAGGATAGGCATTTTATTTATATGATTCAATACGACCTTTAACCTCCCATAATAAGTACCAGACGGTATTAAATTACGCAATTTTGGTACAGATTGATTGTGCATTTGTGAGTTTCTACACACGTAAGCTACTTTTTGTTTAATGTTTATCCATAATCAGCAGTCAGTCACTTCCGCGTTGTAAATGATTATGTAGTTTTATAACAAATACAGGAAGTTCATCGTACTGTCTAGAATACAGTGGTTCAATTTTTTGCTCATGGAGGAGATGTTCAGATCGTAGATCATAGGATGTTAATATGTATGATTCTAAGGTTCAGATAGAACGGATGAAAAATTGCTCTAAAATAAATTGGGGAGCCAATAATCGCATGTTGTGAATTTTACATTGAAATCCCTATGATGCGTTACGCAAATCGCCACCCTGTATAACGTAATTCTTTGGTAACAATGAACTTTGGCGTATTTAAGTAATTTGTTCTTATTAAAAGCGTCGAGAGGTCTCAAAAATTCGAGAAGTTTTAAAATAAGCTTCAGGAATGTTAGGGATGTTTGTTTATTATTACATTTTTGAAAGGTGAAGAAAAACAATCTGGTTTGTCACGTGTAATGTTGGTTGCCTATATTCATTTATTGACAGTTTTTTTTTAAATAAATAGATAGCCCATATGTATTTTATGTGAGGATCCTCTGCTTCTCGCTTATTATACACAATCTAGTAGGCCATAGTAAAATTTTGTTATGAAATTTTTTACATTTTACTGACTTCCCCACCCAAACTTGCGCACATGGTACATCAGCTGTTTTACTTTTAACAATCAACACGAATACATAATTGTTTATATGAATAAACAAGCCCATTTTATATCTTAGTTACGCATGTGCTTTTTGGCGCCAAACTTCAATTGTGTAACTGGATATTATCTAAAGTGCGGTGATATGCAATTGTTATCAGATGAGGATTCGGATTCTTGTCATTTATTGTAAGCAATCGGATTAGGCGACTGTGACAAGCTGTTAGTCGAGCAATAATTACATTTTTAGAATGAATTCTTTGGATTTCGACGACGTGGTCGAGGAGCTCGGCGAGTTGGGCCGCTACCAGATACTTATGTACACCTTAGCCTGCATCCCTGTACTGTTCGGGGCTGCGAACAGCCTTACGTACGTTTTCACTGCCGGTGTTCCTAATTATCGGTAAGTGACAAGTTGCAATTCCTTTGACAATGTAATATTATCCAGGTGTCTTGTGCCCGAGTGTGATAATGTCACAAACCCGATATATGCCTCACCCTGGATAGAGTGGGCCATTCCGAATAAACACCAGTCGACTACTGCACAATACTACGAGGCGGAGTATTGCGAGCGGTACATCAGGAACACTACCGACATTGGTATTGGTTGTTTCCCCCAGACATTTACAAATCGGACTGAACGTTGTCACGAATGGGTGTTCGACGATGAGAGGACAATTGTCAATGATGTAATTATTTCGCAGTACAACTAAAAAAAAACATTACCGTCGCTCTTACAGTGGAATATTACGTGCCTGGAAAATCAGTGGATGCTGTCTTTAGTCGGTACTTGCCATTTTGCAGGAATTATTATTGGATCGGGTGCTTTTGGAGCTTTGGCTGATAGGTAAATGTTTTATTTGAATCCTTGATTGTACATTATGTATATTGCCAAGATCAATGTACGGTATTTACTGAATGTAGCCACAACTCCGGGAGAAAATTAATACTTTCAGTTCAGGCAAAAGGCATGGTTGAGTAGGGGTGGGTCATTGATTTAGGGGGAATGTTTAATCATTATTATTTAGGTATTGGTGAAGGAGAAGTAAGATGTGTTGCCTATATACTGGCGTTAAATTTAGCCTATATTCAATATGTTTGGGCGGGGAAAAAATTTTATCAGCTAACGTCTGCTAAATTTATTACTGCAAATGGCCTTTAGAGCCCTATGAATGAATTGAAGTATCTTGTAGTAGCTTAGGATCCCGAAAACATCCCTAAACTGAGACTGTACGGAAGGGGTACATCATTTTTACTCTTCCCTACATTTTGTAGAGGTTTCGATCTGATCGCAGGGTGGTCCAAATTGGACACTTTCTTATGGAAACACTACTTTAAGATATAGAAAAAAAATGGACGTAAGGTGTCAGGGGTTCAATTTTAAAGAGAAAATCACTGGCACATACAGAATTCCTTAATTGTTTGGCCAGTAGAGGGCGTTTCTGGAATTTAGTCGCTTTCTTTAATACCACCCTGTACCTAATGCAATTTGATATATTAGGTTTGTTTCGTTTTAGATACCTTTCCGAATTTTTTCAGAAATAATAGAGCGTAGTTGTGAAAATAGTTCCGTAAAAACCCCTAAATACTGTAGGAGAACAACAGAATGGTCTGGAGGATTACATAAAGCTCTGATGAGCATCTGGAAGACCTTCGGATGCCCTGGAAAGGAACTGTGTCAGTGAAGTTAATTTACTTTGTGTAAAATTCGAGATACCTCAAGCCTTTTTCAGAAATTCGTAGGTCCGGCAAGTTTAGAATGATCTAGAAAAGGCGCTTGCTCCTTTAGGGGCATTCAAACACTTCCATACAAGTTGTTATTCAGATTGTACAAGCACCTTTCTAATCATCTTAGGCTCTTTACAGAACTTTCTAGTTCTCTAGATTGGTATCACGTTTTTCTATGCTCTATTAGAGGGTCTTATCTGGAGCTCGCTCTCGGAAAAGTTCGTATGATTTATGAAGTCTCGGAAATACAAGAAACACTAAAAAGACTGTCCAAAATAAAAATGTCTTATCATGCGGTTCTCTGACGCCATAGAACATACTGCGATGGTCAAATTAGAGAAAAGATGCACAATTAAAGGGTTTATTAATACTTTAAAGAAAACCAGAGAATTCCTAATTATTTCCGAAGACATGTTGGTTTCAACAGGATGGTGCAACTGCGCATAACGCTCGAATCGTGTGAAAATGCCCATCAGACAAATTTCTTGGAAAATGGAAAATTTGTCCCATAGGGATGCGATGCGGGCGTTGTGTGCAGTTGCACCATCCTGTTGAACTTGAAAGCAACAGTCTCTAACTTTTGTATTTTTTGTCACCAGTGTCTTGTAGAGCTCAAAAACTGTGTCTTGTTTTATTGTATCTTTTCTATCTGTTTTAATAACATCGGAAAAATATAAAAACAAATTCGGCAAATTTCGGTTTTTCTGACATATCTTCGGAAGTAGTCGGAATTTTCTGGTTTTCTGTATAGTCTCCCCAGAGCATTACTTCGCCTTTCTAACGTGTTTAGATTCTTTTCAGGTTTTTCTGGGTCTTTCCAGACCTTTTCACGTATACTTACCTTGTAAACGACCTAGAAATATATGAAAAACTCTCTGGAATTACAAAACCCGGAAAAACATTCATTTAACCACCGCTCAAAAATACGCAATTTTTCTTAGCCTCATCTAGTTCCGGAAAAAACCTGAAAATGGTCTAGAAGTTTTTGGAAAGAGCTCGTTACACAACACTATAAGTAATTTTCAGGGCATGCGAAAACTTTCCCGACAAATTGAAGAGTTTTCTAAGCATTTTTCTAAGCGGTCTATCGCTATCGACTGACAGGAAAAATAAGGGTCTGAAGCGTATTTAGAGACTTTCCAATCCTGTTCACAATTTCTTGATTTTTTTTGCAAGCCATTTCGTCTTTTCTTTCCAATTTTTGATACTCAAGTTCCGTGTATCTTCCTCAACTTCCATCACCTTCTTGGATGACTTGTTCTTTTATTTACAGGTACCCATTTATTTTGTTTTTGTGTTAAAGGAATGCTGAATATTATTATTTTTTAGTTACTTGAATATGAAAGTGTTTTAGGTATGGAAGAAAACTCATGTTCATACTAAGCATCTTTCTCATGAGTGTTTCGGGAATAATCCAGGTGTTCTCGAACGGATATGTAATGTTCGCCATCTTTATTTTCATTAACTCAATCGGCACGGCGGGAATTTTCCCTCTCGCTTTTATTATCGGTAAATAAACCTACGAATTGCACTGCGGCGTCTCATTTTTTAACAACTCCAGGCGTGGAAATGGTCGGGAGAAAGAAGCGCGAGGTGACCGGCATCATACTAAATTACTTTTATTCCGTCGGCGAAGCTCTAATAGCGTTATTCGCCTGGGTGACTAAGGATTGGGTACAGCTACAATTGATCGCATCTGCGCCTGCCTTAATTTTTCTTTGTTACTATTGGTAAGTGCGCGTTAAATAAAAATGTAAAGGTGTGGGAGTAGTTCGTAGGATTCTTCCAGAATCGGCAAGGTGGCTGTTGGCGAAAAATAGAAAGGTTGAAGCGAAAGCGGTCATGTATCGTGTCGCTGAGTGTAATAAGGTCGTTTTATCCGACCATCTTATGGAGATTTTTGAAGAACCTCAGGTCGGTATTATTGTGCTATTTTACTTTGTTTATTAATACAATTCAGTGATAGCGGTTGCAAACAGTGGGTGCTTGTCATTCTGGCTGTAGCCATTTATACTCAAAGGTAGTTTCTTTGGACACACTTCACAGATCCATTTTTTATACTATATCATTGATTGTTAAAGTCAAGTCAAATAGGTACCATTTATATTTTAAGAAGTTTTTTGTAGTTTAAGATAGACAGCCTGGAAGAAGCTAAAATTCTACCCGTAGTTAAATGCATGGCAAAATCGAGAAAGCTAGTGTTTCGTTTCAGCATCGTTTTCTTCATATGGTAACTTAATACACATGACTTTTTGTAAGTTTAATTATTCCATTGAAGGGCAGTAAACGCCTTCGTATATTACGGCCTTTCGTTAAGTTCGACAAGTATTGGCGGCGATAAGTATCTCAATTTTGCTTTGGTGTCTCTGGTGGAAATACCCGGAAACACTCTGGCGTGGGTGTGCATTAATAAAATTGGAAGAAAATGGTCTTTAGCTGGCTCGTTACTTATTTCTGGCGTTACGTGTTGTTTAACGATCTTTGTGCCTGCAGGTAAGTAGTTTGTAATTGACCGATGGATATTAGCGTGTGTTTTCAGATATGCACTGGCTTGTGATCGTCTTCTTTCTTATCGGTAAGCTTGGAGTGACCTCTGCGTTTAGCGTTTCGTACGTGCATACATCGGAGATGCTTCCCACAATTATTCGGAGTGGAGGTGTAGGACTCGCCTCAACAACAGCACGTGTTGGGGCTTTGGTCGCTCCATTTGTACCATTATTGGTATAATAACATCCAATATGCATTTTCTATAAAATTTGTTGTAGGGCCAATATGTGCCATATTTACCTATGCTACTATTGGGAGGATTTGCTGTTGTAGCTGGACTGTTAGCTTTAAAACTGCCAGAAACACGAGGTGTCAAACTGCCGGAGAAGGTTATTGACGCTCAACGATTATAAAGCCTTTAATGTTGACTGTTACTGTTATTGTAGTATTTTTTTATGTAGTGGTGTTTTTGTTCTCTTTTGTGAATCTCTTGTTTTTGAGGGATGAGGACTGAATTGGATACTTAATATGACATTTTATTAATGCAAAGATGAATTATATAAATTGATTGTAGCGCATTTTCCAAATGAACGCTATTATCCGTCTCTACCACTACTACTCCTACAGGTTAAGCTTCTTCGTCTTGGTTTTTTCTTATGCAGTGTAGGACTGAAACCAGAACGACAAAAGATTTTTTTGGAGTAGTCACTTCCTTCCCTAGAAACCAGAACGACAAAAGATTTTTTTGGAGTAGTCACTTCCTTCCCTAGTTATTACTGATTCTGTGCAGGGAAAATGCGCTTTCGTCGCCCGCGAGTGACCACTCTATACTAGTTAAAAGTTTTCCTGCTTCGACTGCGCTTCAAGAAATAACCAGATTCTATGTAGGCTACTGACAAATGACAACACAACAATAGATTCCGAATACAATCTAACCGAATGGTAGGAATGAGTAAAGGAGATCTCAGTTGAATTCTATAGTGAATTAAAATTATAAATTTTTATGCGTTACAAAATAGTCTTATTTGGAAAACGCAGTCATTGCCAAAACAATTATTCAGTCCCCTTGGGGCTAGAATGACCACAGTCTATAGATACAAGTCGATTGTGATAATTTACTCATTAGAAAAGCATTTAACGTTGCCTAACGACAGGCGCTGCAGATGTCTTAATTCGAACTCTAGTTCTATCTTTGAATTTATATTCAAAGGTTCTATGTCAAAATATGTAGGTACTCCATTGGGCGAATACTGCCCTGGCATCCTATATTTTATGTTCTTTTATAGAATACACAGACCAGAGATTTAGTTGTGCAGGGGTGACATTTCAACACTAATGAATGCCGAATGGTATAATAATTTCTTGTTTTGTGAACCCTCAAATCAATGAAGTAGCAACTCTTGGCCCTTCTCAAAAAAAAAGAGGGCGATGCGCCTGACAGCTCTCATCGGTCATGTTGGAAAATTGCTCGGAAGGGTTGCACCCTTAAGACGGATAATTGCCTTTGCGCACAGTGGGGACACAGGAGATCGGTGATTGGATAAAGAGTGAGGAGCTAAATCTGGTCGGCAAAAAAATGACAGTGGCTCCCGTCTGTAAAAAGGAGTCTGCTGCCACCAGCCCCGAAAACCCTCAGTGCAATGGAAAACTCTGCGGAAAAAGGCATTAAGGTTCCTGATTGACTATAGAGAAAATATGAGCTTCCACGATGTTAACGTGATCAGTGTAACAAATGGGGGTTTACAGTATAGTTGAATTCCGCAGTTCTAATTTAATAAGCGTGTACCTGAAACCATAAAACATTTTTTTGGACAGTAAAAGTTTATTTAAAAATAGAGGCTGATTAGCAAAAAAATAATGAACATGTGCGGTTTTAAAGGTTTATTCAAAACGATATGATTGTGGCGGGCTCTGTGACGTAATAAGCCCGACCAATCAGCTCTTAGAACCATTCAGATGACATAACGACTTGGCAATATTGCAGGAGAATGGCATTTATAACTTGCATCATCTGTCACAGGCACTTGTCACTTTCGTGCTAGATGCAGTTAAACATCCCTCTCAAAACGTCAAATGTGACAAACGTCAGACCCTCGCGTAAGGTTGCCAGCTCACTTCTACGTGATTGGTTGTAGGTTTGTGACGTATTTAGTCTGAAGCGTTTCAAGTTCGGACTAAGAACACACCTTTTCAATAATTTATTTTGGGTTTATTTTACTCGCAAATAAAAATTGAGGACACACGGGTCTTTTTATTTTTAATGTACTTGTGGATCAGAAATAAAAAATGAAGGCGGGATGTTTTAATTGTACTTTTTAACAGAAATCTGAATATGAGAGAGTAGAATATAAAAAAAATGCACAGCAGAAGATTTAAAAAACCATACCATTGAGCAAAATTTCCTAATTACGGCACAGTGGCAGAAGGCTCGCTAGGTAAAAAACCGTTTGAGATCGACTATGGGTCAATCTCGGTACATTAAGCTCTTGAAGCTCAACTTGCTAGAGAAATTAATTTTGAGCGAGCGATATTCACTTTTGCTAATAAGAAAATCCGCAGAGTCAAATTGTAATTTGGTTATTTGAATTCTAATAATTCATTATAAATTATGAAAATTACTGTGTCTGTATGAAAATTATTCAAATGTTCTCGTTTCAAATCTAGGTAGTCAAGATTGAAAATGTCTAGTTTCTAGTTAAGGGTGATGGACAACAAAAATTTCAATTATAGGGGCCCGGTCAAAAAATATTCCCGGGGCCCGTCGAGGCTAACGGCGGCCCTGGTAACAATGCAAGGAAACGGCAAGGTCTTGTGCAAAACTGCCGGCAAGAGAAGACGCGGCAGTGAAAAACACAATCTTGTACTAATATGGCATATTGGGAAGATCAATCTCTAGGGATAGGGAACACTACCCCTGAGCCGGCTGGTAAAAAAAAGGTGCGACGGATCGTGTAGATCTACAAAAGATTGGAGACAAAGAGCACACTATCGAAATGGTAAAGACCAGAGAGATGGAGTCAGTCCATCCCAGGACGGGATTTAACCTCCGACTTCGCCAACGGGCGAGTATCCAACTCAAGCATATACATATACAAGTGATATTTATTAAGAAGTAGACATAGGGCTTTACGTGTATTGTTTTTCCCTATGTGTACTTTTAAATGACAAAATCTGTTCTGAAGGGCAACCTAATTTTATGCAACCAGAATAACTTCTTAAAACAAATTAATATCTAGCTAGTCATATTAATTAGTTTGAATATTGTTGCTTTGCCTTCACAGAAAATAAATCTTTTAAGCTCATTAAACTGTTTCCGGTAGTATATGCCAATTGACAATATCAACTTTTTCTTCATTCTTCACAAAAAGTGGGGGGTCATTTTTTACCCCAGTGCAATACCTCCCTTTACCAACGTGCGCGTGGTAAAAAAGGGAAAACTTACTTTCTGGATGCCCTACGTAGATTATTTTACATATTTTTATTTTCCACTGTTGCATAGGCATTGGTAGCATTGTTGCATACTCAACAATAATACAATCAGAAATACTCATTGTTGGAACGTCATCAACTATTTATTTTCAAACTTAATTAGTTTTAAGTACCTACAATAGTTTTGGAGTTTCTTTACGAATTCGGGCCCGTTCTGCACGCCACTGCGCCAACTACCTTGCGTCATATGGCTAGCAGAAATCAAGGTGAACGTGTAACGGTTGTGCAGTCGTTTGGCACAAAAACAATTACGAGTTTACGAAATTGTAAGTTTCATTTACGCAATTCATTTTAAGGGTAGTTTGCACGGCGGCATATTACATAATTATCACCTAATTTACGACGGTATATTTTTTAAGACAAAGGGCGTGGGTGGTCGTGCAGAAATTTTAAGGTACAGTCGGTGAAGGGGGAATGTTCAAAAGCACCTTGGTACGATTTTCGAATTGATTAAGCCGAACGATCCGATTTTTAAAATTCCTATCCCCGCCACTGCCCGTTATGAGGTGAACGTCCTGCTAGAACCGGCGGTCATGCGCAGATCACGTGAACCTAGCAAAAACGGTAGCGCGTTGCGGTAGTAGAGATAAAACGATAACGAAATATACGGGGCCGTTATGCCCAAAAATGGTCAAATTTTCAAATTCGGCCTTTAAACAATACGTCTTTGTGAATCATGCGCATTGTCGTTTTCGTAGCGATCGCCGTTTGTCATCAGTACAGCTTGTAACCGCCAGGTGAGTGCCACGTTAGCGTTTACGAAATCTTCAAATTTAAGTAATTTGCCTCGTAATTTGCAGTTAAACATGTTAGGTACCTAATTTAATTATTTCCTATAAACAAATTAAAGTAAAATGCTAGTGTTTGCGATCGTCCCATAGCGCTAATCGGCGTTGGCTTCAGGTAAATCAGGTAGGTACCAGTACCACATTCGGTAGTCAAAATGGCGGAGTTCTCAATTTCAATACGTAATTTTGTTTGGTGATGTTAAAAGTTCTTATAATTGGGTATGTAACGGTTTATAACAAAAAATAGGTGGAATGTGATAATTGGTAACGTTAGGGAAGGGAATTTAGAATGTAGCCACTAAAAAGCGTCGTGTTTCTTTTGAAAAGCTGAACCACCGGCTCACGCATCAATTCTAATTCATTTTGTTCAAAGCAGATATGGAATGGTTTCGAGGGCCGTAGTCGGGTCACGCCGATCGCCATTTAGAAGACAGGTCAGCGCGAGGGTCAACAGGTCAAATTTTGGACGGGCGAACCAGATGAAAACCAGTCTACATTTAGGGACACAAGTTTTACTTAATGTAAGTACATTTTATTAGTACCCAGGAATGCATTAGTTCCCTCTATTAAGAGGGCACTAGTGGCCGTACACCAATGGACGATCCTAACTCCCATAAGGCGATTTTGGGAAATGAAGGTCAATGACATCACGTTCCCCCAAAGACACGGGAGTTCCTGCGAAAAATCGGTCGTTATGACCTTTATTTGGTTTTCAATGTCGTAGGGTCGTTAACCTTTATAGTCACCGCCAGATGACCTTGACGACACTAGAAATTCGGCTTCCAGGATTTCACGTGAAGTTGAGTTAGGATCGGCCATATGGTACTGTTTATATCCAAGTAAAGGACGTATTTTAAATGGAGCTTAAAACCACTTAAACAAGTCCAAATTCCCAACAAATTTTGCTAATTTCTCTCACGTTCACTGCTCAAGAACATCAGTTACCTTGAAGCTCCCCTCACGTTTCTATCACAGTCCTCTCAGGTTCCTCGTTCCTCTTTTGTTTATTTTTCTGTTTCAAGTTCTCCTCAAATTCCCACAATATTATAAATTCTGTATCACCCAAATATTATAAATTCTGTATCCCCCAGCCCCCCCCCCCCCTGCTTTTGGTATCGAATGTTTCAAACTGTTTTTTGTTTTAAGGATCTGGAAGCTGTGGTCGTCGAAACATGGATCGAATTGTAGAGAAGAAATGTAGGTAAGTTTGTTATCATAATTGATTTTATTCGTAATTCTCCGTTATGCCTTTTTTACAACTAATTGATTTCAAACAGCTGTAGAAATATTTACAATGGATTACAAAACTCTGGAAGCATTTCCGTTTCAAAACGTACTTTAATTGTCAAGCTTTGTGTAATTTTTGTGCCATAACGAAAGGTATAATGTACTTAATTTTAATTGTAACTCTTCAGCTATTTGTAACTTAAACTCGTTTAGTTTCAATAGCGACTTTAATTGTTTGTGTATGAATCTGCCTTTTTAGCACATTTCTACATAAATAAAAACAATGAGCTATTGTGGCCACTGTGTCCGTCCATCCGCCCGTCTGTACCCTACTAGTTCTTTATATTCAGAGCAATTGTTCTACTTTTCGCTATTTGGTTCGTTATGGTGTCGAGGCTTGCACCAAGGAAGAATTTTTTTCTGTGTTTATTGGTAAAAAAGTTATTGTAAAAAAACCAAAAATCCATTTTTTACATGTTCCATAATTTGACACTTTTGCCGTTTATTAACGCTCCTAGAGATCGTTTATAATTTTGTATTGCTGTCTGTCTGTTGGTCTGTCCGTCTGTTCCTTTGTCTTTCTGTCCATCTATCTGTCCGTGTGAACGGTAACTTTGTTTAGAAATGTGCGATCGCTTTGAAATTTGGTACATATGTTCTTAGTTATAAGTAAAGTAGATGCTTATTCAAAAAATTTGTTTTGCGCATGCACAATCCAATTGTTTCAATTGTTTTAAGGTATCTAAATGGAATTTTGTATGTAGGCACCTCGAATAAAAGTAAACCTAATGATCATTTAAAAAAATGATTCAAACTGAAGCGTTAATTGTTGTATATTGCAAATATTGCTCCAGAGTTTTCACCTAAATTTACCTTCCGTGAACAATGATTCAGAATTTTCTTCGGACTGTAATTTGTAAACCGTAAAAAAAGCAGGTGCATGGTAAATAAGACATTAGCCAGCATTTGCTTTACCTTTTTTTACGTTTTATCTCTTCCTTTTAGTAACTTTATGTAAATAATTAATAATAATAATACTTGGGGCTGTGTATCACAGCCACTGAATCGTCATACAAAAAGGGTACAAATAACAAACTTTACGTACAGGTACAAACAACATTGAATTAGCACATAATAAATGAGCAAGCTTAAGTGAATCTAGCCGCCATGAACTAAAAGTTGTTGTTTTGTAAGAAATTTTTAATTTTATTTTTGAATACTCGTTGGTTGCAGGTGGTGATCTCTAACGGCAACAAGTTAAACAACTTTGAACTCATCATATAGGGGGATTTATTATAAAAAGAGTGGTGGCGCCTCATTATGGAAATTTTGTCCTTATCCCTCATATTGTGAAAGCATACTATTGAAGGAGTTCGGAAAATTTTCAATTTTTTTCAGAATTTTGTATAAATGAATTAAATTTTGTTTACATTTTTGCTGGGATCCCTTTTAAATCGGGGCCCGTTCTCATTGCGTACCTTTTAGGCATTGTAGTCACGCCACTGCATCTTGTTTGTAAATGAACAATTGAAGAGTCACGGGGGTGGCAAACACTGTAACCAAATGAGTCACGACACTTAATACCGGGACTCTTCTAGACAGTCAAGGTTTGAAACCCCGAACGAGGGGCGAGTTATCTATATCGGGGGCGAGCTTCTGCTAATAAAAACTTCGGTTTAGAATCTAGTGTGATAATTATGAGTCGCAATTTACTGATTTTCACATATTTCGTCGTAACATTGAATTTTCCCTACAAAGTCATGTAATTTTCATCTTCGTGTTAGTAAACTTTGACCGAAGAAATTCCTTTTTCTTCCGGTGGTTGTCACAAGATTTTTTTGAAAACTAGCAAGAACGCTCTAATGTCTCAAAATTAGCCTCTTCTTGTTCTTACTTAATGGCCACCCACAAAATAGCGAATTGTTAACTCAGACGGACATATTTAGCCGGTAATTCGTTGCTTAATAAATCCGCCTGCTCCTGCTAACCTTACCACGACAATACTATAGTATAATCAACTTTATTTTTTTATATGGTTCGTAAAAAAGTACATAGAATGTTGAGTAGCATTACAAATATAACGATAAACGGCACACACAAAAAAAGTTGGCAACTCTGTTGGTTTCAACAGGATGGTGCACTTTCGCACAATACTTTACTCGTGCGAGAATAGTTATCGCACGAGTCTCCTGGAAACTAGAAAATATGTCCGAGGTATTCTCCCACGATTGTGTGCGGGTGCACCATCCTGTTGAAACAAACAATTTCCAATTTTTTTTGTGCGTGTTGTACTTTGTTGTATTCGTAATAAAAAATGCTACTCATTACAGTATATTCTTTTTTACGGGCCATAAGTATAAAAAATAAAGTTGATGGTTTCTTCGAAACGAAGCGTTGTATTCAAATCTCTCAACGGTGTCTTGTAGAGCTCAAAAAGTGAGAAAGTGTTTTTTTATTATTCCGTAGCTGTTCAAATAACACCGGAAAAACAAAAACGAAATCGTTTTTTTTTTGGCATATCTTTGGAAGTAATGTGACTTTCTTTTTTGGTTTCCTTTAAAGCATGATAATAACTCTTTAATCGGATATATGTCCTCTAATTTCACTATCGTTGTGTCTTTTTTGGTTTCGGAGGTATCCATGATAGACATTCTTCTCTTGGACACAGTGTATATGTTTTTTCGAATTTCGTAAAATTAAAATCCCTATTTCTATTTACACCTGTAAGTAAATCCGTTAGTTGTTTTTGGGTGATTTCGAACAAAACATTTGGATCCTTTTGGTTCCCACTACCACCACTAATTATTTGACAATCTATATATAAAAAAAAAATGATGACTGCAAAAAAATTGAACACTATTTTTATTTCTATGTAGCAAGTTTTAAAAACCAACTGACATGAGAGAGAAATCGATTAAATTCGCCCCCTTACTGCAAAGCGGTTTGCGACTATCAAATTTGAATTTTGTTATTTTGTTTCAGATACGGGATAGGAGTCTGCAAAACCTTACACCGCCCTCTCATCAAAGCCGGATTACTGGTCAGTTTCCTTTTATCACCATAATATTTATTTGCAATTGTTTCTGCATGGCTTGTTTGATCTCGTCCGAAATTCTTAAAATTTCTTAAATTACACACTCAATAGAGAAACGAAATAAATAAAACAATGTATTAAACACTAACGTTTTAAAATTTTTAAAGGAAATGTAAATTCCAAAATTTTTGACCGTGGCTCCTAAGCTGGGATCCTTGGATTAATTCATTGTTACTTACCAATTTCACTCTATAAACAGGGATGAATCGTCCCTTATGATCATGAAAATGCTTTATTTTGAAAAAGTATTTTACAAACCTTTCGATTTCACTGTACTCAAAATGCTCAGCCACGTTTTACTTTTCAGCTATTCCCAATGGAGTCAAAGAGGTCCGTGAGACTCATGGATACTTGAACCTAACCATTTCTGTTTACTCATCACCTCTGAATAGGAGTACGGTTCGTCCTTCCTTTGATTAATGCCGCTTCGTAGTAGAGACCGAATTAATAAGGCTAAAGGGTAAGCTTTTACTTTTTCTAAATTATCGACTAATAGACCTTTAAGAAAATGACAATCCAAAAAATTTCAAGTTCCTTTTCAATAGTTATGGTTCCCCTATCACTAGATAATTAAAAAGTAGCCAATACAAACAAAGGTTTAGTTGGCACAATAAATGTTTGTTTCCTTAACTTATGATAATGATTGAGCATTGTTATGACGTTTCTAATTTTGATAATTCTACCAAGTGACCACATATTTATTGACAATGTGAATTTCTTCTCTTTCAGATTCCTGAAGGGCAGCCTTATAAAGGTAGGATTTTTACTTTTTTACGTGCATGGTGTATTTTTTTTTATTTTGTGTATCTAGCAGTGTGTGGTGGGGAAGTGAATGGTGGAAAATCAAGGACAATTTTCTGCTGCACGTTGTATTGAATTACCGAGTGGGTTTAACCATCTTCTCGACAATTCTTCATCTTGGTGACGTAAGATTGACTATAATGCTTTATATCTCACGCGGAATCAACCAGCCTACTTCATATCAACGTATGACTATGAATTCATAGCCATGCCAGTTCTATGAAGTAAACTGATTTTCTTTGCGAACGAGGTTATGAAGAAGTATTGCAGCCAATTCTTCCGTCCTCGAGTTGTAGAAATTTGACGATTGTTAAATCTCACTCATTCATTACACGAACTTCAGCTTAATAACTTCTAAAGAGAGGTGAGTAACAAAATCATTCTAGACGCGTTCGTTTATTAATTAATTTTTAGAAACCCCTGTCTAAGGGAGCCTTTTTACGATTAATAAACGAATTTTTCTTATACAGGGTGTTTCGGAATGGTAAGCGAATATTTAAAGTATAATTTTGCATAAAAAATTAATATTTTGCTTAATAATCGTAAAAAATAGTACAATAAAATTGTTCTAAAAAAATTGTTCTTGAATTATCCGTTCTATTTGTCTTGATTTTTTCTATCTGTTTTGAGTTTCAAGAATTTACACCACATTCTTAAATTTTCGCATATCCTAAAGGATACCCTGTGCAACTATAGCTTTAAGTAACTTGCGAAGGTTGATGTAATGATGTCTTCGATTGTTCTCAGTGCCAGAAGACTTGCCGTAACAACTCCTGAAGCAGCTCAGATTGGATCCAAGTCGACTCCCGGGACGATTGTCACGGACACGGCTCAAGTAAATGAGGTAAGTTGATGATATTTGCATTTTTTGTAATTTGGAGACGTTCAAGATATGGTTACTATGGTTCATAGTCGTTCAACTTGATCAACAGTGGTTTTATTTTTCAGTTATTGGTAATGGAGTTAAAGAGGGCTGCTATCGCTTGATCCTAAGAATTCCCGTTTGCCAGTATTCCGTGAACTGAACGAGTGCAGTGACTCAATGGCGCTTCGTAAACAACACCGAATGAATAAGACTAACGGTAAGCTTCCACTTTTTAAGTACGCTATTCTACAAAAAAAAACCACATCTAATGATAACTAAATAGATCTAAAATATGCTTAAAAGTCCTTTTTAGACTTTTCTTAAATAGGTTTTCCTAAAGTCACTAAATATAGAAAGTGCCGCAATCCATTGGGCTCGTGTGTTAGAGAGAGAACGTATGATTAATGCCCAAAAATGGCGGAAGTTACCAGATTCTAGTAACTTTAATGTTAGGGATTGTTCCACCTGTTTCGAGATACATTTTTATAAAACATGACAGTACTATGAAGTTAGGTTATAAAAAATTACAGCTATTCAGATTTTATTTGTCAATTTTTTTAAGTTGGCAGCAAATTTGCCCAAAAATGGCGGATGATTACGGTACTTTCTATATCTAGTGACTATGTTTTCCTTTCGGCCTTTAATTCTAAAAAAATTGGATTTTGATTTCTATCGCGTGGTGTAAAGATACAATAAAAGTATTGTGGATAACTTGTTCGATTCTTTTAGGTGACCATATTCTTAATGAAAATGTATCTTTGTTCCAGATTCCAGAAGGGCAGCTTATAAAGGTAGGATTTTTCTTTTTTATGCATGGTTTATTACTATTTTATGTGCCTATAGTGTTAATAACAAGAAAATCGGCGTTAATTTTTTCGGTGACCTTATTGACTATATTCTTAAAATCTCCTGTTCTTATTAACGTAAGATGGATCTCAATGATTATTAAAAGAGTCTCTTTCGCGGAATCTATCGGTATAATTCATATCGATGTATGACTATGAAATCATAGCCATCCTAGTTTTATGAAGTAAAACGGATTTTTTCTGCTAAGGAGACTATGAAGAATCATTGTTGTCAATTTTCCGTTTTCAAGATGAGTGACTTTGAGACCCTTTCCAAAGCTAGTTTAGTTCTGGAAAGTACCTGAATGAATAGAGCTTAGAAAGTCTTACAAACGGGGAAAGCAACAACGAAAAAGCGCTATCTCTTTTAATTTTTTTTAATTCTTTGAAGTTTTCCATTTCTTAGGATAGTACGCTTTCTTGTGTTTTTTCTTCTTTACACGACTTTGGCAGAACCAATCAGGTTACTTTTTGATTCCTCAGAATCATCGGATTCTTTAGTTTCTTTGATTTTTTTAGAGTTTGACCGTTCGGCTTCTTATGGTTCTTCAGATTCTCCATCAGATTTCAGAGTTTTCTCATTTTTCAAACTTCCTTATTTTTTCGAAACATTTCCAATTTTTCAATTTCTTTAAGTTCATTAGACTTTTCTTTCAAGTTTTGTTAATTCTTTGGTATAGCCAATCAGTACTTTGGTGGACATTTTTTTTTCTTATTCCATCCTGTGTAGGTAATAAAAGATCAATATGTTATTTGTTTTTGTACATTATGTGGTAGCATTGATTAATATAACTTCAATAACGAAAACGGTCACGCGTATCTCTCTATACAGGCGGTATTAAAATTCGTTTATCAGCCTTTTATGCCAGTAGTATAGGTATTCCAATCAGGACTGCACATTACAGCTACCTTCTAATAAAGAACGATACTAAATCTATAATGACGAATCATTTTATTGGTATAGTTGTTACTATTTGGCCCAGCACGACGCCAATTTTCATATTATATCTACAAGTCATTACAAGTAATTAGCTCCCATTTTACAATTAGCTAAATACGTCTTAAAGGCTACCGATAAAGTCGAGATTTTTCTTCAAAACGCGAGCACTAATTTTAATCGGCCCAAAATTAAAGATACAAATTACAGGTTACACAATAATGATTAAAATTAATTTGCATAATGTATACGAAGAAGGTATACTTAAATAATTAAGCCGGTTGATCTTTTGTTTTCTAACAAATATTATTTTGCTGTTAACCGAAGAGAAATTTTTTTATTACTCACTAATTATCTTTAATATAATTGTATTAACTACCGTAATTCATAAGAGCTGGCCGTATTTATTTTTTTAAATTTAATTATAAAACGCGATAATAATGCGCGATTACATAGCCTTAACTTCCTTTGTGCATCTGTAAGTAGATATAAAACATGCAATTATGGCATTATTTCTTCTTTAATAACAAGTAAAATGGATAAATTCGCAGACCGGTATTTATAATAACGCATTTACACCAGAATGCTTATTGTTTTCAAAACGTACTTAAGTATATTCGTCTAATTAAGGAGTTTAATAGGCAGTTATTGATAAAGCCAGAGCTAGAGAGGATACGAAAGTGCGTAAGCTGAAATGCAATTATACGCAATCAACTGCTGTGTCATCCGACGGTAATTAACCTTATATGCATAGGTACGATGATTTTTATCTATACATATATTTCAAAAACATACACAGAGATCATTTATCACAAGAGTCATTTCAATCCGCAAGATGATCTTGAATTCATTTGCGATTTCTGTGTCCAGCACCAGACAAGATTTAATTTTTTTGGAAGGAATCCAGAAGTTCCTATAGATACCAGAAGCATATTACAATTGATACGAACAGTAAGGTACATTCGAAAAGCACGTCTTAAATTTAAATAATAACGAGTTTGAAAAAAAAGGGTATCAGAATTTATTTAATAATAACCTCTATAATTATTAAGTTAAAGGTTATAAAGATAATTACGTAAACGTTCTGATGGGCGTTTTTTTACAGAATAGGTAGTTAACCGTTAATTAATAAAAATTTACAATGAGACCAGTACGTATATAATACAAAAAAATGTTTTGGTTCAATCACGGGTGGCCACGCCCACTTATCTTTACTTTATCATGTAACAACATTAATTAAACCCTTAAATAGGTATCGGTCAATTAAAATACCAAAGTCCATCTTCTTGGATATACACTTTTTAGTATGGTTACAGCATCTTTAATAGCGGTTTCGACTGGCATTTAAATCAGAACTGTTCCAAAGTATTACATTTTTACTATCTACTTTATAATCGTACAGAGTGAAATTTTTGAGTTGAATCTCCATAAATAGAAAAAAAATTGTTTAGAAAAAATGAAAATGAAGCAGGCGAGGTCAATTTGACATAACGTTGTCCTCTTCACCTCCAAAAACGAAGAATCGCATACGATTTTGAGTTGGGGAATTTTTTGACAGCTCATATTGGGAAACGCGACTTTTAATGCGGCTCATATTCAATAGTACCTGATCCTTGAACTCGTACAAATCGATTGGCGAAGGTTTTATAATTGACAAAACACCAAAATTTACACAAGCAAATTAGGTGGCCATGAAACAACACACGGCTGATTTGGCAGGAAAGTGTTGTTGAAAATTTAATGCCAAATTTTAGGGCGTTAATTTCGTCAAATTTATTAATAATATAAACGATGTCGTAAATGATACCCGTTTTGACAGATTTAGAAAAGTCTTTGGATTCTTCAGCGAACATCTATTCTTACTCCAGCCCTCGCAAAACGAGCAAGTTTTTGATAAAGCAATACATACTCGCAAATATGTCTTTTTTTAGAATTTGAGAAACTTCTTCATATTTAAAAAACAGTATTAACCTTCCAAAGAAGGCCTGTCTACTTTGATCGCCCCTCGACTACGGGCCTGTATCCATCGCTTGCGTCCGTATTACATTATTTATTGTCAATTTTAGGGTGGTAAAGTTTGGACACTTAGCAAGTTTTCATTTTTCTGAGTATTTTAAAAATATAAAATAATTAACAAAAAAGTTGATAAGACCAAAAAACACAAACGTCGAACTTAAAATCTAATCAAGCCAGTGAAAAATTGTCATTTGTTTTCAAAAATTTTTTGAAATAAAGTCAGAAATAATAGAAAAGCTTGATTCATAGCTAGCTATTCAATTGTAAATTTGATTGAATTTGAAATACTGTCTGTTGCTTGGGTAACGGATCAACGGAGACGGCCAGAAGGCACAAGCGCTTCAGCAGCCGCTTTTACATTTTCGCAAATGAGTTAAAAGTAGCAAAATTACTATATATGTATAATGGCATGGCCCAATGATATGCTTTTTCAAGTGTGGAAAAAAATAAAATTCTTACTTACTACAATTTTGTGTTTTTTAACATAAAGATAACGAATCAACAATTAGTTTTGGAAAATTCAAAAAAACATTCTTGATCAAGCAACAAAAAGGATCTAGGTTTTGTTCTCTTTTGTTCTTAAAAGTACAGTGCCGGATTAAGGCACATTCGGCCCGGGCGGCTGCTCGAGGCGCTGACTTTAGGGTGCGCCAAACGTAGTTAAAAAATTTAAACATAGGTATACTTTGTGGAACTTTGAATGCTAGCAACCGCAAGCACAGGGACACTGTTCGGTTTTTTTTAATATCCTATATATTTGTACAATGTACATACCTACAACTCAAATTTCGAGGTATGTATGTAAAACTATACAGGGCGTTTCATTTCAAAAACTTGATTTTGTTGAATATCTCGATTAGATGCGCGATTATCTTTTTTTAATTTATTACTATACTTATACATTGTATACTGTATACAGGGTGTTGCATCTGAGACCCCTCGAATCATAATCCCTTTACCATAAAAGATATCGAAAAGAGTAAAAACCAATTAGGTACGGTCGCCATGTTTCTGAAACATTTTTTAACACCAGGGGCGTGCTGTATTCCAGTGGTGTATCTTGGGTTTTTTTTAAATTCCATTTAACAAAGCACAACACAAGTTTTGTACGTCACTTGAATACAGTCCGCCCCTGGTGATAAAAAAATTTTAGAAAAACACGGCCACGATAATTGTGTACAATTTTGCTCTTAAGACTTTTTTTTCGATATCTATGCTACACGCTGTATAAATCGTTTACCTAGACAAAGTCTCTTCACAGTTACCTCAAATAAATATAGCGTCATGCATTGGTCAGCTCAGCTCAGCTTTTATTATTATAGACACAATATATACATTTACATCATCTTACAATATATACAAATCGTCAATATACAAAATCTATTTACAATGCTAATTAAACTCTACAACCATCACACATACACTGACTAACCGGAACTCTTCGAACATCAGGAAACGGTGGAAAAACCTTGGTCGATTGCAGTACGAGGTGTCCTCCAATAATACTCTTGTGTTGCATCCTGGTTCCTCTAACTTTCGTTTTGGCGAAGGGTCTGCGTAAGTTCTTCAAAAACTCCCCGTAGTTTCCATCTAAATCCTGAACAGCGACGGAATTCATCGTTGAGGTACGTTCGTAAATCTAAAACAAAATGGACATAAATAAATAAATTCAAATCGATAATACAAATTTTGTTACTTACATCTTTCGGAACTGAAGAGGCCATCTCGAATGTTCTTGGTAAACGTTGTCTTCGACTGTGATGAGGGTTGAAGGCGAGTGGAGTATTTATAGGGAGTAGGTATCATTAGGGGGTTATTACAGTAATTAACTTTCACCTTCAATGATATCATTAGGGAGAAACGAAAGGTTTCACGATTTCTTTTCCAAATTCCAACTTTTTCCTCCAAAATTTCCATCATCCCCTTTGGTAGGGATTGATAGTTTACTTCAAGCATTTTACCAGCATATTATTTGTTTTGTTACTCTGATGATGA